GGTATCAGCGATGTGATAAAGCGCTGTATCAAATGCAAGGATTATTATAAAGCACTCCAAGATACGGCCCCGCATGGAGGGCGCCATATAAATGCAAGTTGATGTTGTTTTATTTGCATTACTCTGATGGAAATCAATTTCTCTGCCTGCAGTCTCGAGACAGCTTCTGGTTTGCAAACAGATGGACCTGGTGAAGACCTTTCTGTTGTATCTGGGGGTCAGATCCTTCTCAGTCTCAGCCAACAGACCAACGACGCAGGAGGGGATGTTGGGATATCTTGCTTACTCAAGGTTGGAAATGAGGAGCCTCCAGAAATTGGATTTGTAAAGAAACTGACGAAGTCTTTAACTAACACCGTGACTCAAATGTTGGTTTCTGAGAATTCAGTTGAACGCGAGGCCTCAAACACTGATGCAATGAAGAAAAGCAGTGACATGAGCTTAACCCAAATGAATACATTCGTTTTTACACAGCACAACAATTTTGATTTAAGGAATATTGAGTCAGAAGGCTCAAGCTCAGCTGCTGAATCAAGTAAGTTTAGCAAGTTTGAACAATCAACCTTGTAAATGTTATTGTTCATAGTCTAGGAAGACTTTGTGGAGTCCTGTAGCGTATTGGTTAGAGCGCTCGCCTCGCAAGCAAGAGGACACGGGTTCAATTCCTAGGCATGGCGAAACCTTAGGCAGGTTTCCTTACTCCACACGCCTCTGTTTATCTAGCAGTAAGTAGGAACTCGGATGTTAGTTGATTGCTTTCCGGGGATAATAACCCTTCAAAAAACTATAATACTTTAGTCACTCAATCCATGAGTGTTTGTGAGACACTGCTGTGCACAATTGGTTGACGCATTTCGTCCACAAGATATACAGTCAATCCATTTTAAAGTATATTCTGTGAAGTGCTTTGAGATGTCCCAATGACATGATAAGGCACTGTATCAAATGCAAGGATTATTATAAGACCTTGCAGTGCATCCCTGGGGAGATTCTGCTTTTTCAGAGGTTTTATTTGGATTAGACGTTAACTCAAGATCCTGTCTGCATGTACAGGGGGATGATAAAGATTGCATACTTGTAGCCACAATTCAACCATATCTTTCTTTGTCTCTCTTATACACAAACGTGTCCACACAAACACACACTATACTTTTCCGGTTGTGGTCCAGCAAATCTCTATTATATCACAGATCTGATTTCCCCCCCCCCAGAGGAATTTGTGGTGCGTTTTACCAGGTCAGGTAACAATGAACTTTCATTTGCCCTACCCTCCCTTCACCTGTTTCTCTGTTAACCCCTCCTCCCAACATTTCTTCAGCTTTTGTTTGTCATCCCCCCGCCACTCCTCATTCAGAACAAGCCCCTTTCCTGGGCTTCAGTCATTTTATGATCCATCTACAGTGTGTCTGTGTGTGGGTGTGCGGCAGTGTAGGGCGGGTAGATAAACAGGGGTGGGGGGAGATAAGATAAACTGGCTACGAGGAGGCAATATTAGCAACAGAATGTCAATCCTCTCTGGTAGTCTTCCTGGAAGTCCAGTCACTGAGCCACGCAGGTCCGCAGTACTCCACAGCACTACTGATGACCGACCAGCTGGGATGGCGCAACTGCAGATCTTGTGCAGACAGACCAGGGGCAGGAATTCTTCACACTCAGGATAACCCTATAAACCAAAGCCCTAATGGTAGGGGTTGTCCAGAGCTGTTGTATGTTTTTTATTGGTTCAGTTCTAGCAGTAACCCAAAACACTCTCTGGGGTCCCCAAGCCTATGGTTGTTCCCAGCTGGATTAGTAGCAGGAAAGCTTGCTAGGCAATGCTTTCAATTGCAAGGTGTGCAGGATTAGCTGGTTAGACTCCAGCAGTACCCCAGTGCATATGTTGGGGTCCCCAAGCCTGGGTTCTTACCGACTTGTGCCCCAATACTCTCTGGAATTAAGTAAACAGGATGCGTCCCTCCAGGGAGAGTGCACATTCCATTCCAATACATGGGTCTTTCAAATTGTAGGTGGGATGTATGCTACTCTTGGTCTGGTTTAAATACTGCTAGATGGGCTTTCTCATCTGTACCCAAAAAGACACTATGAGTAAAGGTTATTCATGTTCTATAGAACAATAATTTGTTTTCTGTGGGCTAACTAAGGTAACTGATCTCAGGCAAGTGGAACTGGCGCCCTTCAATTGGCCTTAGTGTCCCTGGGCTAGAGGGAATGGGAAAAGGTGGAGCCCCACCACTATCCAACAGGTCTCACTTGTAAAGCCCTCCACTGTTGTGCTCCTCCCTTCCTCTGCAACCCAACCTGACTGCTCCCTCCATTCAACAAGCACTGGCCTGCTCCATGTCCCCCATGCTCCATGTCCCACACCATTGGCAGACTGGGCTTCAGCCTTCCTGCCTGGAATTCCATCACCGAATCCCTCTTCCTCACCCCCTCTCTCGCCTCCATCAAGACCTGTCTCAAGAACTTCCTCTTTGACTGTGCCTTCGGTCATCCTCCCACTCCCACTCCCCGGTCCCCCATCCTCCCCCACTCTTAATTCCAACCTCCAGCTCGGGTGCAAACCCTTAACTGTCCAGCGCCTTAGGACAAACCTGACACTAGATAAATGTAATTTGTTGTTGTCGGATTGTAGTTTAGGAAAGGGAGGTTGATAAATATTTTCAGGAGAACCTCTGGTTAAGATGTCTGACTTTTTGTTCAAGGTATTGGAATGCTGTGCTGCCTGTGTAACTGCTTTGATGCTTGCTGTAAAAGTGAAGAAAAATCAGGTTAGGTAGAGCTTGAGTTAGAAGCAGAGTAAAACTGTTCACAGTCAAAGTGCCAAATGAAATGAGCAAATATCCGCTTCACTCTTTCTATAATACAGTAAAACTCGCACAAATTCTGTGTAAATCATATCATCGCCTGTAGCTCAGTGGTTGGAACACTCGCCTCGCAAGTGAGAGACCTGGGTTCGATTCCTAGCAGGTCAAACCCATGGGCAAGTTTCCTTACTCCACACGCCAGATAATAATCCCTCAAGAAAAAAATAATAAGATTGGTCACTCATCCACGACTGTTTGTGGGACACTGCTGTGCGCAATTGACTACTGCGTTTCCACACAAAGTCAATTCACTTTGCAGCATATTCTGTGAAGCGCTTTGAGACGTCTAGAAGACGTGAAAAGCGCTGTATCAAATGCAAAGATTATTATATTATCGCCTAAGTTGTACATCTGCCCAACAGTCCAATTCAACAGTTTATATTCCAAGCAAGTTTGACATAACTCATACTTTGCCTAAGTCATATTAAATGTATGGTCCCAAAAGATACAACTTCTGTGAGGTTTACTGTATTCCTTAAACAACGTGCAAATCCTTGACTGTCTGGCACCTTGGGACGTCCTCCAGACGTGAAAGCCGCTATACAAATATAATTTATTGTTGTGGTGAACTCACTTAAATTTTTTTGCTGTGTAGAGTTCAAAAACAAGGGCTCCAAAATAAGCAAGATTGTTACTTTATATGGTTGGTGAGGGTGGGGGCTGCGGGGGGAGAGAGTATAGAGAAGAGCCACTGGGAAGCTTCCATATTCTCTATCCTCTCTCCACTGGCATTGTGGGGAGAGAATAGAGAATAGATAGCATGAGGGAAGGAAGAAGAAGGCCGGAGATTGTAAAGATTGTAAAGTGTTAGGAGCAGGTTGTTTACTTGTCTACTATCAAGGAAGGATGCAAAGAATGGGAACACATGAGAAAAAAAGTGACACAAACGTGAATTGCATTAACAGATTTTTCCAAGATGTCAAGCAGCTGTAATTACTGTGTCACTAATCCAAATTTTAATGTTCTGTTGTAGAATGTATATTAGAGTCCATTATCTGCTCGAATTAGGCCCATTGTTCCTTAGTATCTTAGTGGTTAGAGCACTCGCCTCGCAAGCGAGAGGACATGGGTTTGATTCCCAGGCTGGGCAAAACGTTAGGCAGGCTTCCTTACTCCTCATGTCTCTGTTTATTTAGTAGTAAGTAGGAGCCCAGTTGGTTAATCGATTGGCAGTTCGATTTCCGGGGGTAATAACCCCTTCAAAAAAAAAATGGTCACTCAATCCATGACTGTATGTGGGACACTGCTGTGTACAATTGGTTGTTACGTTTCACCCACAAATATACAGTTAATCCACTTTACAGTATTTTCTGTGAAGCGCTTTGAGACTTCTCAACAACGTTATAAGATTCAAAGTAAATTCAAGGATTATTATTATATCATGGGTTATATGATCAGCCCCGAGGCTCTAGAACTCCATCCCCCAGTGCCTTTGCCTTGCTTCCTCCCTTTCCTCCTTGAAGGCCGGTCTCAAGACCTTTCTCTTTGACCGTGCCTTCAGCTCCTCTCTCGACTCTCTACCCCCTCCTCGCTCCCTCCCTTCCCTCCCCTCACCCTGACCATTTCCCCCCTGCTCGGGTCCTGACCCAACTGTCCAGCGCCTTGGGATGTCCTTCTGACATGAAAGGCGCTCTACAAATGAAATCTTGTTGTTGTTGTTGTTGTAGGTAGCACTCTTGCCCCTGAGTCAAAAGGTTGTGGGTTCCAGCCCCAGTTTGGGATTTTGAACTCACAGTATAAGATGACACTTTATTGCAATGCTGTGGTGTGCTGCATTGTTTGAGGTGCCGTCCTTTAGATGAGATGTTAAACTGAGGTCCTGTCTGCCTATGCAGGTGGACATTAAAGATCTCACGATACTATTCGAAGAGAGAAAGGAGTTTCTCCTGGTGTCCTGGCCAACAGTTCCCCAGATAAAATTGATCATTCATTTCATGGCCGTTTGTGGGCTGTTGCTGTATCAAATTGGCTTTCGGGTTTGCCTACAAAACACACAATCGTTATATTTTACAGTAAATCCCATGAAGCGCTTTGAGATACCCTGAAGTGAAAAGCGCTTTATCAAATGCAAGGATTATTATTATTATCATTGTTAATAATAAACTGATAGAAGTGCCCTGGTTTGCTTTAGATTTAATGGTTCCAGTGATTCCATTTGTTGTATCATCCTCCATTCGAATTACCCCTGCAAAGCAGCTTTGGGTTTCAAAAGTAAATGATTCAGTGAAGATCCGAATGGCGGAATCGGGCCTTGGTTCTGAGGATCCTCTCACTGTTCACCAAATGTTCAAGTACTCAGTGGAGAAATATCACAACCATATCGCTTTAGCTTACAAGCGCGATGAACATTTGTACAGGATTTCCTACTCTATTTACTACGAGAAATGCAGGATGACAGCAAAGGGCTTTTTGAAGGCAAGTCCAAGTTAAAGTGACATTTTAAAAGTTTTGAAATAAAGTTTGTCTTTGAAGCGGAATGGTATGGTTCTACCCCTTTCATAAATATATGAAAGATATTCAGATGAGTCTTCAGTGAAATGAATCATAGATCAAATCTGACTCCCACGGTCAGTCTGGCTCCTTAGAATTCAAACACATATTTTTAGACCATGTTATTCAACATGTTGTTCAACAAGTTCAACACTTGCGTTAAGCTTTCATAATAGATTTTATTTTTTTGGCTATTTTTTGAGAAAAAGAAGTTTGTGCTCCAGGGCCTAGTGCTTCCCTACCTCTGTGACCTGCTAACTCCATTTAGACCTGTCCGTTCTCTCTGCTCACCAGGCTCTGGCCTTCTCCCCATTCCCTGCTTGGGCCACCTCACTATCGGCGACTGGGCCTTCAGTCTTTCTGCCCCCACCCTTTGGAACTCCATCCCACATTCCCTTTGCCTCACTCCCTCCGTTGCCTCATTCAAGACACATCTCAAGACCCTGCTTTTCGACCACACCTTCGGTCATCCTCCTACCCTCCCTCCCCTCCACTCTCCCTGATCCCAACCCCCTGCTCGGGTCTAAATCTCTGACGATCCAGTGCCTTGGGATGTCCTCCCGATGTGAAAGGCACTCTACAAATGTAATTTTATTGTTGTTGTAAAATGTCTGTCTTATTCTGTTTACAGCTTGGACTTGACCGCTACCATGGAGTTGGTATTATGGCATACAACTGCCCAGAGTGGTTCTTTGCCAACATAGGAGCAATTATGGCAGGGTAACGCTTCTCTTTTGAGTAGTCTTTGCATACTAAAGTAATGATCTGTAGTAAACCATTCTTTCTATAAAGGGTTAGGTGGTAATGGAATAACGAAAGCGTCCAGATTTTATGCATTTGCGCATTGATCGGGTTTTCTCACTTCAAGAAAAATATTTTTTTCGTCCCCCAAATATATAGGCAATTCACTTTACAATGTACTCTATGAAGCGCTTTGAGATGTCTTAATGATTTGATAAGGCAAGGTTTATTATTAATATATTGGCCTTGGAGAGGGTACAGCGCAGATTCCCCAGAATGATACCAGGATTAAATAATGAGGATAGGTTGCATAAACTTGGCTTGTATTCCCTTGAGTTTAGCAGGTTAAGCAGTGATCTGATTGAGGTGTTTAAAGTGATAAAGGGGTTCAGTAGGTTAGATGCAGGGAAACTATTTCCTCAGGGAGGTGGGGGAATCCAGAACAAGGTGACATATCTTAAAATTAGAGCTAGACCATTTAGGAGTGAAATCAGAAAGCACATTTTCACACAAAGGGCAGTGGAAATCTGGAATTCTCTCCTCCAACAGACTTTGGATGCTGAATCTATTCAAATTTGTCAAGACTGAGGTGGATAGATTTTGTTAGATCAGGGTATCAAGGGATATGGAGCAAAGGCAGGTAAATGAAGTTGAGGTACAGATCAGTCATGATCTAATAGAATTGTGCAACAGATTCGAGGGAATGAATGTTCCTATTTCCTACTCGGAGTGAATGGTACAAATCAACCACACAATAGAAGGTCATTTGAATTCCTTTTTCAGGATGCTACACAGAGGCTGTTTAGCAGAGTGTTAGTCTTGCTCAGTTGGTAGCTCTCATTTCCGACTCATAAGGTTGTGGCTTCAAGCTCTACACTGGGGCTTTGTCTGACTAGGCTAATAATCCAGTATGGTACCGTGGAGGAGTGAGGCTTTGTCAGAGGTGAATGAGATGTTAAAAATAAAAATAAAAATAAAATCCTGTCTATCTGTTTAGGTGGACATTAAGATCCTCTGGCAATAAAAAAGGAAGTTTCTCTGGCCAACAATCTCCCAGATAGAATTGGCTGCACAAGTGGACAGGGTTATGAAAAAAGTTAGTAGTATTGTGGGTTTGATAAATGGGGCCTAGATACAAAAGCAAAGCTACGTTTCTACAAATAATTGGTTAGAACCTGGAGAAATGTATTCAGTTTTGGGCATCTAACTTTAGCAATGATGTAAAGCCCTCGGAGGGAATGCAGATGACATTTTACAAGGTGCCAGGGATGAGGGCCTTTGGTTATGAGGAAAGATTAAATCACCTTTAAATGTTGCTGTGTTAAATGTAATGCAAGTGCCACTGTGTGTCTGAAAGTTTGCATATTCATTGATCACTCACATCATTGCTGATCACAAAAAAGGTTAAGATGATGAAGAAGACCCTTCGGCCCATTTGATCTCATCCTTCCAAAATGACCCTTATTGTCCTTCCATCACAGCATCAAGCTGTTTTATTTAAATGAGGTGAGCGTCCTGGCCCCAATAAGCCTTCCTGGTACCCCCTCCACCTCACCCCCACCACCCCCGAAACTTAAGCAGAAGTATGAAGGACACCCTACACAACAAAGACAGGGTATTACTAAGAATCGGTGTGGATTGCTGGAGTGTCTTGGTGACCAGAACTGTACACACTATTCCAAGTACGTTGGATTTATAAAGTGGCAGGATTACCCTACTATTTCGGCTCAATATTGACCTTATCATACATCCCAACATCTGGTTTGCTTTACTCATTGCTACCGAGTATTGTGATAGCTTCAAGTTATTGTCAATTAGGACCCCCAGGTCCTTTTCGATTTCATTTATAATTAGAGTTATAATTTTACCTAAATCTTGTTTTCACTTCACTGCAGTGGCTTATCTGTTGGGATTTACATGACAAGTTCTCCTCAAACATATCAACATTTGGCCTTGAATACAAAGGCAAATATTCTAGTGGTGGAGAATCGCAAATTAGCAGAAAAAGTCCTCAAGGTATGATTTCTTTTTGATTTTAGTTTGGGTCTCGTTTTTAAATAAAAGTGACTTTATACATCTGTGTAACTTCGTACTGTACAATGGAATCCTGTAGAGTAATGGTTAGAGCACTTGCTTCGCAAGCGAGAGCACCAGGGTTCAATTCGCATTCAGGATGAGACCTTAGGCAAGTTTCCTTACTCACCCGCCTCTGTTTACTGTCGATTGTCAGATCGCTTCTCCGGTGTAATAACCACTAATAATAATTTGGTCACTCAATCCATGGCTGTTTTTGAGACACTGCTGTGCGTAATTGGCTGTCACATTTCACCCATAAAATATACAGTTAATTCACTTAAAATATATTCTCTGAAGCACTTTGAGACATCTGAAAAACATGATAAAGTATTATATCAAATGCAAGGATTATTATTGTTTCATCATTTACTATGGACTCCAATATCTTCCTTCCCATTGATGATAAACTGCCTTCCTGGATTGGATCTACAACAACAACAAATTACATTTTTAAAGCGTCTTTCACATCGGGAGGACATCCCTTTTTTAAAAAAAAACATCCTCCCACATTTGCCACCTCCACTTCTCTGCCACAATTCCTTTCTCCATTGAGTTCTTAAATATATATATATCATTGCCCCAGCCATCTCCTCCCTAGTTTCTTTAAGGATTCTTCACCCACAGAATATACAATCAACTCACTTTACAGTATATTCTGTGAAGCGCTTTGAGACATCTCTAAGATGTGATAAGGTGCTATATCAAATGCAAGGATTATTATTATGATTGTTTTTATTATCTTTGGTGCAGTGCATCTGGATATGGTGCCAGTGATGATGATGATAATAATAATAACAATAATAATAACAATAATAATCTTTGCAAATGATACAGCACTTTATCATGTCGTCGAGACGTCTCACAGCGCTTCACAGGATATGCAGTTAAGGTTTTTTTTTGACTATGTGTTTTGGAACAGGAACAGAGTTAAATGCTTTCATGAGAATTCTAGAAGGGGAAGAAATGGTAAGGAGAAAGGAAAAGAATGGACTAACCTGCTATTTTTATCTCTAGGTTAAAAATGAATTGCCCCATCTCAAAGCGATTGTTCAGCTCAAGGGTAGGAAGAAAGCAACTGATCCGAAGATTTATACAGTCAGTGCCCTTGAGACAATTTTGTTCAATGCAACACTACTTTATATATACTTTACTTTTAGATAATGTTTTTCACGTTGGGAGGACGTCCCAAGGTGCTTAACAGTCATGGGTTGGCACCCAAGCTGGGGGTGGGAGGATAAAAGATGACTAAAATGAGGAATGTCTTGAGACAATAGTCCTGTAGCTCAGTAGTTAGAGCACTTGCTTTGCAAGTGAGAGATCTGAGTTCAATTCCAGGCAGGGCGAAACCTTGGGAAAGTTTCCTTACTCCACACGCCTAATAATAATCCCTCCAAAAGAACGCTGCTGCGTTCACCCACAAATATACAGTCAATTCACTCTACAGTATATTCTGTGAAGCGCTTTGGGACGTCTAGAAGACGTGAAAAGCGCTATATCAAAATGCAAGGATTATTATTATTATAAACAAGGTGAGGGAAGCAGTAAGTCGGAGAGACTCCAGGATGGTGTTCCAGAGAGGGCAGAAAGACTGAAAGCCCGACTGTTGATGGTAGGAGGGTTGGGTCGGGGGACTTGAAGCAGTGTCTATCGAGCGATGAATTGGGCAGTATGGTAGGATTTCAGATGGCTGCAGAGGTAGGGTGGAGCAACACCATGGAAGGCTTTAAAAGTGAGGATGAGGATCTTGAACATATTCCTCTGGATTGGTGGGTAATGGTGGGATAGATAGGTAGATAGGGCAGGGGAGGTCAAGCAGGTTGCTCAATGCTCGGGTACAGGAGCGAAAAATGCAGTGTTCCTTACTGACTTCGGCTGGCATTTGTGTTCCCGCTAGTCATTTGAAGGGAATTCCTCCCAGTGTTCTGCCCACCAATCCTCCCAATAATATTGGTCATTCACTTCATGGCTCTTTGTGGGACATTGCTGTGAATGAACTGGCTCCTGCTTTCACCTACAAAACACACAGTTCCCATGAAGCACATTAAGATGTCTTGACAACATGACAAGGCTGCTATAAAATTTAAGGATTATTAAAATTATTATTAAGAGTATAGGTTAGAGCACTTGCCTCGCAAATGAGAGGACCCGGGTTTGATTTCCGGGAAGGGCGAAATCTTGGCCAAGTTTCCTTACTCCCTACACCTCTGTTTACCTAGCATAAGTAAGAACCCTATTGTTAGTCGATTGGTGGGTAATAATCCCTTAAAAAAATAATAATAATTTGGTCAGTCAATCCGCGACTGTTTGTGGGCCACTGCTGTGCTCAATTGGCTGCTGTGTTTTGCCCACAAAACATACAGTCAATTCACTTTACAGTATATTCTCTGTGAAAAGTGCTGTGAAGAAAGCTGTGAAGCGCTTTGAGACATCTCAATAATTATTTATTATAAGTTAATTGTTCAAGGAACAGATATAAACATTTTACTTGTCTTCATTTCAAGTGGAAGCAGTTGATGGAATTGTCGAACGATATAGCAGATAAGCAGCTGGATGACATTATTGACTCTCAGTATGCTAATCAGTGTTGTCTGATAGCATACACATCAGGCAGTACAGGAGCTCCTAAAGGAGTAATGATCAGTCATGATAATGTAAGTTTTACATAGATTTACACAGACTGTACACCATGGAAACAGGTCATCTGATTCAACTAGCAATAATAATAATAATCCTTGCATTTCATACAGCGCCTTATCCTGTCTTCGAGACATCTCAAAGCACTTCACAGAATGTACTGCAAAGTGGATTGAATGTATATTCCATGGGTAAAAGGATCCTTAAAGAAACTGGGGAGGAGATGGCTGAGGCAATGGTATATATATTTAAGAACTCAGTGCAGAAAGGAATTGTGCCAGAGAAGTGAAGGTGGCAAATGTGTTATCCATTTTTTTAAAAAATGGCACGTCCTCCCGATGTGAAAGGCTCTTTACAGTATATTCTGTGAAGTGCTTTAAGACAGCTAGAAGACTTGATAAGGTGCTATATCAAATGCAAGGATTATGATTATTATTACTGTGTTACACTTGGATTACACTGTGATGAATAATTGGCTCACTCTTTGGCCTCTGAGTCAGAAGGTTGTGGGTTCAAGCCTCATGTTGAAGCTTTGAGTTAACACACTAGTGCAGTGCTATGGATATGCTACATTATTGGAGGTGCCATCCTTCGGACAAGAGGTTAAACCAAGGTCCTGTTTACCTGTTCAGATAGACTTTAACGATCCCACAACACCATTCGGAAAAAGAAAGAAGTTCCTACTGGTGTCCTGGCTATCAAACTCCCTGATAGAAAATTGGTTATTAACTTCATGCCTGTGGGACATTGCTGTGCGTATATTGACAGCTCTGTTTGCCCATAATTGTACAGTCACTACTCTTTATAGAATATAGAATATTATTACAATTAATACAAGGTAGCATTGGTATTTCACCACATGAGCCATTTAATGTAGTCCCATTCTCCTGCTCATTCCCGTACCTTTAATAACCTTCCCTTACAAGTATAAATCTAATTCCGTTTTAAAATAATTTTATTGACACTGCAATTTCTTGACAACGACTACAGCAAAACAACAGCTTTACACAGAACTGGTTCTCAAAGTGCTGCTCTGAGTAGATAGACTGAGACTATTTACATTTCTTTTTCTAGATAACATGGAATGCCAATACATCAGGAATAAATATGGATTTTGGCCATAACAATAGTCAGGAAAGACTGGTCAGTTATATGCCCTTGAGTCATGTTGCAGTACAGATTATGGATTTATGGATTCAGATGGCTTTTGGAGGCCTTACGTATTTTGCTAATTTGGTAGGTGATTTGAGTGCACAGTATTTTCTCCTCTTTGAATAGGGTCCATTCATATTTGTATGAAAACATCTAGTATCCATTTGTTATTATTAACTGGGACTTTTAGCTACTGTCTAACCCTTTACGCTTTACATTTGTGGTTTAGAATAAGCCCAGGAATCCTCTGGACTCCTTTGTGTATTTGGTCCAATTACATCTGATTCACTGCTGGTGACCTGGTGAGTCATCAAGACAACCCTGTGAGATGGAACAAATGCTATATTGAGCTAAGCAATGCCATAGTCAGTGGATCAGAGAAAAGCTCTATGGTTCGGTCCCATCCAGTGAGTGAACTAACAGCCTCATTAATCATCCCATGCTCAGTTGTGGGTGCATTTTGCCCATAAGCTATACAGTCAATTCACTTTACAGTATATTCTGTGAAGCGCTTTGAGACGTCTCGAAGATTTGATAAGGTGTTATATAAGTGCAAGGATTATTATAATTATAGTGCCATGCAGCACGTGACTGCAAAGGGTAAGACTTATGTGTTCATTATCTTTAAGTGTCAGCCTAGCTCAGTTGATAGCACTCTCGCCTTTGCATCAGAAAGAAGGCTGTGAGTTCAAGCTACACATCGTTGGAAGGATTTTGATTTCTATTTTCAGAGTACCTTGATGGACGAAATGAGGGAAGTGGAGCCTACAGTTTTTGAGGGGGTCCCTCATATCTGGGAGAAAATGCGAAGAAAGGTGGAACATAATCAGGCCCATCAATCACCTCTGAAAGTAGTCATAGGCCTTTGGGCAAGGAAAGTGGGAAGGATGGCGAGTAAAAACAAAATTAATGGGTAGGTCAAAAGGGCAACATTTTTTTCTCTGCTCCAGGAATGCGTAAAACTTTGCTTTGCAATTTTGCTTTGTTCTCGGATCAGGGAAAAAATAAAAACACCAGCAAGCTACCCTGGCAAATTTGTGGCCACTGCCTGGAGAAGAAAAAGCATCATAACTTGTATTTACAGAACTCCTTTCACGTAACGTAAGATAGACACTTCAAAGACCTTTGCAAAATGTACAGAATGCAGTCTATTATATTGGTTAGAGTACTCGCCTCGCAAGCGAGACGACTCAGGTCCGATTATTGGGCAGGGCCAGGAACCTTAGGCAAGTTTCCTTACTTCACACGCCTGCTTACCTAACAGTAAGTAGGAACCCGGTTGTTAGTCAATTGGAGGATTGCTTTCCGGAGAGGCATAATCCCTTAGAAAACAAACCAAAAAAATCCGGTCACTCAATCCATAACTGTTTGTGGGACACTGCTGTATGCAATTTGCTGCCGTGTTTCTCCCATAAAATATACAGCTAATTCCATTTACAGTATATTTTGTGATGCTTTGAGACATCTCAACAACATAAGGTGCTATATCAAATGCAAGGATTATTATATTATTGTTATTATTATTATATATGAGGAGACAGGCTCGGTGGTGAACTGGAAAGAGCTGCAGAGGGAGCTTGTTGGTTTGAATCTCGGCCTGTGTTGTTGTTGTGGCTACGTTTGCGGGTCCAGTCAGAGTTGCCAAGGGAGGCTAAATGAGTCCTTCCCAGCATTTAGGGGAACAAGGCCAGATTAAGTGATCGGGGTGGGTGGGGGGGAGCCGCCCTAAACAGCCTCATAGCAGAGACCGACAGGAAGAGAGGCACAGCCACGAGGTAAAGGCGTCAATCATAACTGGGGCCTTTTAGACCCCTGATTTGCCCACAAAATACCCAGTCACATCACTTAACAGTAAATCCTGTGAAGTGCTTTGGGACATCTTGATGAAGTAATAAAGCACTGTATCAAATGCAAGGATTGTTACATTTCCCTTGAGAGGACGTTATCAATCTCTTCTTGTCCACCGGTTCAGTTCCCACCCCCCTAAAAACAGCCATCATCAACCCCATCTTGAAAAAAACCTTCCCTGGATCCATCCCTTCTCTCCAGCTACCGCCCCATCTCTAACCTCCCATTCCTCTCCAAGGTCCTGGAACGAGTCGTCGCATCCCAGCTCCGCTCCTTTCTTTCTTGCCATTCCCTCTTTAAACCCCTCCAATCTGGCTTCCACGCTGCCCATAGCACGGAAACAGCCCTGGTCAAAGTCACTGATGATATCTGTGATCAGGGCTCCCTCTGCCTCCTTGTCCTGCTCGACCTCTCTGCCGCCTTCGACACTGTTGACCACTCCATCCTCATACACCACCTCTCCTCTTTACTTAATCTTCACGAACCTGCCCTTGCCTGGTTCGATTCCTATCCCTCTCACCATCTCCACTTTGTTGCCTCTAACGGTTTCTCCTCCAGCCCCCGGACTGTCACGTCTGGCGTCCCCCAGGGTTCTGTTCTTGGCCCTCTCCTCTTTAATATCTATATGCTCCCCTCTTGGTCACGTCATCCGCAGACATGGGGTCAACTTCCATATGTATGTGGATGACACCCAACTCTATCTTTCTGCCTCCACCCTCAACTCCAGGACCACTGCTGTCCTGACAGACTGCCTGTCGGACATCAAGTCCTGGATGAGGGCAAACTTCCTACAGTTAAATGTGAACAAGACTGAGGCCCTCCGGATTGGCTCACGCCAGCGCCTCAGCACCTCAGGCTCTGGCAGCATCAACCTCCATGGTTGTACACTACAACTCACCAAGCCAGTCAGGAACCCAGGTGTCTTGTTCAACCCTCAACTGTCTTTTCTTTCCCACATCTGAGCCATGACCCGCTCTGCCTTCCCTCACCTCCATAACATCACCCAACTCCGCCACTACCTCACCCCTCAGGCCGCTGAAACTCTTGTTCATGCCTTCATCACCTCCAGGCTCGACTATGCAAACACCTTGCTTTTTGGCCTTCCCAACTCCTCCCTCCACAGGCTGCAGATAATCCAGAACTCGGCAGCCCATGTCCTCTCCCGCACCAAACTCCGTGACCCCATCTCCCCCATTCTCACCTGACTCCACTGGCTCCCTATCTTTCAGAGGATCCAGTTCAAGATCCTGGTCCTCACCTACAAAACCCTCCATGATCTCGCCCCACCCTACCTCTGCGACCTCTTAACCCCCTATCAACCCGCCTGATCCCTCCGCTCAACCAGCTCTGGCCTGTTCCATGTCCCCCGACCCACCAGCCCCACCGTTGGCGGGAGAGCCTTCAGCCACTCTGCCTCCAACTCTGGAATTCCAACCCCCAATCACTCTGCCTCGTCCCCTACTTACCTTCCTTTAAGTCCCGCCTCAAGACTCTCCTCTTCGACCATGCCATCAGCCACACCCCTTCCCCTCCCTTCTCCCTCCCTGACCCCAGCTCGGGTCTGAAATGCTGTACACTGTCCAGTGCCTGGGGATGTCCTCCTGACGTGAAAGGCGCTATACAAATGTAATCTTGTTGTTGTTCTTTTGCCTCTCCCCTCCTATAATAGTCCTTGAGTTCTGACAAAAGGTCATTGACCTGAAACGCTAACTCATTTTCTTCTCTCCATAGAGGCTTCCTGACCTGCTGCATGTTCACAACGACTTTTGTTTTTATAATAATCCTTGCATTTGATATAGAGCCTTATCATGTCATTGAGATGTCTCAAAGAGCTTCACAAAATATGTGTATATATATATATATATATTGCCCACCTTTCCCACCTCAAACAAAAAATGACTGGATGGACAGCAAGAATGTGCTATTTGTAGGGAATCAAATCAAATTACTCATTGTTTTATTACTTACTGGAGGCCAAAGTGTTTCACTTTTATTTCTTCTGTCTCAGGAAGGCATCAGTGCCCCTTTGCTACAACGTGGCGAATGCTCTGGTGTTTAAGAAGGTTCATGAAGAAATGGGTTTGGATAAATGTACAAGGAATTTTGTTGGAGCGGCACCCATTTCTAAACGTACTCTGGATTTCTTCCATAGCCTCTGCATCTTCATTATGCCAATTTATGGCTTGAGTGAGAGCACTGGTCCACACACAACTTCAATCTCACATCAGTGCCAGCCTTTAAGGTTTGTGCCAAACAGTGGTGGTGGAGTCAAGTGTCAATTATTAACTAATAATAATAAAATGGTTATTAACTAATAACAATAGTCACTTATTAACTACACAGATAAGACAAGCCTTTCACTTGGTGATAAAATAAACCCGAAGGACTTTCCATAAATTGTGTTATTCACCCAGCTTCAATTTCGCCCACAAAATGCACAGTCACTCCACACGAATTATTATTATTATTGTTTTCCCCACCAAACTCTTATGTTTATAATTTGTTCCAAGCTGTGGCAAGGTGATGGAGGGTTGCAAGATAAAAATTTACAAAACGGATGAGAAGTTGGATGGAGAAATCTGTTTATGGGGAAGGAATATTTTCATGGGATACCTGAATATGCCAGAACAGACTGAGCAGACTATAGATGCGGAAGGCTGGATGCACACTGGAGACTTGGGATACCTCAGTAACGATGATTTCCTGTTTCTAACTGGCAAAATAAAAGGTAATGTCATATTCCAGTTTCCTTGCTTTTTAAACTAAATAAATGCATTGAGGTAGGAAAGAGTCTTTTTGATATATAAAATGAACACACTACTATATTAAATTTTTGGGGTCAGTCAGCCGGTTGTCTGACCCATTCGGAAACTCATCGCCATGCTTAAGAGCATCCAAGCCAAATTGAGAGTTACATGCATCCCACCTATACATGGAAATTCCTGTGAATCGGAATGGAATGTGCACTCTTTCCCAAAACACATCCTGCTTACTTAATTGCAGAGAGTATTAGGCACACGTTCACAAGAGCCAAGGCTTGAGAACTCAATTTGTGCATCTCAGATCGCTTAAAATACACAAGAATTTCTATGTCTAGGTGGGATGCATGGAACTGTGTTTGGTTTGGGTGCTCTTAAGCACGGTAATGGGATTCCGCATGTGTCAAACACCCGGCTGACCAAAAAAAGTATTAGACCGAACGAGTGATTCCCTATTGTCACATTTTATAAAATGCAATCGTATTTTAACATTTGATACTTTACTTCCACACTTGACTCTATACTCTTGGTGCAATGGACCATTCCTGTTGTTAATACCAAAAATCTAATTGATCGTTAAAAACTGTTTTGCTCTAGAATTTGTCATCCTGGGAAATGGAATGCACATTAACCCCTTACCCATTGAGGATGCTATTAAAAATGAGTTAACAATCGTCAGACATGCAGTACTCATTGCCATTGCGAATGATCTCATTATACTTCTGACACTGAAGGTAAGCGCCTGTATAAAATATAATGTGAGAATGTGTAACGCTTAGCTTTCACCTTGGCCCCATCATTTCAACATTCAGATATTCAGTGCTTAGTTCACACTTTTTTTTGGCAGCAATGGGGGGTGCACTGCATTGTCAGAGATGCCGTCCTTTGATGAGCCATTAAACCCATGCCCTTTCTATCTGTTCAGATGGACGATAAAGAATCCATGGCACTGTTCAAAAAGGGGGGTTTCTCCCAGTGTCTCGGCCAATAATCCCCCAAATAAAATTGGTCATTCGCTTCATGGCTGTTTGTGGGACATTCCTGTGCACAGACTGGCTGCTGGTTCATCCGCAACATATACAGTCCCTGAACTTTACAGTCTATCTTGTGAAGCGCTTTGGGAAATCCTCCTGAAATGAAAGGCATTCATACTAAATGTAAGAATTATTGCTATGTTTGTTTGGAGACCTTATTAATACTGCTTTTCTTCCAGTGTGAGGTCAATGAAAACACTGGTGAACCATCTGACGTATTGACCCGAGAAACCATTGCCTATTGCCGACGGATTGGGAGTAAAGCCACGACTGTGTCTAACATTTTATTCCAAAAAGACCCTGCAATTTACAATGCCATAACAAAGGGCATTGAGAATGTGAACAAAAAGACCAACTCAAACATTCCCAAAATGAACACATTCATCATATTGAAGAGAGATTTCTCAATTTACGGAGGAGAATTAGGTAAGGTATTTTTATGTTTTGATTTGTTAGATTTTTTTTAAAAAATTGGGTCAGCCAGGTGTCTGAAACATAAAAAACCATTGACAAATATCTAAACCAGATAATAATTCCCCACGTGTATAAATTTCCCTTTTAGTCCAAACTGATACCCCATTGCAGTGCTGGCCGTGTGTTTCATTGTCAGAGATGTTAATTCAAGGCCCCATTTGTCAGGTTCATAGGAACACAGGAATAGGCCATTCAGCCCTTCGAGCCTGTTCCGCCATTTAATTAGCTCATGGCTGACCTCAACTAATCCTTTCAATTCCAATTTCCTACTTTCTCCCCATATCCTTTGATACCCTGACCTACCAAAAATCTATCAACCTCACTCTTGAAGGTGTGGATGGATCCAGCATCCATGGCCTTTTGGGGGAGAGAATTCCAGATTTCTACCACCCTTTGAGTGAAAAAATGTTTCCTGATTTCACTCTTAAATGGCCTGGTTCTAATTTTAAGACTATGTCCCCTTGTTTTGGATTCCCCACCAGAGAAATAGCTTATCTGTATCTACCCTATCAAATCCCTTTATCATCTTAAGTACCTCAATCAAATTACCCCTCAATCTTCTAAACTCAAGGGAATACAATCCAAGTTGGCAGGGCAGGCTCGAGGGGCCAAATGGCCTACTCCTGCTCTTACGTCTTATGGTCTAAGTTTATGCGGCCTTTCTTTGTAACTTAACCCTTTTAGGCCTGGTAACATTCTAGTGAACCTGTGCTGCACCTTCTCCAGGGCCAATATATCTTTCCTGAGGTGTGGTGCCCAAAACTGAATGCAATAGTCCAGATGGGGTCTGACTAACGCTCTATACAGCTGAAGCGTCATGTCTTCCCCTTTGTATTCCAGGCTCCTTGAGTTAAAAGCCAACATTCCATCCACTTTTTTGATTACTTGTTGCACCAGGGAAGTAGTGATTTGTGAATATGGACACCCAAATCTCTTTGCTCCTCCAGAGTTCTTAATTTCTTCCCATTAAGAAAATATGCTGCTTTATCTTTTTTCAGTCTATAGTGGATGATCTCGCACTTCCCTACATTGAACTCCATCTACCACAGCTTTGCCCACTAACTTAATCTGTCTAAGTCCTTTTGTAACTTCCTACTCCCATCTACACAAGTTACTGAGCCTCCTAGCTTAGTGTTGTCTACAAACTTGGATATAAGACTTTCAATTCCTTCATCCAAGATATATATATATATATATATATATATATGGCGAATAGCTGGGTCCCAGTACAGACCCCTAGTCATGTCCTGACAATCGGAGAACATTCTCTTTATCCCTACTCTTTGTTTCCTGCCTCCCAACGAATTACCAAGCCACGTCACAAGGTTACCTCCGACTCCATGCGCTTCTATTTTCGCTAATAATCTTTTGTGTGGAACCTTATCAAAAGCCTTTGGAAAGCCCATATAAACGACATCCATAGACACTCTTTTATCCACTATTTTAGTGACCTCCTCAAAACATTCAACTAGATTAGTCAGACACCACCTACCCTTCACAAACCCATGCCAATTCTCTTTGATAGCTCATACCGGTCCAAGTGTTCAGTCACTCGGTCCCTGATGATGGATTCCAGTATTTTCCCTACAACTGACATTAAGCTGACAGGTCTGTAGCTTCCTGGTTTCTCCCTCCCTCCCTTCTTAAATAATGGGCGACATCCACAATTCTCCAATCTAAGGGCACAATTCCCGAATCTAGTGAGCTTTGGAAAATTATGACGAATGCATCCTCTCCTATTTCCCTTAACACCGTAGGGTGGAAACTATCAGATCCTGCAGATTTGTTTATCTTGAGTCTCATTATTTTCTTCATTACCATTTTTTAATTTATATTAATTTTATTAAGTATTTCTCTTTGACTTATTTTTAGGTTCCTCTGTATGTCTGGTATTTTGTCCTCACCCTCTACTGTAAATACAGTAGCCAGGTATTTATTTAACAAGTCAGCTATTTCCTTATTTTCTGTTATAGTCTCTCCTACATCAGTCTTTAACGGACCCACATTCCCCTTGACATTCTCTTTCTTTTAAAATATATTTATAAAAGCTTTTACGATTGGTTTTAATATCCCAAGCAAGTTCTTTTTCATACTTCCTTTTTGTTGCTCTTATTATTTTCTTTGTATCCCTTGTGGCCTTTTGTAGTTCTCCCAGTCCTATGCATTTCCACCTTTTCTTGCATTTGAATAAGCCTTTTCTTTTAGCTTGATACAGTCTCTAACCTCTTTTGTCCGCCATGGTTGCTTAACTACACAATTGGAGCTTTTGCATTCTGGGGGTACAATACTTGTTCTGTATTGTATCAAATCCTTTTTTGAAAACTTCCCATTGTTCATCTGCAGGTTTACCCACTGACAATTCAGCTCAGTTTACTGTGGTCAACATATTTCTCATCCCATCAAAGTTTGCCTTACTTAAATTCAAAACCTTGGTTTGGGATTCTCCCTTTTCCCTCTCAAATTCAATGTAAATTCAATCATATTATGATCACTATTTGCAAGATGTTCCCTTACTGTCAGATTGTTAACTAGTTCTGGCTCATTACTCATCACCAAATCCTGTGATGGCTTGTTCCCTTGTTGGTTCTAAAACATATTGTTCCAAAATACTATCCTGAATACATTCTAGAAATTTGTTGCCTGAGGTGTCCTTCTCCCAGTCTAAGTGAAAATTAAAATCTCCCATTATAACTACATTGCTTTTGCTTCATGCTTCCCTGATCTCTGTATTTATACATTTCCCCACTAATCACAACTCTCTGGAGATCTGTAGACTACTCCTAAGAGAGTCTTACCTCCTTTGCTGTTCCTTAATTCTACCCACAGTGTTTCCACGACCTGATCGCCCTTACCGAAATCTTTCCTTTTTACTGGTGTAATAGCATGGATAACGACAACTGGTTCTTTCCCCTCCATTTCCAAGTTCCTTTCCAGTTGCTTTGAAATATCCCTTACCCTGGCACCAGGAAGACAACACATCCTCCTGGACTCTCAAACTCGACTGCAGAGGATCCCTTAGTTATTTCATCCCCTATAACTACAACATTTCTATTCTGCTCCTTTCCTTTTTGCACTGCCTTCTGCTCTATGGTACTTTGGTTTGCATTCAGGTCTCCTTCCCCTCATCCAATGTAGCAAGTCTGTGCACCCCCCTACCTCTCTGACCTCCTCTCTCCTCAAAACAGCACCCGTTGCCTTCGTTTCTCTGGGTCTGGCCTCCTCCTCAACCCCCGAGTCCTCCGCTCCACCTTCGGCGGCCGTGCCTTCAACCACTATGCCCCGAGGCTTTGGAATTGCCTTCCTCACTCCCATTGTCTCGCTCCCTCCCTTCCCATTTTCAGGTCTCTGCTGAAGACCTTTCTTTTCGACTGCGCCTTTGGTCACCTTCCCTTCCCTCCCCCCGGCTCGGTCCGTAAAGCGCTCTGAGAAACTGTAAAGCGCTCTGAGACGCCGTCCAGCGTAGAGGGCGCTATATAAATCCAAGTTGTTGTATCAAGTACATTGTACCTGATGGACAGAACCAGTTTCTCCTTCTCTGCCTCTACTAAGTAAATGCTACCCTGCTGGCAATTAATCTCACACTCCTATTCCTGAACCTCTCTATGTGGTATGGCTTGGTTCTGAAGTAAACTGTCCAAATATTCCTCCCCTCCCTTATGGGTCAGAGTATCTCTAACGTGCACTCCAGGTCAAAAACCCTGAGTGACTCAAGATACGTGCACCTCTCACAGATGGGACCATCAGGGTCAGTCTTACTGTCCACAAATTCCCACATACTGCAGCTGTGACACACTATCTGTGTTGCCATTATCCCTTTCTAGCTTCTACTCCACTTAATGTTTAGGATTATTTATATATATTTTTTAAATTTACAAGGTTTTACCTTTGCCTTTTTTAGTTATTTTCCCCTTAATCTATTTTACCGTTAACAATTTCAGGGTAAATAGGTAAACAAGTAATTTTTATACCTTTTGACACCTTTCGCTCAAACTCCTTAATACTTAACACTACTTCCTCAGGAATGTTATCATTGGTCGAGATGCCTCTATGTCTACACCAACTGAAGCACCTGACTTCACTCTCCCATCTCCCACAGGCCCCCAAAAAGCTCCCACAGTGAGCACTCTCACTGGTTCTGTTTCTCCTTTACAAGGAGACCTTTACAAGGAGATTCTTACCTGCACCTGTTAGGTTCGCTTTACCATAATTGGATCCTCGCCATTAACCAATAAAGGTCTGAACACAGAGTTGTACAATCAAGACAGTTTATTCAACAAAGTAACAGAAATATACTACCAGATAAGCAGTCTGGCCTGATGACCAGCTCTCAGCTCAGCAACCTATAGTTCTTACTCTGTAGAACTCAACTTTTTCTTTGTGTGTCTGTTGTATTCATACCCAGCTAATTGGTGTACTTGTGATGGTACTTTTCCACTAACCTATGTGCCCTGCTGAGACTACTTTTCCTCCTTAAGTAGTTGCTTTGTTCGCTCTCCCTTTTCTTCCTTAATCAGTATGTTTTCATAACCTTGCATTCCAGTGGTCTCTGGTGAGGCTCTCTACCCACAAACAGCTGCATACAAGTCTTATTCCTGTCAACTCTTTTCTATACAAACACACCTCCTTCCTCCTCTGCACCAAATTCCCACTCTCACCAAATTCCTTCACAGAATTCTCAATCCGTTGCACCTCACTCAGTGCCCTCCCCACACTGCTGGGCTCTCGGCTCAAGTGAGGCTCTCACAAATCTTCCCCTTTACATAGGACTCAAACAACAGCACGCAGTTTCGACTGGTCTGCAAATTTATTAATCCTCAACATCTGGCCTATTAACTGCTAATTGACGTGTTTGCCTGCTTACATGTAAGGTTGTTTCTACCTAAAGATTTCCCACTCGTCTGCTGAATGAAAGCGTTCTCTCTTGCTGTCTGGTATCTCTCTTGCTGAAGAATTCCCACTCTTACCAAATTCCTTAACAGAATTCTCACTCTGTTCCACCTGACTCAGGTCCCTCCTTAACTGCTAGGCTTCCTGCTCAAGTTTAGGATTCAGATTGATCCTAAAAGTCCAATGACACTATTTGGCAAAGGTGTTTTTCCTGGTGTCCTGGCCAACATTTGCCCGAAATAAAATTGGTCACTCACTCCATGCTTGTTTGTGGGGCATTGCTCTGCGCAAGTCAACTGCCACCTTCGCCCTCAAAATACACAGATGCACCACTTAATGGTATATGCTGCAAAGTGGTTTGAGACGTCTTGACAACATGATAAGACGCTACATCAAATGCAAGGATTATTTATTACAGTGTTTCAAAAATCTCACATCAAAAGAATTGTGCTGGTTTTATTTTTAGGTTCACTAATATAGTAGCACTCTGGTCTCTGTGTTGTAGGTTTGAGCCCCAGATCAGGACTTTGAGCTCACTATCTAAGATAATATTCCACTGTATTATGGAGGCATACTGTTTTATGGGAATTGGATTAAATAAAGTCATGTCTGTCTGCTAAAGTGAGTGTTAATGAACCAATGCCTTCTGATAATGCCACCAGCACTGTATCAGAGTGTCAACCTACATTAAGTGAGTTCCATGTCCCAACGTAGGACCTGAACCCACAATCTTCTAACTCCCAGATAAACATGCTACTAGGCTGATGTGTGTAATTCATGATACAAGTGATGTATATAAATCAAGCTAAAATAAATTATTGAATAGAGAAAAAGTATGGGAAATGAATGGAAAAGATGTGGAGGAAAAACTGGCTGGCCCAGAGACGACAAAATTCCCTGATCCTGGCAGCCATTCAAAGGATGAAACTTCTAACTTACATTGTTGTGTTTGCAGGCCCAACTCTGAAAGTGAGAAGGCATGTTGTGGAACAGCTGTACAAGGAGCAAATGGATTGAGGTCTTTCTAGGGGTGGTTCACATAAAGTTTTTATTATCACCTTGTAGTTTGTTAAAAATATTAAAGATGAGCATACTCTGTCACTGCTCAATGTTCAATAAGTTACAAAGGAAGATTTATTTGCTTCAAGATGACTATTGTAATGTGATCAGGGAACGTCTTGGGAGGAACTATTGAGGATTTATTACAACAGATTACAGTGACTCAGAAGTGTGCAGACCAATGCCTGTGGGAGGCGTTACTCAGGGACCAGTTGGTTAAGCATAAATGGACATCCTTAAAAAGCATTATACAGAGCTTGCACGACACATATATAAAGCTATAATGGCAAATTAAACCAAAACATACCAAAATGGCCAACAGAAAAATAAAAGGGGAGATTAAGAAAAAAACACCTGTTCTCCTCTGCATTGCCTGTAGAGCCTGGGCAAGCCTCTTATATTGATGTAGGTGTATGCAGTGCTCTAGGTGTGGCCTGACCAGAATACAGCTAGAGTATGACATCTGGGGATCTGAACTCAACTGATTGAGCCCAGCGTGCTGTTTTCCTTTATTGCTACGTCACACTGTTTTGACATTGTATGATGAGCAATGAGTCAATTAACTCCACGAGATCTTATTCAGCTTCCGCCTCTATCCCTCTGCGCAAAAACAGCTTTGGTCAAGATGACAAATGATATCTTGTCCATCTGTGACCAGGGCTCCCTCTGCCTCCTCGTCCTCCTTGACCTCTCTGCTGCCTTCAATACCGTTGATCACTCTATCCTCCTTTACCGCTCTGTCCTCTCCTCTCACCTCAACCTTCATGGTTCTGTCCTTGAATGGTTTGGATCTTACCTCACACCGTCTTGATTTCACCTCCACAAACGGTTTCTCCTCTAGCTCACGCACTGTCTCGTTTGGCGTTCCTCAGGGCTCTGTCCTTGGTCCCCTCCTCTTCAATATCTATATGCTCCCTCTTGATGATATCATCCGCAGACATGGGGGTCAACTTCCACTTGTATGTGGATGACACCCAACTCTACCTCTCTGCCTCCATCCTCGATTCCAGGACCACTATTGTGCAGACAGAATGTCTGTCAGACATCAACTCCTGGATGAGAGCTAACTTTCTTCAGTTGAACATCAACAAGACCGAGGCTCTCCTGATTGGCTCCCGTCAGCACCCCCTCACCTCAGGCACTGACAGCATCACCATCCAGGGAGTCACACTCCACCTCAACGAGCCAGTCCGGAACCTTGGGGTCTTGTTTGACCCACAACTGTCTTCTGCCCCACATCTGTGCCATGACCCGCTCTGCCTTCTCCCACCTCTGCAACATCATCCAGCTCTGACACTGCCTCACCCTTCAGGCCGCCGAAACCCTCATCCACGCATTCATCACATCAAAGCTTGATTATGCCAACTCCCTGCTTGTCGGCATTCCCAACTCTTCCCTCCACAAGCTGGGAGTGATAGGGTCTCGGAGCCTGGTGTCCACTTCTGCACCATCACCTCCGCTCTCGCCTGGCTCCTCTGACTCCCCATCCCCCAGAGGATAGAGTTCAAAGTACTTGTCCTTGCCTTCAAGACTTCACGGCCTTGCTCCTTCCTACCTCTGCGACAAGCTGACCGCATCACCCTGTCCGCTCCCTTCACTCAGCAAGCTGTGGTCTACTCCACATCCCCAATGCGCCCCCCCACAACATTGGTGGCCAGCCCTTCAGCTTTTCTGCCCCCACCTATGGAACTCCATCCCACGTTAATAATAATAATAATAATCCTTGCATTTGATATAGCGCTTTTCACGTCGGGAGGTCGTCCCAAATCTCTTTACAGAACACACTGTAAAGTGAATTGACTGTATATTTGTGGGCGAACGCGGCAGCCAATTGCGCACAGCAATGTCCCACAAACAGTTGTAGATTAAAAATGACCAATTTATTATTGTTTTTGGAGGGATTATTATTAGGCTCTGTGTGGAGTAAGGAAACTTGCCCAAGGTTTCGCCCTCTGCCTGGAATTGAACTCAGGTCTCTCGCTTGCAAAGCGAGTGCTCTAACCACTGAGCTACAGGACTCCACTCCCTTCATCTCGCTCCCTCCCTTGCCTCCTTTAAGGCCCGTCTCAAAACCCACCTCTTCAATCGTGCCTTCGGCCACTCCCCTACCCTCCCCACCCCCAGCTCGGGTCCAAATCCCTGTCCACCCTTGGGACGTCCTCCCAATGTGAAAGGCACTATACAAATGTAATTTCGTATGTAATGCTTCCATGGAGTATCTACATTTCCTATTCTAACTTAATAACATTTGGTATCAATATAAGAGGCTTGCCCAGGCTTTACAGGCAATGCAGAGGAGAACAGGTCTTTTTTTCTTAATCTCCGCTTTTATTTTTCTGTTGGCCATTTTGGTATGTTTTGGTTTAATTTGCCATTATAGCTTTATATGTGTCCTTTCACACTGGGATGTTGTCTCAAAACACTTCACAAGATTTACCATGGAGTGACTCAGTACCCTGCAATAGTTAAACTTGTTTTGTAGATTTCCATAAGGGAATCAATTTATTTCAAGATACTTCACTGGACCGGAGAAATTGAGAATCTGTTCCCTATGCAGATGTGATGAATAATGTGGTGATTCTGGCAGGATTCCATAAGTAAGTACGTCACTATGTAAGCAGATGAATAGATGATTTCATCCGATTTATGCTCCCAAGATTTTAAATCAAATTTTATCCTCAGAAATAAAGGCGCAGAGGATAATTATTGTGAGATGAGGTGTTAATTATCAGTTTATAACTGTACTTGGGGCACGCAGCTAATGTTTATTTTACTTTTGTTTTGTTTTTATTGAACAATTTTGGTGATCACAAAAATTGGTCAACTTCCACCACTGCTGCAGGAAGTGATGTTGCTTTGAGCAAACAGGAAGTGACATCTGTGGTGACCTTACACCTTGGAAATTGGCCATTTTTGAAGTGTAAAATTTTAAAAAAAGGAATAGAAAACATTTTATGGTGGGAATCCATTTTCTTACAATTGGAGAACATCAGAAAACCTATGAATACATATTTTAAATAAATTAACATGTGAAAACCGACAAGCCTAAATATTGTCAGGTCTAGGCAATGACTGGATGATCCACTTCATCATCACATTCTTAAATTACGTCATTAACTGAGTAACTCGTTGTTGTAAGGATTATTATAATGTAGGAGAGCTTCACAAGGATGGGATGGGATTCAGATGGAAGGTGAAACTGAGGCAGTGGGGAAGGAGAAGAGTGAGGTGCCTGTAAAGATAGATATGTTTTAGGCAGATTTAAACACAGAATGGGGGTAAGATGGAAGGCTACAGGGAGAGGGTACCAGCGGTTAGCGGTCATTATATACTAGCTGATATAATGATTATTGAATTGAAGAGGATGTATCTTATACACACATCTGGCAGTGGGACAGAAGGTACTGGGAAAACATACAAGCTTCTGGCAATATTCAACAATATAAAAGGTAAAACATGTTTTTTTCCCTCGACTGCCTTTTTATATCAGTTCTCCCCTCCACCCACACAAAAAGGTTTGTTCTTTGTGTGCTCAATATCACCCTCACTTGTACATGTACTGCATTGTCCTTCATACCAGAGACAAACGAGTTGAATAGTGTCTGTAAAAAAATATCAAATGTGGGAACAATGGTGAGGCAGGAACTGTGGGGGACATGAAGCAGGACCGTGCTTGACCTCTGAACAGAAAACCTTTAAACAGAAATAAAGCACATACAAATACTGCGTGGACAGTACTGTTACATGACATGACAATAACAATTCTGCCTTGTAATGTTCTCCCCCTCCCCAAAAAGCGCTATCTCGACCTCAAGGGCCACACCAAGTTGTTTTAAAAAAGAGCAATATTAACGGTCTCATTATTATTGTATTAAGTATGCTTTTAATATTCATCATTACAGCTATACAGAAAACAACCTCTAAACATCTTACATGATGAAAAAGATGTGCATATTACTGTTGCAATCAGCAGAGAAAACATTCAGTAATGGAAAGGGACAAATAGTCCTTTTCCACTGAAATGTGTGTAATCTTACAGGCTAAATTCATGGGGCTAAGAAACCAAATTTTCCTTCAAATATTTAATTGTCGTTTTTCCTCAATCACCATTAAACATGAACACCCACCGGCCACAGAAGACAATGCTGTGACTGCTTTTTAGCAGAAATCAGATACTGTAATGTTCAGTGTAGTGTGAGATTACTTTAGTACCAAACAATTAGATTCACCATTAGCTTCCATCATTAAGATTACTGTTTGGCAATCATCCACTCTGGCTCTGTACACAAGATGCTTAAATTAATCAAAGTGCTACGCTTACTCTTCACTGTACCATACAAACATGCTTTCTACTCAAAAAAACATTTTACAATTTACAGGATGCAGAGTGTTCCTGATTTTCAGACGTGTACAAAGTCAAACCAAACAGGTTTTTTAAAAAAGTAACACTGGTGCATTGTTTTTGGTGTAAAACTTGTAATGTAGCAAATGCTTATCCTGCAAAGTAGAAAAGGTTAATTTTAAAAAAAACGTTCTCCTATGTGTAAGCTGCTCAGTTCTCAATTTTTTTTAATCTCCTGAGTTTCCTTTAATTGAAAATGTGACTTTCAGCGGGTTAGGGTGGTACTGAATGAAGGTGTCAGCCGTCAATATTCGGTGTCTGAACCTTCCCCGGTGTCAGCATTCCTGGATAGCATGTAGTTGTCCATGTCGATTGATCGGCAGTTCTGTATGGCATATCGCAAGCGTTCAGCCAGGACTTGCTGGCTTGTGTAAGGAGGCAGACGGAGCTGGAAGAAGCACGTCTGCGCTGTAGGAAGACCATCCACTGGCTAAAGAAGCAGAAGTAAATCAGTCAATAGAACTCGTCAAGGTATTACAGTAAACCTCACGTAAGTTGGGGCCATACATTTGATAATACTGTACTACTTTCGCCAAGTATGAGCAATGTCAAACTTGCATAAAATCTAAACTCTTGCATGGGACTTGGGCAGGTGGCAATTATACGATTTATACAGATCAGATTTATGTGAGCTTTACAGTAGTATTATTGAAAACAACAAAGATTTTACATTTACACAACTCATTGCATGTTTGGAGGATGTCTAAAAGCGCTTCACAGAATCAGCTGGTGCCCCCGCCGGGGGTGGGGTGGGGAGGAGAGCTGATGATGGATGTGGAGGAATGGTGACCAAAAGCGCAGTCAGGAAAAAAAAATCCAACTTACTCACTGTACAATTCCATACATGAAAAAAACTAATTACAGGACCCAGATAGTTCCTGACTTTCAGATGTGTAGAAGGTCGAACCAAACAGGTTTTGAGAAAAGTCCGTTAAAAGGGTGTTAAAGCCTGGGAGGAAGCTGGTGAGGCGAACTCCACAACCGAGTTCCAGAGAATGGGAGTGTGGGGCAGAATTGAAAAGCAAAGACGCACAATGAACATAAAGTGAAATACCATTGTTTATTGTCATTTGCTAATCCTATATTTTGGGGGTTATGCTTTAGGTGATGGGGAAGAGAACAGGAAGATCATAGTGCACAAATTAAATATTTTCCCATCCTTTTGTGCTATTATTTAAAGGATTTTCTCTCCATCCTTGAATGCAGCACACTTACCCTGTCCACTTTAATAATTTGAAACTTCTGGGTGATGTCTGCAGGGTTGGCTGGCAGTCTGGAGCGCCCGGATACAAAGCGAAGAAACAGCACTCTCTCTTCATTTGAGAACTCCTGCAGCGTTTGCCAGAGCCAACTCAGAAGCTGGTGGTTTTCAACAATGTCACGGTAGCGGACAACCTTCTTCAAGGTGTCCACGTTAACCTCTGGCATTCCACAAACCAGCTGTTCCAGTTGTCTCTCTGTGAGCAGAGACAGAAGAGGCACGGGGACAATGGCTGACATCCCTTGCCTGACTGCTGCAATCTGAAAGCAATCAAAACACCACAAGGATAATTTGTCACTTTGTCATTCCATCTGACTAGGTTCTAAGAGGGAATCTAGAGGGGAGCAAAGAGGAACAACTAGAAGAGATAGGGCTCTTTAGCCCCAAAAGGAGACATTGCAAAAGTGTCTTCATAAAAGGTCATTTATAAATAAAATTGGTTTCATGAAAAATAGTCAATTTACTTTATAGCATATCCTTTGATGGACTTTTAGACATCAACAACAACAACAAAATTACATTTGTATAACACTTTTAAAGTCAGGAGGACGTCCCAAGGCACTGGACAATCAGTGTTTTGGATCCGAGCTGGGGGTCGAGAATCAGAGAGGGTCTTGAAGGACTTCAACGACTTGAGAAATGCTACATCAAATGCAACGATTATATATTAAGGTATTGAAAGGGTTTAATAACAAAATACTAATCATTGCATTTGATAGAACGCCTTTCACTTCATGAGGACTCTTAAATTTCCGGGGGTAATAATTCCTTCAAAAAAATAATAATTATTTTCTTACTCAATCCACAACTGTTTGTGGATCATTATTTTGTGGACCACCGCATTTCACCCACAAAATACAGTCAATTCACTTTACAGTATACTCTGTGAAACGCTTTGAGACGTCTCGAAGATGTGATAAGGCGCTATATCAAATGCAAGGAACATTACTATTATCATTCTTCAAATGTGAATTCAAAATTCTAAGGGATGAGGAAGAAAAAGTGGATAAATGGAATGAAAAGGTTGCCCACAGACATAAATCCACAGATCAAACCATTTAATGACCAATTCTAACCTGCTGATCTAATTCATGGAGTCTGTACTCAATTGCTCTCTCCACGTACTCCTTCCTGTTTCCAAAGGTCAAAGGGATGCTATTTCCTCCAGGAATTATGGGGACTAATTTACCATCAACACTCTGACCAACAAAAGAGTCCAAAGGAATCATCTGGAAAAAATAAAATATGAAAGATAAATGAGAGGTTATTGATAAGACACAATTCTGAGCCACATAAAGGGAATGCTATTTTCTGGAATGTGGATTTAGACATTTCCTGAAGCACACTCGGTGACTAATATTCACTGAACAGTATACAGGGTTCCCTTGGCGTAATTATGTTACCACCCATTTTCATTATCGTTATTAACATGTTTAGTGCAATAAGAACTAACAATCAATTTGGGATTGTTTTGTACCATTCCCAGGACAAGAACGCAGGAAGATAGTTTGCTCACAGTACAACTACTTGGAGATGTGAGGAAATTTGCTCTCCATTTTCCTTTGCTATTGGTAAAGATCCAGCTTCTGCACAATACTCTCTCCAAATAGCTTAGGAAACACCGAACCATATGCAAGCATAAACCACTCAATGGTAGAGTGCCGATAAACCAATGAACACCGTTCTGTCTGCTCACACCCCACTCTACCTACTCACCACCTTCGCTCAGCTAACACAGGTCTTCTGCTCCACAATTAGCACCTGTGCTTCCAGCCCCAAATTGCTGGAATTCCTTGCCTCAATCCTTCCATTCCGCCCCTCTTTGCCAGTCTTCAAATCACATTTGAAGACTTTCCTCTTTAACTGTGTCTTCGTGTACCTTCCCTTCTGGCTCAGCATTAAGTCACCACTGTTTAAGCACTCCGAGACACTAACCTCGTGAGGGGCGCTATATAACGCACGTTGTTGTTGGAAATTCATTTTAGTGTCTCTGCTAATGGAAATGAGAGCTGGGGAGTGGGGCGCGAGGTTATATCCTTACCTCCAGGAAATTGTCCTCTGTAATTCCACTATTGTCCAGATGTAAGATTCCATACAAACTCCGAATATAAAGTAAATCAACCTCCTCCAAGTCTTCAGTGGTGAGAGGGATTGAGCAGAGCTGTTTCCACACCAGAGGTGCGAGATGCAAGTCCAATGGTTTCTTGGTGCGAATGGCCACAGCCATCAGGATTCCCAGAAACTTAAACTGCAGGAGATGTTCCTCAGTGCAGGCTGATGGGTTCAGTAAGAACCTGAAAAGAGCGCAGAAAAGATTCATTTAAGGAATACTGTATTTGCAACTTTCTCAGAATAGATAATAATCCTTGCATTTGATATAGCACCTTATCATGTTGTTGTAACGTCTCAAAGTGCTTCATAAAATATATTGTAAAGTGGATTGATTGTATTCTGTGGGTGAAACGCAGTAACAAAAACAACAAAAAAATTATATTTATAGAGTGCCTATCACGTCGGGAGGAAGTCCCAAAGCGCTGAACAGTCAGGTGTCGGGGTCTGAGCATGGGGGAGGGGTGATGTAGCGGTGAGGGAAGGCAGAGAGGTGGGAGGGAGACCAAAGGCACGGTCAAAGAGAAGGATCTTGAGACCAGCCTTGAAGGAGGCAAGGGAGGAAGTGAGGTGAAGGGACTGTCAGATGGAGTTCCAGAGTCTGGGGGCAGAGAGGCTGAAAGCCCGGCCACCGATGGTAGGGTGGGTCAGGCGGGAGACATGGAGCGGCCGGAGCCTGATGAATGGAGGGAGCGGGCAGTTTGGTACGGAGTCAGCAGGTCAGAGGTAGGAGGGGGCAAGGCCATGGATGGCCTTAAAGGTGAGGACGAGGATCTTGAACTCAATCCTCTGGGGGATGGGGAGCCAGTGGAGTCGGGCGAGGGTGGGAGTGATGGGGTCGCGGAGCCTGGTGCGTGAGAGCACACGAGCTGCAGAGTTTTGGATGATCTACAGCTTGTGAAGGGAAGAGTTGGGAAGGCCGATGAGGAGGGAGTTCCCATAATCAAGCCTTGAGGTGACGAATGCGTGGGTGAGGGTTTCGGCAGCCTGAGGGGTGAGGCAGTGGCGGATCCTGGCAATGTTGCGGAGGTGGTGGTAGGCATTGCCGGTCATGGCGCAGATGTGGGGGAGAAAGGACAGTTCAGGGTCAAGCAAGACACCCAGATTTCTGACTGGCTTAGTGAGGTGGAGGGTGCAGCCGTGGAGGCTGATGCTGCCAGAGTCTGAGGTGCGGAGGCGCTGGCGCGAGCCAATCAGTAGGTCCTCGGTCTTGCTGACGTTGAGTTGAAGAAAGTTGGCCCTCGTCCAGGAGAGCAGCAGCCAATTGCACACAGTAGCATCGCACAAACAGTTGTGGATTCAGTAACCATATTCCCCCCCCCCCAAGGGAATACTATCCCCGGAAAGTGATCCGTTGATAACAACCGGGTTCCTACTTACTACTAGGTAAACAGAGGAGTGTGGAGTAAGGAAACCTGCCTAAGGTTTTGCCCCGTCTGGGAATTACACCCAGGTCCTCTTGCTTGCGAGGTGAGCACGCTATCTCCTGGTTCAAACCCGGTTTGATTTTATACTTCTGTACAAGTGTCATTCAGGACAATATTAATCAGTCACTACTTCCCCAGTCAAACATATTTTGTTCTGTTACATTTGTCAGCCTGGCTCAGGTGGTAGCTCTCTCACCCGAGTCAAGAGGTTGAGGGTTCAAGTCCCATGTCGGGATTTGGAACTCATATAATTTAATGCAGTGCTGGTGATGTGCTGCATTGTTGGAGGTGCCAGCCTTCAGATTAGATGAGGATTCTTATTATTACATTCAATGCTGGAATGTGAAAGGCTCAATGATAGAAAGTTATACTTTGTTGGAAAATTAGCATTTTGTTTTCACCTGTCTCGGTTGCTGCCAACTTCTGCAGTGCCATTAGGGGTTGCAACCAGTAGTTCAACCACTCCAGTCTCCAATTCCTGAAAAGAGAAAGTGAAAAATTAACAGAACAGAAAAAAATCAACCCTTCGTCTCGGCGGATTGAAATTCTCCATATAAAAAACTGTGATAATGTGCGGACACGAATCCTGACAAATGGGCTTGTAAACAAGTCAAATCACAAACCCTAACAAGTCAATTCAGTGTCAATGATTTTGCAAAATTGAACTATTTCAATGATATAAAAAAATTGTACACTTTGGGCTTTGTCCTTGGTCAACCTGTCTGGAGAAGACAGGTTTGCAGGGTTATGGGGAGAAAGCTGGTGAGTGGGGTTAATAAAAGTCAGTTGCTCTGTCAAAGAGCCAGCACAGACTCGATGGGCCGAATGGCCTCCTTCTGTGCCGTAACATTCTATGATTCTATATCTTCTTTAATATTTGCCTGCTCCCGCTCAGAGGTATCATCTGTGGGGCTAAGTTCCACATGCATTCAGATGTCTCCGTCAGCGCCTTGGGACGTCTCCCGACATGAAAGGCTATACAAATGTAATCTTGTTGTTGTTGTCTCCACACTCAACTCCAGGACCACTGCTGTCCAGACAGATTGTCTTGCAGACATCAAGTCCTGGATGAGAGCCAATTTTCTCCAATTGTACGTCGACTAGACTGAGGCTCTCCTGCTTGGCTCCCATCAGCATCTCCTAATCTCAGGAGCTGACAGCATCACTATTCAGGGATGCACACTCCACGTCACCAAATCAGTACAGATCCTTGACCTTGCCTTTAAAGGCTTCCACCTTATCACATTAAAGTGTCTCAAAGTACTTCACAAGTAATTGCTGTAAAGTGCAGCGACCGTTTGAGACAAATATGGTAAAGAAGTTCATCCTAAACCATCTTTTAGATCTGGTAAAGGCTGTCTTATATTTAAATCCCCTTGATTTGGACTCACTATTTAGTGGAAACAGCCTAGTTTTGACCGCCTTATCAAATCTTTTCACAGTTTTAAAACATCTCTTTTAGGTCTTCTCTCAATCATCCAAACTTTAAAGAAAAAAGTTCTAATCTATCCAATCTTTCCTGAAAACTGTATTGACTCATCTTTGATAAAATTCCAGAAAATCTATTCTGCACTTTCTCCATTGCTGCAATATCCTTTCTATAGAATGGAGACCAGAACTGCACTACGAAGATTTTATACAAATTTAAAACGTACATACATTTTTGAAACATTTTGATAATCGCTATACCAACTTCAAAGATTATTATATTATTATTAAAATTTCCTTACTATTGTATTCCTCTGGCTATAAAGTGAAGCACTCTACTTGCATTAGTTATGGTCTAGTCCACCTGGGCTGCTACTTTGAGAGTCCCATGAACCCAAATCCCCACATCCCTTTGTTCCTCTACCTAAGATAAAGACACCACCAGTTTGGTACTGGAAGACCATAATCGTTTGTTCCTAACAATAAATTTGAAATCTGTAACTCTCTCTCCAAAAGGCTGTGGATCCATTCACATCTTCAAGATTGAGTTGGATGGATAATTGTTAGGTCAGGAATACGGGGCAAGGGCGTGTAATTGGTAACTGAGGTGCAGATCAGCTATGATCTTATAGAATGGCGGAACAGGCTTGAGGGGCCGAATAGTCTACTCCTGTTTCTATCTTAATAAATGTCTATTTACCTGGCACATCTCTGTAATTGTGTCATCAAACACTCCACCAGCATCATCAGCTCCTTCACCGATCAGTTTTACTTTCCAGGCTCGTGACGGAAGTCTGAGTTCTGAGGCGTTGAGCTGCACAACTTGCTTGGCAATCTGAATGAAGATTGGTTTGCTCGACCTTCCCCTGAAAGTCACATATAGACAAGTCAGCATCAGGGATATTGACAAACTAAACAAATGTACATGAAAACACAACAGAATCTTAATCATCATATTTCCATGACATATATTCAAAAACAGCATAATTGGGAAGATTAGGGTGAACAAACAAACTGCCTTTGCTCTGGATTGTTAGCACCAATAACAAAAGCCATTTTTGCAAAATTATTTTAGAAAAACAATAACCCTTCAAAATTAAAATGGTTTTGACCAATGCTGAATAATGGTTGTTATGGCGGCACCATGATTGCAATAAGCGTTGGTCCAGCTCAGTTGGTAGCACTGTACGGTATGGACACCTAATGTCTTCATTGGCTAACATGAAGCCCAAATAGCATGGGTATGATATTCAATACGGCAGCAGCTTCCCACAGTGGTGAGGAACTGTGTGGATATTATTGATAGTTCAGGAATTCCTAGTTAATTCATGCTGTCTAGTATTAGTGGCCGTTACAACCATTTTAACTTAAAATCCAAGTATTTACCCCTCAATATGGTTTATATTGCCCGGTGATGCTCTTCTGGGAGAGCATGAGAACTTTTGCTCAAAGGCATGGCGGTGGCATCGAACAGGGGGAGGGGGAAAATCATTAAAGGGCATCAAAATAGCTTGAAGATTTTTACTGTAAAATATTAATTGTTGATGTTGTCCTTTTGTATTTCGGGGGTTCTCCTTTAAGCAACAAGGTTCCCTGTGTTTATAGAGCAGCTCTGAGGTTACTTAGACTCTCTACCTCGTAGAAATTCTCTTGACAGTGATCTGAGGCCCATAAGTCTTTCCCTGAATCATTGTTCTTCCAATCGATCGAACCAATGGCAGAATGTTGACCTTCGGGGAGAGAAGACCTCGTAAACGTCCTTGAGCTATCGCTGAAGCTCCAATATTGTACCGTGATATGACATTCTAGAAACAAAAAAGGTTCAGTTATTGAAGTAACTTCACTAATTCAAAAACAATTTTAGTTACTTTTATAACATAATAATCCTTCCATTTGATATCACTCATGATCACATCATCAAGATGTCTCAAAGCACTTCATAGAGTGTTCAAGTGCTCTGGGACACTACCCTGCATGAGGGGCCTTTATAAATTTGAGTTGTTGTCGTTGTGCAGTAACTGAATCTAAAGGTGAACGTGGCAGTCAGTTTGCGCACAGCAATGTCCCACTATCAGAAACTTGTAGAAAGGATCTTGGTTAACATTTCCTTTGAAGGAAAGCAGATTCAACAATGAATGCTTGAAGGAAGGAAATACAGGGTTACAGAAGAGGGATTTAAGAGGAATAGAAGCTCATTTGAAATATAAACACTGGCACAGACTTGGTCTATTTCCAGTTAATTCAGTCCTCCTAGTTAGATAAATCAAGGAAAATAAATAGCAAACAAAAACAAACCCTTACTCCTGATGTAGGACCTAAAATTTACAAAATAAAAGCACTTGAACAGTGGATGTTAGGATCTGGAATGGATTTACCTATTGGGACGGTGCTGCCCTCTGTTGGTTTCTACCACCATTACTTTACATCAGTACTTTACTAAGTTAACACTGCAAATTTAGGCTTAATATTTCTTATTGAAGTAACATTCCAGAATAACTGGTCTTCTTGTGAAAGTAGAATTGAAGTTGAGAAATAAGACTGATACACTATATAAGCAGGACATGAAAAGAACATCTTACCTGATTGCTAGAGGAGAGATTCAACAGCCTCCAGGACTTGTACATCAGGTCAGAGAAGTGAAAGAGAACCCGCAGCCGATTAGTCAGTGTTTCAGCGCTGCACTCTTTTAGTGTACTATACTGAGGAGGTATCGCCTGAGGTACACCAAGCTGAGCAGGAATTGTGGTACCTTTAATTGTGAAAGTATTCAACATAAGTCATTGATCCAGTTATATTAAGACAACACACTCAGGGTTTCAATTGCTCGTACCCATTTTCAGTTGCTCACCAATATGATACAAACAAAAACTGTACTAATATCTAATACATTGAAAGATTTCAATACATGAATACCTAGTGTAAGATTGCATCATTAAAAGGGGGATTGAAGATGAATTTGAAGAGAACATTATGAAATGGGATGGAGAAGCAGGTGAATTGGGATTACAGCGGAAGAGCTGGTACGAGCATCAGCTTAATAGACCAACTGTGCTGTAAATTGTATATTTGAGGCAATTAAAATTAAATTCATTGTTAGTGAAGTGCTTCTCTGAAGTAAAAATGGCATCAGAAATCTCAGACCACCTGCCAGTTGAATAGACTAATGCTTTTCCCCATAAATTAAACCTCTTTATACTATTCTGAGGGTGTGTGTCTTATTTTCAATTAAAATTTTTATGCTGAAGCTGGTAACCACTTTTAATTTATTTTAAGTCTCCCTTAAACCACACCTTTGCTTGACAGAAAAAGTGAGCAAATTTCCCCCAGGCCTCTGACATCTTGTGCAACTTGATAGGATGCATGGAAGCTTCCTATAAATCGCATAAAATCCGATTTAATCAACAATCTGCTCTAGTTTGTGTAATTCGATGCAGCCGGTAAGTACCCATGTAATAACTTGTCACTGCAGCTGGCACTTCATCTTCAAATGAACTTCGTCTTCGCATGTGTTGATGGAACAAGACTATGTTTCCCTCGATTCAATCCAGCCAACCGCTAAGTGTCCATGCATCATTTCCCACCATTCAGTGCAGCCGGTAAGTGCAGGAGTAATGGAGGGCAGGGGAGTGGCGTAACAAGTTAGAGGATGATTGATACAACTTGTACAAATAAATCTAAGTGGTTTTGATAGGAAACTGAATGGGTTTCGAGTGCATATACGACTTAGGCAATTATGCAATTTATAAAGATAAGACTTAATGTGAGTTTTACTGGAGCCTCCTTCTCCTCTCCCCAAGGAGTGTTTAACACCAAACAATAATATACAATACTATTGTATTGTACCAAGTACCAAGGTGTGAGAAGAACATTAATATAACACATTACCTGGAGCTCTTGGTGAAAGTGGAGGAGTGGTCCATGCAGCACTGTGACAACGCCCAGCTGAAATCTGCTTGATGTTTTTACCTTGAAGTATAGTAACCAGTGTTGGTTCTCTTACTTGATTAGTGTGGTTCAGACCAAGCTGCACAAAACAAATTATGATGAGCTTTTTAATATTATGAACTTTTTAAAAAAATGTTAAACAAGGAAAAATAATTGGAAGCTCATTTAATAATGCATGGGGCAGTGGTGAGAGATGAAGAACTTGGTGTTAACATTACTGATAATTCCCAAAGTGTCCTAAAGGTTTGCAGTTATAATGCTTCTTCCCCACTGATAACCTGTTTTATTTTAAAGCCACAAATGTAAATAAATATTGTGAAGTTTCTTTGCCAAGCAAATCACCTTGATGGCATCTCTGCCCCAAGGAGACCTCTACGACCCAGAAAGATGCAGAGTCTCTGGATTGTTACTGGCTGATTAAAGTACAGCTCCTTTAGAATCAGTTCCAGTCAAAACAGATATCAGTTAGTGTATATTAAGAGTTTTCCTAAATTTTGCAAAGCTTAATTGTCTTACCTGGCCTTCAGCATTACAACCCCAGGCATACACATCACCTGTAGAGGTCAAAGCAAGTGTATGCTCGGATCCCACCACGGTATCTTCAATAAACAAGCCTTCTAGTGCAGGAACTTGCTGGGGTCGATTGTGATTACGCAGCATGGTATCTGGTAGGCCTATGAGACGCTCTTGAATATTAATAAAAAACAGAAATCATTCTGACAATCCACTTCACATCTGAATTATCACATTCCTTGATAATTAATGAAAAGATCGGTTAACACAACCTCATTAACAAACCTAATTAGCATACTAAATTCTAATCTTATATTAACTTGAGGGTGAGTATTTGTCATGAAAACGTTTTGGATTTTAAAGGTTAACAAATATGAATGGGGGGAAAGGAAGAAATACCTTGCCCAAAAGTGAATACGTGTCCATCCTTTGTGAGAACAACAGAAAACTGGGTTCCACAAGCCACTTTCTTCACTCCTTTGTTGCAGAGACTTTCAATTTTCTACATTGCCAAAAAGATTGGAAATTGTAAACAATAATGAGGTTTCTAAGACCATCACATGTCTGCCTCCATCCTCTGGAACTACTCCTGTCTGAAATAGTTTCCAAAACAAAGTTACCTCTGGCTGGACCAACTTTTCTCTTAGTTCTTGGAATATTCAGTAACTAAAGGAACACACCAGAAGACACACTTCATCAACACACCTACTGCTACTGCTATTAGTCAGTCTTGAAGATTACTTTTCACAGCCTGCTCTCGGGCCAATAAATCAACCTCTAACACATCAGTAGTTATTCTTGGAAGTTTCGTGTCATACGACCTGGTGACTACCTGCTGACCTCCATTGACTATTCCAGGCTACAGGTTGTTGAGGTAAAGAGGCTAGGAGAAGGCCACCATTATTAGTTGGTGTAGTCCAATAAGATTTTAAAGTTTATTATAATCTGAGAATAAAAAAAATCTTTTCACAAGCAAACATTTTATTGCAAAAATCCAACATCTACTTTAGCATTTCACCCACAAAACAGATTATACCATGACACGCTTTGGGCACTTTCTCCCATTATACCAAATGTAAGGATAATTATTATTATTTTATCTGCAGATTACAGGCTTTTAATAAATACTATTTATTTTATGGTAACATGTGACCACCCCCTGGAATCTTTTTCATTCTCACCTGGGGACAGCACTTCACGGTACAAACCCCTAAGCCGAGCTTCCCATAGTCTCCATCACCGAACGCCCAGACAATCATTCCATCAGACGACACAACCAAGGTGTGATTCAAGCCACAGGCCACCTGAAGAAATAAAAAAGTATAAATCTCTTCAATTTCAACTTGGAAAACCACACACAACTAGATTGTTTCTTCCCACTCAGCTATACAGCATTCTAAAATAATTAAATGATAGGATATGTAAGTTTATTAGCTATTACAATTATGTTGCGGGGTCAACAACAACAACTTGGATTTATATAGCGCCTGCCACGCCGGACGGCGTCTCAGAGTGCTTCCCACTAACGTATCCCGGGGCTGAGCCTGGGGGAAGGGGAGGAAAGTGACCAAAGGCGCGGTCGAAAAGAAAGGTCTTCAGCAGAGACCTGAAGGTAGGAAAAGAAGGGGCGAGACGAAGGGAGTGAGGAAGGGAGTTTCAGAGCCTCGGGGCGTAGTGGCTGAAGGCACAGCCCTGAGGGTGGAGCGGAGGACTCAGGAGACAAGAAAGAGGCCAGACCCAGAGGAACGAAGGCAACGAGCACTGTTTTGAGGAGAGAGGTCAGAGAGGTATGGGGGGTGCAGAGGAGTGGAGGGATTTGAAGACAACAGTGAAGATTTTGAAGTCGATCCTGGCTGGGACAGGCAGCCAATGCAGTTTGGCAAGGACTGGGGTAAATGGGGAGCGGAGTTTTGTGCGGGTAAGAATGCGGGCGGCAGAGTTTTGAATAATCTGGATTTTATGGACTGCAGTGGATGGGAGCCCGGCGGGGAGGGCATTAGAATAGTTCAGCTGAGAGGTTACAAAGGCATGGACCAGAGTTTCAGCGGCTTTTGGAGAGAGGTATTGGCAGAGACGGGCGATGCGTTGGAGATGGAAGAAAGCAGTGCTGGTGATGGACCGGATGTGGGGGAGGAAGGATAATTCGGGGTCAAACCTGACACCTAGGGGGAGGTCAGGTAGGTGGAGGAGGTGAAAACCATGAGATTTTAAACATTGATGAGAGCCAAAGAGTATGGCTTCCGTCTTGTCAACGTTCAGCTGAAGGAAATTTATGCTCATCCAGCTCCTGAGATCTGACAGGCAGGCTGACAGAACATCAGGGGACTGGGGGTCGCAAAGAGAAGTGGAAAGATAGAGTTGGGTGTCGTCCGCGTACATGTGGAAATGTACCCCATGTCTGTGGATGACATCCCCAATAATAATAATAATAATCCTTGCATTTGATATAGCGCTTTTCACGTCAGGAGGACGTCCCAAAGCGCTTCACAGAACACACTGTAAAGTGAATTGACTGTATATTTGTGGGCGAATGCGGCAGCCAATTGCGCACAGCAATGTCTCATAAACAGTCGTTGATTGAAAATGACCAATTTATTATTGTTTGGTTTTGGAGAGATTAGAGGGAACATGTAGATCAGAAAGAGGAGAGAGCCAAGGATGGATCCTTGGGGTACCCTGCAGGTAACCGGGTGAGAGCGGGAAGAGAAGCAGTTTGTGCAGATATACTGCTGGCGATTCGTGAGGTAGGACTCGAACCAGGCGAGTGCGGTCCCACTGAGGTGGATGACAGAGGAAAGGCGGGTATTATTGGTCAATAATAATAATCCTTGCATTTGATATAGCGCTTCTCATTTCTTCTAGATGTCTCAAAGCACTTCACAGAATATACTGTAAAGTGAATTTACTGTGTATTTGTGGGCGAAACTCGGCAGCCAATTGCGTACAGCAGTGTCCCACAAACAGTCGTGGATCAAAGTGACCAATTTATTATTGTTTTTTTTCTTGAGGGATTAATATCAGGCGTGTGGAGTAAGGAAACTTGCCCAAGGTTTCGCCCTGCCGGGAATCAAAACCAGGTCTCTCACTTGCGAGGCGAGTGCTCTAACCACTACTGGGCTACAGGACTCCACACTGAATACAATCTGAAAAGCATGATGGAGTTGTCAACAGGCAGCTCACAATAATCAGGGTCTTGTGGTGTTGGGGTGGGGCAAAGGTAAGCAGGGTCTCCTTGAAACTGAACTGGCTCTGAGGAGATATGTTAGGCAGCAGTGTCAGAATCAAGCCCACCCTCTGTGGCAGTCTCAGTAGTCGGTTCCTGAGCTAGGCGTGTCTGCAGTATTCCAGGACACTGCTGATGATAGCTCAGCCAGGCTGACTCATCGGCTGAAGTGGAAGAGCAGACCAATCACTGCGGGAATTCTTCCCATTCAGCTCCTGTTAACCCCTGCAAGCCGAAACACATGGGAAGAGTCGTCCCAGCTGGACAAGCTCTGGGAAAGCTAGGCACAGTGATATCAATGGCAAGCTGTGTGGTTTTAGCTGGTAAGACTGCAGCAGTGCCCCAGCACACACTCTGGGGTCCCCAACCTGCACCTTATACTTTCTGTAATTAGGTAAGCAGAATGTGTCCCTCCAGGGAGAGAGTGCGCAATCCATTCCAACAATCTATCTCTGGAATTTCCATGTATAAATAGGATGCATGGAACTCAGTTTGGTTTGGATATTCAAGCATGGTGATAGGTTTCCACATGGATGACTAATCATTCCACAACAGGTTAATAATACAATATATTTGTACCAGTTTTATACATCCAAAAAATATTTAAGATACAAGGAGTTAAATATTAATACCTGTCCTACAGTATAATCCTCCAGTGCAGTCACCCTCTCAGGAAGCATTTTGTTTGATGTACTCCTCAATCCCAATCTTCCATAATCTCCACTCCCAAACGTGAAGAGTTTCCCATCAACTGTTACCACGGCCGAATGCTTAAATCCACAAGACAGCTATCCAAACAAACAAAAAAAATTCAATGCATTGAGGCTAATTAAAACGAATACTTGAATCATTTCCCTTTCAAATCTGATGGAAGAGGTTATGAGGAGAGGCAACATAAGCTAAATGGTACAACTTTAGGGGGGTGAAGGAACAGAGAGACCTGGGGGTTCATATAAGTAAATCTTTCAAGTTGGCAGGTCAGACAGGTAGATAAAGTTGTTAAAGCATAAGGATTACTAGACGTTATAAATAGGGGCATAGAATACAAAAGTCAGGAAGTTATGATGAATCTTTATAAAACACTGCTTAGGCCTCAGCTACAGTACTGTGTTCAGTTCTGGGCACCACACACTAGAAAGGATGTGAAGGCATTGGGGAGGGTGCAAAGGAGATTTACCAGGAAGGTACCAGGAATGAGGGACTTCATTTATGAGCAGAGACTAGAGAAGCTAGGATTATTCTCCTCGGAGCAGACAAGGTTAAGAGGAGACTTAATAGAAGTTTTCAAAATTATGAGGGGATTTGATAGGGTGAACAAGGAGAAACTATTTCCACTGGCGGGTGGGTCAGTAACCTGAGGACAAGGATTTAAAGTAGTTGTTAAAAGAAACAGAAGGTAGGTAAGGAGAAATTTTTTCACAGTGAATAGTTTGGATCTGGAATGCATTGCCTGAAGGGTGGTGGAAGCAGATTTGATAACAACTTTTAAGTAGATAATTATTTGGGGAGGACAAGTTTGCCGGGTTATGGGGAGAGCGCGGGTGAGCGGGATTGAATTGGATGCTCTTTTCAACGAGATGGCACAGACACGATGGGCCGAATAGCCTCCTTCTGTGCTGTATAATTCTCTTATACAGCTATGAACTCTGGAAGTTTCCCTGTGTCGTGCTTTCAGAGCAGCACTGTGGAAAGTCTCCACCCCAACTGCTGACCCAGGCACTGTCCGATGCGAGAAGACGTATAATAATAATACTTGATTAATAATAATTATTATCCTTGAATAACCTATTTCATATAGCACATTATCACACTATTAAGACATCTCAAATGCTTCATAGAATATACTGTGTATTTTGTGGGCAAAACGCGGCAATCAATTGCATACAGCAGAAATGAAAAAAAAAGCCTGAATGAAAGAAGAGGTGCAGAAAAAAAAAAAAAAACAACAAAATAAAGCTTTCACGAGAGGACTAAGGCTGACAGTTGGGTATGAGAGAGGGGGAATGTCAGGTGAGGAGAGGAAGGGGAGCGAGGAGGGGAAGAGAGTCGAGAGGGGAGCTGAAGGCACGCTCAAAGAAAGGAGACGGTTGAAGAGGAAGGAGGAAGCAGGGAAGGCAGGGGGGAGTCAGAGCCGGGCTGAGAGGCTGAATTGATTCACATTGAAGAAAACACTGTCATCTTCGCACATAGTCTCTGGGCAAATGTACATACTTGCACAATTTCCTCTCCTTGTAAAGCCTCGATCTGCCTTGGTCTGCGCTGTCTTTCACTGTTTCCGTGCCCGAGCTTTCCATAATCACCATCTCCCCAGCTGAAAACCTCACCACTCTCAGTCAGAGTCATAGAATGACCATCCGATCCGCAAGAAGTGACTAGCTGGGTCACTACATAACCTGGGAGGTAACAAGGAAGGATATGTTGTGGATATGACAGCTGGTATACAGACATAAATATGGTCATAAAAAGATTCCCTTCTGAAACAACAAGAGGGCCACATCCACTCTCACATCATGACAATTATACCAAAGAAAGCAGGGTTATAGATAGAATTTGTGTACTAAATTAAAAACGTATTGTTTTGGTTTATTTACTATATTGATGGCAATATACGTTTTAAAAAAAGGCTCATCGTTGGATAGGGAAGCACAACTCACCTCTGGTACCCTTCCCTTTCACTTATTCATAAATCTTCTTGTCTCTATTTTTATGTGACCACTGTGGCCGAGGCTCTATCCTCACTTCTTCCTCCAAACTTCAAAGTTTATGACACATAAATACATTGGAAAGACAATCTGTCCAATTGGAGCTAACTACTTACTGTTCTTCAAACTTATCCTCTGTTCTTCTAGCATATCATTTAATATTATTCTTACAATTGTTTTATCCAATGTCCCCTCATGTCATCATACACACTCTTATCCTTCCTCTATTAAAATAAAAACTCATTGCACAGCTTGCTAACGTAATTGATTATATTCTGGGACCCCAAACAATTCACTTGTTGGGTCAACACACAACCATTCCTCTATCCTAGCTTGCGGTCCACATGGCTATGTGCAATGCAGATTGCAAATTGGCCATCCCTGCTCTATACTATTTTTGGGTCCAACACTGACTGGGATCTCAGTGCACATATGTACTAAAACCAAAATGCAAGCAGTGTCCAATTCTGTTTTATAAAAACTTTACTATTTGAAATGTGTACATTCTGTCAGTGGCATGAATAATGCTTGAATGTGCAAGTTTTTTTTTTAAACATACAAACAGCTTCTATGGACGGTTCTATTCTCAGTAACAAACTAAAGGTCAGGCGATAAAGGTCAAAGATTCCGAACTCTCTTAATTAGCCTCTACCGTAAAACATCTCAGAATTGAGATTATAGTGTATACACACACACAAACACATACATGTGAACGCATGCATTTACTGCACATGCAGTTATTTATCTGCAATCTGACAGCAATTGCTAAATATGTAAAACAGTATTGTACTATTGTTTCCTACAGCTCTCTTTTCAGGAAAGATTCAATGAGCATTCAGTCATTGTGCAAACTACAAGTTACAAACAAATGTGCTCCCATATCTATTTCACAACAGAATAGCACTTTAACATCATTGAGGTCATCAGTTTGGAGAACAAGTTTGGAGTCAAATAATCTTACAGTAGAATTACTGGAATCGCACCACTTGAAGTGCAACTCTACTGCTTTTCATTTCAAAATCAGAGCTATAACGACAACACCTTCATTCCACTCTAAAGTGTGTGAGATTCAATAAAATCTAAGACTTCCAAAAGCTGTACTTAGTCAGCTGAATGGCTTTGAAAGCATTACTTTCATGAGGATTCTCATTTGTTTTGCAATTTAAATTGTAGGATTACAAATAAGGTTATAAAGTGGACTGCATAAAAAGGTGGTTATTCATGCTACTGTCACTTTCTTCTGTACAATGGACCTTGAGCTTTAAAAGAATTGTAGAAATATTTCGATCTCGGTAACGGTTTTGATTTTATTAGTAATAATAATAATCCTTATAGTTGTTATAGCTTCTTCCACACTGGGAGGTTGACGCGAAGTGCAGACTGGTTTTGTGGGTGAATTTTTAAGGGAACAGAGCTTGGGCAAGACATTCCCATACCTGTCTAGTTATTAATTTAACGTGATGCTAGACTTGAGATGAAGTACTATCCTGATAAACCAACACAGACCAGGCTAAATTACAAACTAAACAAAATCAATATTAACAGGAAATTTAAGGCTTGTGTGACACTGGAATAAAAATGAATTGCTTTGCTTGTTTTTTTTTGTACACAATGTGAATCACAGAATCACTGGCTTTACACTAAAAATAGTGCATGGTAAACCAGATACATTTTTTACTAATAGGGTATTGACGTATGGGTTTCAGAGCGATTTTACAGCTCTAGGTGTGCTTACCCTGGAGTGCTGCAATGACTGTAGGTGTATGAAGGTCATCAGAGTTTCCTTGGCCGAGGCGACCATAACTACCTTCTCCAAACGCCACGACTGTCCCGTTGGCTTGAACTAGGAACGTACAGTTCTGGCCACATACCACCTGGTCATCGACAAGCCAATAAAACACATGATCATTTTATTCCATTACAAAATCCATTGGTTAAGAAGTGATTTTTAAAAAAAAGCAAAGAAAAATTGTGTAAGGGTTTGACGCAAAGACATAAGTTGCCAGTAGGTAAAAAGAAATGAAGCAATAAGCCTATACAGCCATGTTATCTGGACTGCACAGGAACGTTTGAGCATTTCTTGCAAACCTACTCCTGTAATGGGATCCTGGGTAGGTGACAGAGACCTGCTAATTATTTGGAGTCAAACTCAAAAGTGCTCTTCACAGATGAGTGCATGTCCCTATTATTTTGTGTGTCCCACTGGTCCACATTTGTACCAATTTGCTTAAACAGGGGAAATAATAAATCTAAATGAGACGTTTTAGATCTTTTTTATAAAGCAATGTGATTAACAGGAAAATGTTGCGAGGAAGAAGGCAGAAAGATTTTTGCTAAAGAAATCATGCACTGACATGGAGCTGCCAAACTCCCACTTTGGTCAGCATACTTAGATCTCTTAATTCCCTTTGCAATGTCCACCACTACATTTGGTGTTAGCCTTGCACAATAGGTAACACTTCACCTCCAGTCAGAAGGTTGTGGGTTCAAGCCCCACTTGGGGACTTTTGAGTTTATAATCTCGGCTGACAATTTAAGGCAGTGATGCAATCTTTCACATGAGATCTGAAACCAAGGTCTTGTTTGCCTGTTCGGGTGGATGTTAAAAGATCCGATGGTACTATTTGAAAAGAGATGGGAGATTCTCCCGGTGCCCTGGCCAACAATCCTCTAGATAAATTTGGTCATTCACATGCAGGACATTACTGTGTGCAAAAATGGCTGCTGTATTTGCCTTCAAATAGACCAGTCACTGCAACCAAACCGTAATTTTCCAAATGTGAAACTCTGCTCTCTCTCAGTAGTATAAACACAAGTTAAAATCTTGCATTTTTGCAGCAGCTTTTCTTGTAGACATCTCAAAGCGTTTCAAGTGTAATCACTGTCAAGTGTAGTGACTGTTTTGGTAGGCACATATAGCAGAAATGTTACTCACAGCAAGGCTCCACAAACCAACCAACATGAGGTGAATGACTAATTATACCTGGAGGATTGTTGGGACACTAAAAGAAAAGCTTCTCTTTTCAAATGACGAAATTGGATATAAAAATAATAGAAAGCAGTATTGTGGGGTACCTCAACAACAACAACAACAAGATTCCATTTATAAAGCGCCTTTCACGTCAGGAGGACGTCCCAAGGCGCTGCACAGTTGGGTCATGACCCGAGCAGGGGGGAAATGGTCAGGGTGAGGGGAGGGAGGGAGCGAGGAGGGGGGAAATGGTCAGGGTGAGGGGAGGGAAGGGAGGGAGCGAGGAGGGGGAAGAGAGTCGAGAGGGGAGCTGAAGGCACGGTCAAAGAGAAAGGTTTTGAGACCGGCCTTGAAGGAGGAAAGGGAGGAAGCGGCGAAGGCACTGGGGGATGGAGTTCCAGAGCCTCGGGGCTGAGAGGCTGAAGGCCCGACCACCGATGGTAGGGCGGTTGGGGCGGGGGACGTGGAGCAGACCGGAGCCAGAGGAACGGAGGGTACGGGCAGGTAGGTAGGGGGATAGTAGGTTGGAGAGGTAGGAGGGAGCAAGGCCGTGAATGGCCTTGTAGGTGAGGATGAGGATCTTGAAATCAATCCTCTGGGGGATGGGGAGCCAGTGGAGGCGAGCGAGGGTGGGAGTGATGTGGTCCCGAAGCCTGGTGCGGGACAGTACACGAGCTGCAGAGTTCTGAATGACCTGCAGCTTGTGGAGGGAGGTGGCGGGAAGGCCGGCGAGGAGAGAGTTCCCATAGTCCAGCCTTGAGGTGACAAAGGCGTGAACCAGGGTTTCAGCAGCGTGAGGGGTGAGGTAGTGCCGTAGTCTGGCGATGTTCCGGAGGTGATGGAAGGCGGTGCCAGTTGTGGTGCGGATGTGAGGGAGAAAGGACAGCTCAGGGTCGAACAAAACGCCGAGGTTCCTGACTGGCTTTGAGAGGTGGAGAGTGCAGCCTTGGATGCTGATGGTGTCAGCGCCTGAGGTGCGGAGGCGCTGACGTGAGCCAATCAGGAGGGCCTCGGTTTTTCGCACGTTGAGCTGAAGAAAGTTGTCTCTCGTCCAGGACTCGATGTCGGACAGGCAGGCTGTCAGGACATCGGTGGTCGTGGAGTTGAGAGTAGAGGAGGAAAGGTAGAGTTGGGTGTCATCCGCATACATGTGGAAGTTAACTCCATGTCTGCGGATGATGTCACCGAGGGGGAGCATATAGAGGGTGAAGAGGAGGGGACCGAGGACAGAGCCCTGAGGGACACCACATGAGACAGTACGGGGGGTGGAGGAGAAGCCATTCGTCGAGACGAAGTGAAGACGGTGAGAAAGGTACGACCTAAACCATTCAAGGACAGTGCCTTGAAGGTTGAGGTGGGAGGACAAGCGGTGGAGTAGGATAGCGTGGTCGACCGTATCGAATGCTGCCGATAGGTCGAGGAGGACGAGGAGACAGAGGGAGCCCTGGTCACAGATGGTCAGGATATCATTGGTGACCTTGACCAGGGCAGTTTCTGTGCTATGGGCAGCACGGAAACCTGACTGAAGGGGTTCGAAAAGAGAATGGGTGGAAAGGAAAGAGCGCAGTTGGGAGGCGACAACTCTTTCCAAGACCTTGGAGAGAAAGGGGAGGTTGGAGATGGGCCGGTAGCTTGATAGCTGCGACGCATCAAGGGAGGGTTTTTTCAGGGTGGGCGTGATGATGGCAGTTTTTAATGGAATGGGGACAGAGCCAGAGGAGAGGGACAGGTTGATGATGTCAGTGATATGTGGGGCAAGAAAGTGGAGCTGGGAGATAAGGAGTGGAGTGGGGATGGGGTCAAGGGAGCAGGTGGTTGGTTTTAGGGATAGGATGAGTTCAGTGACAGAGGGTGGGGAAACGGGTACGAAGGTGTGTAGGGGAGGATGGGTAGGAGTCGGAGTGTGGGAGGGAAGGGGTGGGTGGTGGGTGGAAGTTGGAGGGGAAGTGACCGCGGAGCGGATTCCCTTGATCTTGGATTCAAGGAAATCCAGCATCTCCTCGCAGTGAAGGTTGGAGGAGATGACCTGCGCGGGGTGGCGGGGGGACGGAGGAGTCGGGTTGTGGTGGAAAACAGTAGCCTGGGGTTGTTCTTCGCCTCCAGGATTATCCTGGAGTAGAAGGACGACTTGGCCGAGGCTAGAGTGGAGCGGTAAATTTTGAGGAGGTCCAGCCAGATTTGTCGGTGGACCGTTAGGCCAGATTTGACACAGGTGCGCTCAGCAGCCCGCACCTGGCTTTTCAGTGAGCGGAGGTGGGTGGTGTACCAGGGGGAGGAGCGGGAGTAGGAGACAGTGCGGGAAGTGATGGGGGCAAGAGTATCGAGTGTGGAGGAGAGGGTATTGTGGAGGAGGGAGAGAGGAGAAGAGGGGTCGGTGAGGGTTGAAGGCCAGAGGGAGAGGAGTTCAGAGGACTCCAAGGCATCGGTTAGGGATTGTGGGGGTAACTTCTTCCAAGGGCGGTAGAAGATGGTGGTGGGTCTGGTGGAGGTGGGGAGGGGGGTGGAGGTGGTGAAGGAGATGAAGTGGTGGTCAGAGATGGCCTTGTCGGTAATAGTGACATCCGAGACACTGAGGCCCCGGGTGATCACCAAATCGAGTGGGTGGCCGTGACTGTGAGTGGGGGAGTTTATGTGTAAGGAGAGGTTGAGTGAGGAGAGCAGGGAAGAGAAGTCTGTGGAGATGGAGCAGGAGGGTGTGAAGTGTAGGTTAAAGTCGCCCAGGATGATGAGGCGATCGGAGCAGAGGCAAAGAGATGTGAGGAGTGTTGAAATGTCAGAGATGAAGGTGGGAGAGGTTTTAGGGGGCCGGTAGAGGAGGAGGATTTTAAGGGAGAGGAATGAGGGGTGGGAGAGGGTGAGGTGCTCAAAGGAGGGGAAAGAGCCAGTGGAGTAGGGGGATAGGGCAAGTGGTGTCCTTGAGATAAGGGCAACACCACCGCCACGGCGGTTGGGGCGGGGGATGTGGTGGGAGGTGTAGCCGGGTGGCGTGGCCTCCGTGAGGGGGAAGGTGTCGCCTGGGGTGAGCCAGGTTTCTGTTAAGGCCATGATATCAACGTTCTCATCAAGGATGAGATCGTTGATGACCAGGGCCTTGTTGCAGAGGGAGCGGACATTTTGCAGTCCGATGTGGAGGGAGCGGTTGACAGAAGGGTGTGTGGGAGGGGAGGGGGTCCAGGTTGTGAGGCAGGGGTGGGGGGAATGGGGATGAGGGAGGAGAGGTTGACTCCCCGGGTCTGTGTCCGGGGTGGGTGGCGAGTGTGGTGGGGAATGGGGCAGTCGGTGTGGCTGCTGCTGGACAGCCAACGCCGAGTGCCGCGGTGAGCCCGGCGGAGGATTCCCAGACTGGAACAGAGGGAGGTTGTGGGAGGGTCAAGTGGGGATAGAAGACGAGAGGGACGGAGAGAGAGGAGGAGAGAGCGGGAGAGATGGAGAGGGGGGAGGGTTTGGGTGGAGAGAGGAGGGGGGCGGGAGGGAGGGGGTGAGGGGGCTCGGGTCAAAGCGGCAGCCATAGTGCGCACGCGGGGACCGGGAGCGAGCGTTCAGGTGGATGGCATTATCCCGTAGATTGGGGCAGCGAACGCAACAGCTATCTATGGTGGAGAGGAAAATATTAGTCTTGCACTGAACTGAAGGGATTCACCTCATCATTTTTAAAAAAAATACAGTAAAATAACATCACCTGCAGAGCTTGTGATAAAGACGGAGCGAGAGTTGGCACTAAAGCACTGTTTCCAGCATCCGCCAGCTGTCCGTGCCGGCCACCTCCCCACAGGTACACTTCACTTTTCCCACCAAGCTGCCAGTCCTGAATAACAAAAAGATTATACAGAACCAAACAATCAACAAGTCACAAAGACATAGCCCTTTCAACTCCAAGGTCTGGCGTTAAATGTGTTCCAGGCACGAGGGATGCAAGTCGATTAATCACGTGTCTTAAAGATTTCAACATCTTGTACTCATATGTTTCAAAGTGCCTTAAAGAGACAGAGTTGGAGCCCAAGCAGAATGGTGATCCAAGGCACTTTTAAAGAAATAAGATTCTACAAGGAAAGCAACAGGGAGCACAGTTGAAAATTATAATTTGTAATCACGACTGGTGATTTAACCTCAGATTATGAGTTTGCTAACAGCTGCTACAGATAATTCTTTCTCCTGTTTCTTCCAATTTTGCTCATAAATAGAGTAAAATACCATTAATAGAACACAGCTCTGTGCATCACTTTTTGCATTAACTTAAAAGGGCTTTACCTCTGGTCTAGATGTTGCCCAGGCCATGAGCTGCTCATCCATTAAGTAAGTCCACTTATTATTGTCCTGTTAAAATTGAACAAACAAAAGCATATCTTGAAGAAAAGCTGAAGAAATTAAAGAATAAAGGTTTTTGTAATTGTTTGAGTTAAGACCCATAAGAGTAGAAACAGTTTTTTGCGAAGATTTCCTTGAATTTTTCTTGTCGAGAAGCTATCTCAGAGCTTCACAGGATACATTGTACAATTTAGTGGCTCTATTTGGTAGGCAAACTTAAAAGTTACCATAAGATCAGTCTGGATGAAAAAAANCACTCAGACCCATCTGATCTTACTCTTCCAGAACCCTCAGTCTACCATCTCCCAAACACTGCAGCAAGCTCCTGTTTTACACGAGTCTAGAGTCCTGGCAACATGTTTCAGTCATTGATTACTCTCTGCGTAAAGAAAAACTTCCAGGGATCCACTGTCTTACTGCCCTTTACAACTAACTCTAAATCCATGTTCTCTTGTGATGATAGTATTGATCTGGGTTTACTTTTTCAATCCCATTTAAATTTTTGTACACCACTATGATGTTCCCTCTGAGATGCCTTCTCTCAAGACTGAAGAGCCTTAGCTTGTTTAGTTGTTACTCATAGCTCATTCCTCCAACACTGCAGATCTGCCTCATTGCTCTCCTCTGCATCCTCATTGCTCTTCCAGGGCCTTGACAACTCCCTTATGTCACAGTGACCAGAACTGTGGCAGGATTCCAGGTACAGTCTGACCAGATCACTGTACAGCCCGAGAATGATGTCTGGGGATCTAAACTCAATCAATTTAGCAATATAGCCCAGCATCCTGTTTGCCTTGTTTATTGCTGCCTCACACTATTTTGACTTAGTGAGCGTGGAGTCAATTAACACTCTACATCTCTTTCAGCTTCCCCCTTGGTAAGTGCTGGACATTTTTATTTAAGACAATAAATGTATTAGTCTTCCCATGTTTGGTTCTGTCCCTTAACGTTTCTGGATAATTCTTAGTGTCAATTTTCATGGACAGGTTTCAGACCATACTAAACTCATTTTTAAACATAGAGACTATATAAAACAATCTCTGCACAGTTGGATAACATTCATGACATTAGTAAGAGTGATTGTAAGAGGTTTGTCAGAATTTGTGCATCTTAAATTAATTTAATCTGATTTTTTTTTAAATTACCCACTCTTTTCAACCTGAATTCTTTATAATTAGCTATAACAACAACAACAAAAAATTACATTTATAGAGCGCCTTTCACGGTGGGAGGACATCCCAAAATGCTGAACAGTCAGGTGTCGGGACCTGAGTATGGGGGAGGGGTGGTGTAGGGGTGAGGAAAGGCAGAGAGGTGGGAGGGCGACCAAAGGCACGATCGAAGAGAAGGGTCTTGAGACCGGCCTTGAAGGAGGCAAGGGAGGAAGCGAGGCAAAGGGACTGCGGGATGGAGTTCCAGAGTGTGGGGGCAGAGAGGCTGAAAGCCCGGACACCGATGGTAGGGCGGGAGACATGGAGCATACCAGAGCCTGCCGAATGGAGGGAGGGGGCAGGTTGGCAGGGAACCAGCAGGTCAAAGAGGTAGGAGGGGGCAAGGCCATGGATGACCCTTGATCCAAGTTTTTTTTAATGAAAATCTGAAAGTTTAAAAAAAATCATCTTTACATAGGAATAAAGTGCTGTTGATTCCATGAGAATCCTAAGCTTTAACAGATATTACAATTGGAATAACTAGCAGAAGTGACTAATGTGAGTTGGAAGACTGAAAGCATCCCTCAAAGACAACATGAAATTTGGGCGTAAAATTCAAGAGGTTGATTTCCTGCTCAAGCATAAACTATTCTCTGTATAATAACTACCAGTTTAGAATGAATTACTCTGAGGGATGTCACTGACATATATTTTACAAAAATACAATAGTCACATTAAGCTACATGCAAGTACCATTTTCTTTCTGCTATATTTTATGAGTGTTACTAAGAATTTTAAAGGAAAGTCAAGGAAACAATGGAAGAATTACAACACAGCTTCATCCTCAGCAACATATAACAGTGGAAAATTCTTTATTAATCTTACCATTGCTTTGATAGATTCAGTCTCTAAAACTGGAGTAAGATTTGGAACGCTGAATTTTTCTGGGAAGGTCGATCCTTTTGCCAGAGCTTCGGCACTCTTGATGGTAACAGAGAATGTTGCCAGCCAGCCCCAGTCAGTTGAAGGAATATCTTCCCCAGTGTGCTTATGGTGAGGTGGCTCTACTGGCCTGGAGAGCAATTGGTCCAAACACAGACCTACGGTAAGGGAGGCCAAGCTTTGCAGGAAGGTGCTGTGTATCAGTTGATCTCCGCAGCATACATGTGGCTAGAAAGTAGAAGTTCACAACAGGAAAAGTGTATGAGTAAGAAAATCCAGTATTTATATCTACTTTTGATGATAATAATAATTTCAATGTGGATTTCCCTCAGGCTGAATTGTCTGTGATTGACAAAGATTTGCAAAGAATGTACAGCACAGAAACTCACTGAAAGTCATCTAAGTTATTGTTAATGGCTGATCAACCGGTCAGGTTATCGGAAACTTGAAAGGGTAAAATGTGTTCTCAACTCCATGAGCTCAAACATTAATAAATAGAGTGGTCCTACTTGGACAAGTACTGTGCACATCAGTGACCTTTAATTAGAAAAACAGGATTAGGGCATGTACTGATTTAATAATACCATGAAAAACCTTTTTAGGTCAATGGGGAAAAATATTGAATTTGATCTTGAGTTGCATAAATACTATACTGACGGCAACAAAATATTATTTGAAGAGTTATTGTGTATCGCTATGTCACTAGTGGGTTCAAGAAATCTAGTTCACAAAGTTTATCTCCATTCATTGGGAGAAGATTCATCAAAAATTTAATGAGCAAGAACCGTGAAGTAACTATGGCAGAAAATTAACCAAACATAGCATTTTATGGAGTACGTTTAGGCTAATGCCAGCAGAAGAGGAAGATGGAAGTTTATGCATGGTGATGGGTTTCCACACCTGTCAAGACACCCATCTGACTAAACAAAGGTTTAAATTGGGGAACGTCTGCACACAACTTGCACTTACATAGTGCCCTCCACGCAGGATAGCGTCTTAAGAGCGCTTAACAGTGGCGGAGCCTGACCGAGCCGGGGGGAGGGGGCAGGTGGCCGTAAGCACGGTTGAAGCGGAAAGTTTTCAGGTGGGACTTGAAAGAGGGGAGAGAGGGGGCAAGCGGAGGCACCGAGGGAGTGTGGTGGCCTCCGATTGTGGGGCGGAAAGTGCGAGGGACGAGCAGGAGGCTGGTGCCAGTTGAGCAGAGGTGGTGGTGGATTGGGGAGTGAGGAGGTTGGAGAGGTAGGGAGGTGCCAGGGAGTGAATGGATTGAATATCTTCACACAATCATCCTTCAGCAATAATAAGGATGTGCAAAACATTCCATTCTTAAATCCTCGTTTTTTAACATGCACCTTCCAGTAATAACATTAAAACAACTGCTTTTAATAAAAGCCATTACCTTTTCATACGAGTATTGGGTTTGTAGCATCATGGGTAACCTTTCAAGAAAAGCTTTCATACATGGAGCCCTGTTCAATCCAACAATGCCCTGTGCTCGGAGAGCCATTCGACATGATGCTAAGATGTGGTGTTGGGAGGTCCATTCTGGGGAACATCTGATCAGAAGGACATCCTGGGAAAACAACAAAAAGTATTTGGAAATGTTCTATTCTTTCTCAGAAGTGGGTTTCCTCTTCTCCAGTCTCACCTAGAGATGCAACAATATGATGGATTGCCAGAATTAACATAAACATGAAGATCATTTTTTAATCATAATAATAATTATAATCAGTGTGTTCTTGTTCTTAAGAGGAACCATGATCCATGATTGACTTAGCAAGTAGAAAAGCAAGTGTAAGCATTTCCGAAGTAAGGAAATCCAGAGCATACAATACTTTACATAACAAGACTGAAGTCTCAGGTTTTTTTTAATAAAGCAAAAGGTTTGTTTTCATCCACTTTTGTAAACCTGAATTATAATTGAGTGATCACATGCATTTCCTGCTGCGAAGATGAGGATTGAAAATGAAAGCTGGCTTTAAGGCAAATCCCTTTTGGTTACAATTGTTGCACATCTGATATAACTAGCGATTAAAATAGAGTCTCTGGAGGGAGCTATTCCAGATCTGGCTTGTCACCTTGTGACATCAGGACTTGTCTGTATGGAAACACTATGGTATATAGCCACTGAGTTTGAATAATGAGAGGAAAAAAAACAGCATTTGCATGTGAAGGTTGAACAGTAGAAAGAATCAGCATTTTTTCTCCAACTGTTTTTGTTTAGCTTCTAACTTAATTAGACGAAAGGGCAGAAAACACATGCACACACACACACAATATATTTTGAAATATATTTTTCCAGGCTCCTGGTATGACAATTTCTCAAAATGATTTTTTTCCTCCAGTAGTTATTGTAAACCACCATATATGGCCTTATTTCTTGCTCCTGATAAAAAAACACTAAGAATAACAATGAATGACCGACTGACCTTAGACCTGCTGGAGCAAGCTGTTACTCCAATTGCTGGAATCCAGGCTATGCCGACAACAGACCCTAAACCTGTGACTACTGTCTGTAAAACCGAGCCATCCTGAGAACAAAACAAACGGCAGCTTTAGCTTTTCGTTCTCAATTATAAACTGGAGACATTCAATAACAAATCCTGCACATTTTAAGAACCCACATGGAGTCAATCAACAACAATAGATCGCATTTATAAAGTACAATTCATGGCAGGAGATCGTCTCAAGGTGCTGGACATTTAAGGATTTGCATCGAGGTTGGGGGTGGATTCGGGATGGGTGGGGGCCGAGGGGTGGGAGTGGGAAAATGACCAAAGGCACGGTCAAAGAGGAAGTGAGGGAAGGAGGTGAGGCAAAGGGACTACGGGATGGGGTTTCAGGGGGTGGAGGCAGAAAAATGGAAGGCTCGACCACCAATGGTGGGGTGGGCAAGGCGGAGGAGGGATGTGAAGCAGCTTGTTCCTGTGAGTGGACAGGTTGGAAGGGTTTTAGAAGGTCATGTAGTTAGGGTGGGGCAAGACCGTGGAGGACTTTTGAAAGTGAGGACGAGGATCTTGGAACTCAATCCTCTTATCGAATGGGGGCAAGGATGTGGATGATTGACATGCAGCCTGGTGTGGGGGAGGATATGAGGTGAAGAGTTCTGAATGGTTTGCAGCATGTGGAGGAAAGAGTTGGGAATTCCGGTGAGCAGACAGTTAGCGTAGTCAAGCCTGGACATAATAAATGCATGGATCAGAGTCTCGGCGGCCTGAGCCAAGAAATAGTGGCGGAGGCAGGCAATGTTGTGGAGGTGGGAGAAAGTTGAATGGCATGGATTTGGGTTTAAAGGACAGTTGAAAGTCGAAAAAGACACCAACATCCTGTTGGCACCTTGAGGTGGAGTGTACAACCATTAAATTGATGCTGTCAGCACCTGAGGTAGGAAGGTGCTGACATGAGCCAACCAGGAGGGCCTCTGCCTTGTCGACATTCAACTGAAGAAAGCTAGGTCTCACCCAAGACTTGACGTCTGACAGGCAATTAGTCAGAACAGCAGTTGTCCTGGAATCGAGGGTGAAGGCAGAAATAGAGTTGGATCATCAGCACCGGTATTCATTGTGGAAGCCATTGTCTAATAAACCATTTCACCACTCTTAAGGGCAAAACAACATCTTAAAATGTTAACCCTTTTGTGTAAATGCCAATAAAAAGAGTTTGCTATTTGATTTTGAGGCAATTTGCTATATTTAAAGCCTGCCTGTGCATCTTCCTTGTAATTGTGAGGTGAAAGCTTTACCTGCAAAGACCAGATATTTATTAATCCGCCAATTCCTCCAGACAAAAGTGTCAGTCCATCGAAACTAAAGGACACAGACTTCACCGCAGTTATGTGGCCGTTAAGACGAAATGCACACTTGACTTTCCCTCGCACTTGAACCTTCTCCTAAACAGAATAAAAGTTACATTATACAAGAGCTCCAATTATGGACAACATCAATTTCCTGCTGATTTTCTCAAGGAATTAAAACGTAGGGTTGTCGGATTAGTGCTTAGAACTTTCAAACTATTGACTCATATTCATTTAACTACTGTCCATTTTTATATCTGAAATTACTCATTTTTTTACAAAATCAAATATTTTCTCATTAATCGAGGTCACAGACGCGTATACGAACTTTGTGGTTACGATACACTACCTCACTTTGTTTCTCTTGTTCATCAGTGGAGTGCAAGAGATGTGGTAATGAAACAGCAGCACCAGCTTGTGGGAGTGTCCAAACATAAACCAAACCATTCTGGCAACCACTGGTGAGAAAACACTCAAGTCATTTTTGTCTTCGCACTTCTAGCACTTTAAAGCAGCGCTCATAAAAATAAATCGGAATCTCATTTCAAAACCTTCATGTTTTCTAATGATTTTTATCTGAACTTGACAAAGATTCATTTTTTTTAAAAAACAATCTTGTTAGAAGGCAGAGGAAAATAAAGTATATGCATGTCTGGGTATAAGATCCGTGTAACTCAACATCAACAACTTGCATTTGTATAGCGCCCCTCATACAGGATAGTGTCCCATAGACTCAACTCTGTTGAGCACTGGATTTAGGACCAGAAGGTGCTGATTCAAATCAAAGAAAGTCCACTCTGCCCTTCACCCTCCGTTTTTTTGTTGAATAGCACCATGTGATCGTTAACGCCCTGAACAGGCAGATAGGGCCTCAGTTAACTTTTCATCTGGAATTAACGTCTCATCATCTCCAACAATGCAGTGCACCCCCAGCACAGCACTGGAGCGTCAGCTTAGACTTACGAGTTCCAAGTCTTGAAACAGTGCTGAAACCCCCAATCTTCTTACTCAGAGATAAGATTGATACCAACTGAGCCCGTGTGACACCCTGAGCGGTGTCACCATAGTCACACATGTGTGCTACCGGTAGAGGGTGCTGTGGGTGGACCAGGAGCAGGATCACCAGCTGCGTTTCCCCTCTGTAACCCTGGAAAGGCTGGGGAAAATATCCCCTGCATGTGCAGCCTTGGTTGACACCAGCAAATTGGTCTACATTCCTGCCCTCTTTCAATCTCATTTTAATTTCCAGCCAATGATCAGTAACAGTTTCACCATCATACTATTAATTAATAGATACAGTGGTAGGTTGGAGACAGATAGGTTATGAAATACTCCTACCTGTAGAATATAATCACCCCACTTGCCTATTCTCATGTAGGTCAGTGCAGATTGATTGCTTTCAATAGTTTTTGTAAATAAGAAAATGTGAGTATTGTTTTATACTTACACTGCAAGCATCAGTCGGGGATCTGGACCTTTTCCTGGCAGAGGGCACCACGTTGATGTATTGACCAATGCAGAATGGAAAAGAGTGTGGAGAGCAAACCAGGTGGTGCCAACTTTCCCCCAGATCTTCACCATGTCCTCTCTGGAAACAGCGAGCAGCAGATGCCCAGTTGGATCCCACTTCAGGCCAGTTACACTTTCCTTATAACAAGAATGACAATGGATAAGAGGAAGAGTGAATCGGGAATGTTACTTACAACCCATTGTGCAAAACTGAAGATCAAGAAGTGGCTTTTTCTTTCTATATAATGGTTGACGTTGAATTTGGAAAAATATGACATTTTGGATTTATTCTGAGCACCGAAGTACAACTTGGCTGCAATCTTTGTGCAGTGGTTAAAACAATATATATTTGTTCAAGATCTGCTGGGGTGTACTTTGAATAATGAGCACTTATCCCTAACATATACATCCAAAGAGATAGATCTTTAGACAGGTTATGAAGGCAAATGAGAGGGAGGGATTTCAGAAGAGCTCTAGAGGGGAGAGCACATTGAAGCTCTCACAGCAATGCTCTGTGGCAATGAGTAAAGCAAGCCAGATGTTAGGCTGTATCAAAAGATATCAATAGCAAGCAGAAATAGTGGAGTATTCCTGTCCCTGTATAAATTATTGGTGAGACCGCACTTAAAATAAATCATTGGTGAATACTGTGTAGTTCTGGTCGCTGCAGGACAAAAAGAATATGGGAGAAATTGAGAGGAAGCAGAGGAGGGCAACCAAAATGAGAGGGAATGGAGGAACTGGACTATGAGGAGCGACTAAGTAAGTTGGGCATATTCACCCTGGAAAATAGATGATTGAGAGGAAATATGATTGCTGTCTTCAACATTTTAAAGGGGCTAGAAGTATAGATCATGACAGGCTGTTTCAAATAGTCCAGAATAGTAGAAGCATAGGACATTGCCTGCGATTGAAGGAGGGTAAATTCAGAACCAATCTAAGGGAACACAATTTCAGTGAGCGAATAGTGAACCTGTGGGACAGGCTCTCTAGGGAGATGGTTGAAGCACAAAACATTGATTCCTTCAACCACAGATTAAGAAATAACATTATGGGATACAATACGTAGGCAGTTCGGTACTTATGTGCATGCAAACTAAATGGACCTTGGTCTTTTTTTCGTCTAGCATTTCCTGTTCTTAAATTGATTAAAAGTTTGCCTGGTGTAAGAGATCGCAATGGTTGAATGCAGCAAAGCTGTGGAAGCATTTGAAGATAAGGAAGCGGTTCTTGAAGTCCAATGAACAGGGAATAAAGGTGCCGGAGGAGTAAAGCCTGGAGGGAGAAAGGATGTGAGCAGCAGAGGTCTGGGTGATCTGGAATCTGTGAAGGATGGAGCTGCAGAGGATGGAGAGCAGGGGGTTGAGTCAGAAGATGACAAAAGCGTGGATGAGTTTTGACTATTGGGTCTGAGGTAGTGGCAGAAGTGGGGCAGGATCATATTAATTTTGTCAGCACTGAGTTGGAGAAAGTTGAGGCTTATACAGATCTTGATGTCTAATACGCAGGCTGTTAGAAGAACAGTGGGTCGAGAGTAAAGACAGAAAGGTGGAGCTGGGAGTCGCAGGGTAACACATGAGAGTGATGCCCTGTCTGTGGATGGTGTCACCAAAGGGGAACATGAAGATTAAGTAGAGGGCAGGGTTAGGAAGAACTGTTTAATATATTACTGTGAATGTATTAGTGGTAATGTATGTGGATTACACACACATCCACTTTGCCTCCTCCAGCATCGACTCCAGATCCGTCAATGTTCTATCAGTTTGTCTGGCAGACGTCAGGGCCTGGATGAGTATAAACTTCCTGCAGCTGAATGTGGACAAGACAGAGCCATACTCCTTGGCTCCCGTTAACGTCCTCACTCCTGCGGATCTGAACTCCTCAACCTCCCTGGGCTCTCCCTCAGACTCACCGAACTAGTGCACAATCTAGGCATCCGGTTCGACCCGCAGTTGTCCTTCCTCCCCCATATCTGATCCCTAATCGGGACATCCTTCCTCCACATCCGCCACATTGCCCATTTCTGACCATAACTTAGCCCAAATGCAGCCGAAACCCTGTCCATGCGTTTGTCACCTCCCGCTTGAATTACTCAAACGCACTTCTTGTTAGTCTACCAGCTCCATTATTCAAAAAATCCATCTGATTCAGAACTCGCACACCCATCTCACCAGTTCTGGCCAGGCTCCACTGGTTCCCCATCACTGAATGGATCGACTTCAAGATCCTCACTTTAGTGTTCAAATCCCTTCTCTCCCTGGCACCTCCCTACCTCTCTGACCTCTTCACTCCCCAATCCCCCACCTGGTGCCTCCGCTCGACTGGCACCAGCCTCCTCCTTGTCCCTCGCACCCTCCACAATTGGAGGTCGTGCATTCAGCCACTACGCTCTGAAACTAACACTCAATCCCTCCGCCTTGCCCCCCCTCTCCCTTTTGTCAAGTCCTGCCCGAAAACCTTCCTTTTCAAGTTACCTCCCCCCATCAGCTCAGATTCCGCCACCGTTAAGTGCTCTGAGACGCTACCCTGCGTGGAGAGCGCTATATAAGCACAAGTTGTTCTTGTTTGTAAATGTATTCCATTTCTCCATTTTGAAAACACTTAAGACACTAATTTTGTAAAATGTAGAAACTTCACCTTTAAATATTAATAATGGTATTGTGTATAGTTATTTGTTTTATTTAAAAAAAAAGTCCTTTCCACCTGACTCCATTCTGATAATTTTAGGAATGATTGTTCAAAATGGTGAAGACTGTAATACCTGAAATGAATTGAGAACCACCGGCTCCTCTGTGCTATACGATTCCTTTGTTCCGAGCAAAATGTTCCCATCAGAATATCCAACCGCAAATGGCTTATCTTCGCTAAACCAGGCAATGCATTGGACAGAAACTGAATAAAGATATTAAGAAATGCTCATTAACATGAGTTTTTAAACTGTGCATAATTATGATAGGCTGGACATCTATGGCTTAAAAACTTTATCTTTACTAGTGGTGAAAGGGGTTACACGAGTGTCTCCATCAAACATTTTTGTCAGCTGTCCGCTCCTTCCGTTCAGCAGGCTGTGGCCTGTTCCACGTTCCCGCTTGACCTACCCCGCCATTGGCGATTGAGCCTTCAGCCTCTTGTCCCCACCCTTTGGAACTGCATCCCACATTCCTTTCGCCTTGCACTCTTCCTTGCCTGCCTTCAAGGTACGTCTCAAGATCCTCCTCTTCTACATCCCTGACTGTCCAGCGCCTTGGGATGTTCTCCCGATGTGAAAGGCGCTGTACAATTGTGATTTTGTATTGTATTTTGAGTTCATAGTTAAAAAAGGTTTTTGGCAAGGCAGCATGGTGTGCTGAAACACCAACATTAAACTATAGACTGGTAACAAAATTCCAGACGCCGTAATCGCAGGATCACAGACAAGGCAAGGAGCCAAATGAAGGGCAGGCACTTCTCCTCAGGCAGCGTGAGAAAACGAGAATGCAATTGGCCAGCACTAGTAGCTATTTACATTGGCAGATGCCTCTGATCAGCCACTTAATTGCATTGGCAACTGCAGAATTGTTCGGACAGAGATAAAAGTGGGAAACGTAGAAAAATCAAAGCTTGTCCAACTCTCCGCACAACATTTCCCGGTTTAAATCCACTCATTTGTTTCAGCAGGTTATTGCAACAGGGTTAGTTAACCGTAAGAGATTATGCACAATAGGAGCGACTTTTTTAAAAACAAATGAAATAAAAAAACATCAACACAAATGTTGAGATGGTACTTTCATTATGAGAAGCTGCCATCGTTAGGACGTACCATCTTTCCTCTGACAATGCACCAAGTCAATGGTATCATAACCGGAACTTTCTGTGACTTCAATACAGCTGAGTGATCCATCCAGTCGACCCACTAGTAGAATCTCAACATGTCTACTGTTGCCTGTGCTTAGAAATGGTGCCTGAACATCTGCCCAGGACAAAGCAGTTACCCACGAATGTTGAGGCTTTGTCTGGATTTGGTTCCCTTTGGAAACAATATTGGCAGGGAAAAAAAATGGAATAAAAATAATCTGTAAAATTTAGATGTTTACTGCTAACATAATGTTGTATCTTATTTCAACATGTAACACAGTCAAAATTGCCACAATTGATCCGTATGCACTAGTACAAGTACAAGGAGATAATAAATAGAAGCGCCACTAGATTGTTAGAAGATATTAATGATCTCTTGGTAATATTTCAAGCATTAGGAAATGTATCTGCTATCTGAAATTGATCTTAATTGATCATTAATCTTGTTATCATTTGTGCCATATTGTTGGTGCAGATTTAGCTGGAGTATTTACCTACACAAGTCATTTGACTTCAAGGCAAAACTGTGTGAAGCACTTTGAGAAGACATAAAGTAATTAATTCATGAAGGCAATTCATCAAATTTTACTGTGTACTTCAAACAGGCTTTTGTCATTAAAACCTAAACCCATTCAATTATATTTGATACAGTTCTAAGAATGATGGAGAGAATAGGTACGATTAGAGCTAATGTCAAAATATCAATAGAATTATGCACAGATTAGCTTCCTAAAAGAAAGATCAACTTTAATAAAATCCTTCCATTTGATATAGCGACTTATCATGTCTTCGAGATGTCCTAAAGCATGTCACAGAATATACTGTAAAATGAATTGACTGTACATTTTGTGGGCTAAACTACTTGGTGGGTAGTTCTTTTTTCAAGGAGGAAGAAACATATATCACAAGGACAGGCAGTGTTACCAAAAGGGACACACATCGATCTGAGTGGAGCGTGAATATAGGTGGCAGAGATGAAAGCGATGTCTGCTGATTGAATATTCTGAGCGGCTCTCAAGGGCAACTAATGGCTATTCAAAATATACAGCATCAGCACGCTCACCTTAACAATGAATTTCCCTGCTTTAAGCTTTTTGGGAATGGTTGGAACTTATTTGCTCCAATTAATTCATGGATGCCTTAAAACTAAAAGACAGAATTTTTTTATCAATAGATTGGTAAGTGTAAAACAATGCATTTCTTACCATTCACCACTAGTATGTTGACCATTCGGTCTTGAAACGTTGCCAGGAACTCACCACTTGCACTCCAGTATACAGCCGACAAATTGAAGTCACTAGTAGGTGTGCCTGGAATTTTGTCAGATTCCTCACTGACAACATCATGAAAGGAAACAGATGTTTTTCTAGTATTTTGCTAAATTTATCAAGCAGTTCTTTCAATTCATATACCGTTCAAACTTCGAGGCTTGCCCCTCATAGATAAATCATGAAGTGCTTGTGGAAATCAAAATATTAAATTCATTTCTTAACACACAAGTTCTTTACTTTGATACCGTTCACAAACTCATGGGCAATTTTTAAAGGGAAAACATTTAGAAACAACGTAATGGGCCAAATACTGCAGAAGCTGGAAAACTGAAATAAGAACAGAAGTCGCTGAGAATACTCATCAGGCAACATCTTTGGAGAGAGGAGAGTGAGTCAACGATTCAGGTCGATGAACGTTCATCAGATGAGCAGTTCTGAGGAAAGGTCACTGACCTGATGCATTAACTCACTTTCCTCTCTCCATAGATGCTGCCTGGCCTGCTGAGTGTTCCCAGCGACTTCTGTTAGAAATAATTCAATTCCTGATTCCATGATTAGAGCAGAAACACATCAAACACAGAACCATGTGAGGCAGTCGGAGGGCATTTCTTATCTTAAACACCTCTGCTTTTCACCACTTAACCTTCTTTACCTCAATGAGAAGAATCCCAACATCTCCAAACTGTGATCAGTTATATCCTCTCACCCCTTGCATCATCCTTGTAAATCTACACTCCACCCGTGTCAAAGTTCGAATGTCTTTTCTATAGTGCGTTACACAAAAACACACACAATATTCCAGGTGCAGCCTAACCAACTTCTTCTCGAGTTAAACAATTGTAGGTGCCCACACACATTATCTGGATCTTCCTGCGTTGAAGTGGAGCCCTGATATTTGATGTCTGCTCCACATTTCCCTGATTTGCTGTGTGAGCTTTCAGAATGCAATTTTGGCACAGAAAGATGGAGCATTTGCTTGCCTCTGATCTTTCTCATGCATGGAGGTGCCAACAGCACTGGAGAAAGCACTAAAAGATTTAAACAAAAAGACTAAATGCCACAATACACTGTGTATAGCTTCACTTACCATGATTTAAAGCAAACAGTCTGTATCAGAGCAAATGTGTTTTTTGTTATACTCCAAAGTCGAATGGTTCCATCCAGGGCACTTGTGGCCAACAGACCTTTGTTATCTGACCAGCAAGAACTTGTGACCTGTTTTTGAAATAAAACAAACATTATGATTGTATTGCGTTTCTAAACAATTAATTAATGTAACTGTCAGCCAGTTAGAAATTAACTTCTTTAAAATATTCTTCAAACCACCTTAATCATTATTTTCAAATTGCAGAGTACACTGGAGGGATAGTTTCATATCCTTATCTGGCACTTAACACTCATTTCACCTACAAGTCACTTTACAGTATATTCTGTGAAGGGCTTTGAGACGTCTCAATGATGTGATAAGGTGCTACATCAAATGCAAGGCTTACTATTACTACTTGCAAATTGTTAGGCCTTTAATATAACTACCAGATAAAACATCTAATACTTTTTTTTTGCTATTTTATGACTTTCCTGCTTTTTATTTTATTCTGCCCTTTTCTCTCCTCCCCAATTTTCATTCATTTCAAAATATATATTTATATAAACATATATTATCATAGATTTCAAGACTTACACTCATCAAGGTAAATGAATATGTGGTAAGTGCATAATATTCTCACTCTTGTGACACCAAGTCAATATCAAGATCTCCCCACCTATAAAGTACAAGTTAGATGAAAAAAAAAGCACTCTCTCCTCTACCTGAACAACATACTTTAGACACCAACCTGAGAAGTCTCAATTGCACAAAGGTCACATCCACATCCTATATGACAACGATTTGTCAAATTAGGGGCTGGTATTTACTAAGAAATTTACTAAGAAATACAAGCCAGACTTTCACAGTACTCAAAGCTAGCAAAATGAGGGAAATTTCTATCTAGAAACCGTAGTCTAACCTAGTGCAACACCCAGTCTCTTTTTCCCCATTTCTACCTTTCAGCGTTTAATTTTTACTTCACGTTATCTGTCACTGTTCTTATTGGCCACAGTTTCATTCAATCAATTGAAATACATTTTTAAAAATTACCCTGTTTTCATGTGCTTCCAGCTTAACAGTAGGACATTTCCGTAAGTCCCCGGCCAGGTCTGCGTAGGTTTGAGGCCTGTATTGGTTGTACCTCTCAGATGTAGACAAGGCTTGCAGGAGTTGTTGTGCAGCCCACTGGCGATGCCCAGAACTTAATCTTCCAGATAGACAACATGCTGCAAGTGCATTTGCCAGTTCTAAGGGTCCTACTTGTGGTGATGAATAAGGATAAGCAGGTGGGGAAGTATTTGGAGCAGCATCTACAAAGGCAACAATGAGAAGATGGTTTAACAAAAGAGTGGCCACCGGTTGCATTAGACAGGCGATTCCTGAATAGAAGTGGTTTATTATTGAAAATTGCTTGGGATTGTTCCAGGATGGTTGTTGATAGCAGGTGGTTGCTTTAACAGGTTTGACTGTAAATTTATTTGGCTGGTGAAGATTTGATAAGTATCTTTTCTAGCATTTTTTTAAAAAGCCCACTTTTTAAAATAATTTGGAATTAAAAGTATTGTAAGCACTTAATGTCCTCTAAACTCTTCAATGGCACAAATATAGCTTTGACGACCATTTACAGTCTTGAATTCAACTAATGAATGTTAAAAATAAACACATAGATCACAGTTAATTTATGTTTTTTTACCTTTGGGATCTGCCTCCTCTTTGTCACGATTCGATTGATGCCGGAAACCTTTTTCTGTTAGCAGCGCTACAAGTGCCTGAGTTACCAGAAAGTTGGGAGAGCCAGAAGGTTTGTTGTCTTTTACTGGTCTGTGGAAAAGGTGAAGCACCTTGTTCTTCTGCTGTATGTCACGAATTGCACCTATATTTAGGCCTGTTGCAGCAGCAATCAAATCCTTCGAGAAAAAAATGGTTTGCGAGTCAATTTAAAAAAACATACAGAAACCTCACACAGATCCAACACTTAGCTTGTTTACTCGTCATTTGGAACAAAGCTTTTCTTTACATAAAAAAAAGCATGCAAATCAAAATGATGCAGATAAATTATTCACAGAGATTACTCAGAGTTACTTTTTACCAAATTATATTAAAAAAAANGTGCTTAATAATGAAAGCAGCAGACTGACAAATACAGTATATTGTATGATACATAATGGGCTCAATACAAAGAACAAGCAATAAAACAAGACTGAACTGTATTTTCTTGAGCATTTTGCCAGACATTTTCATTGTCACTTTGGGTGTCATTGGGTTAACGTTATATCAGTTCATTTTAAACAAATGCATCAAATCATCAAGGTTTCAAACGACTGATTTCAATCCTCAATTTACCTGAGTGCAGACATCAACTAAAGCTCTGTAAGCAGTGGGACTGTTTGCCACGAGACAGCCAATCGCAGAACTCATGTAAGTCAAAGAAGAGCTGGTATTCCACAATGATCCTTTTTCAGGTCGAAAATGACTGCTTGAATATAAATGTCCAGTTCCAACATTTGTCAACTGAGCTCTTCCTGCTGCTGCAAGGCACATTAATCGAACCAAGACACGGATATCTGTTAACCCAAGTGCTTCCAGGCCACTGGACTGACTGCATACTGATCCACTGTAGAAGTATATTTTGACCAGAAGAAGGTAAAACATTAACACTTTCATTAGCATTTTTCATATCTTTTCAAAATCATTATCATTGGTAACTCATTTTATGCAAATAGTAGAAGAAGCAAACCAAAGATTTACAAAGTCTTGTGGATTTCTTGTTGGCTTTTTGATACATATAATGCCTTTTCTCACAACCCACAGACAGGCAAGTCTTCCAGGATGTAGAATCATAGAAGGTTATACCATAAAAAGAAGCTATTTGGTCAATCAAATCCAGACTGGTACCATTGAGTCTTCACTGGTCAATTACCCTCCAGGAAAATCTCAATGTGGGGATCATTAATTTTAGGTTATTGAAAACTAGACCGTCATTACAGTACCTTATTTAAACCAGGGAAATAATTTGTTTCAAGTTTTGCTCAACAGGAAATCTTCACAACAATTATTTCCTCTAATTATTTACTAAATAAACCTCGTGCGTGTAAAAAAAATAAAAATATTCCAGTCTTGTATAAATAGAACAATCACGATAGAGTTGTGCATTAATAAATATAATTAATTCTCTCAACCACTGTATTAAGCTTGACTTGCCCTCCAAAAAAGAAGATATTTGGTCCACTCAGATTCCTATTTTGTTCTCTGGCACCAACAAAAGGTTGCCCACCTCTGGGGGAAGATGTTGGGCCTCCAGAAGTTGTAAACAGAAATTATAAAATGTAAATCTTCATAGTCTAAAGTTGGCATCTTTAGGTGTCAACCAGTCTCAGTTTATCTGATGCATATTGTCGGTAGTTCTTATAATAATCCTTGATTTGATATAGGGCCTTTCATGTCAGGAGAACATTTCAACGTGTTTCAAAGGATATACTGTTAAATGGCTTGAAGAACATGGGTGCAAAGAAAAAAATATGCAAAACAACTGACAAATGGAATGATCAAAATGGTCTGCATAGCTAGACATACCTCACAGAAATCAATGACAAAGCCTTCATAACCATGGTGTGTGCTAAAAGAATTTGCATTGCCATTGTGATACGCTGGAGAGCAAGAATTCTTTCCTGTGTATCCCGGAGAGAAGCAGCTTGTTCCCCTAAAGTCAGTCTGGAGCACATCTTCTCTTCAGCACCTGTTAAACCTAACAAAGGAAGGACATTAAAATAAAGCATCAATTTTATTTATGAAAACAAAATAAACTCAAGGCCTTCATCATAAGAACATAAGAATTAGGAGCAGGAGTAGGCCATTCGGCCCCTGTAGCCTGCCCCACCATTCAATAAGATCATGGCTGATCTATTCTAACTCCACTTGCCCGCCTTATCCCCATATCCCTTAATCCCTTATCCACAAGAAATCTATCAATCTCAGTCTTGAATATGTTCAAGGACTAAGCATCTACAGCCCTTTGCGGTAGAGAATTCCATAAATTCACTATCCTCTGAGTGAAGAAGTTTTTCCTCAATTCAGTGTGAAAGGGCTTACCCCTAAATTTAAGACTGTGGCCCCTGGTTATAGTTTCTCCAACCAGGGGAAAAAGTCTCCCACTATCTATTCTGTCATGCCCCTTAATAATCTTATAGGTTTCTATAAGATCACCTCTCATCCTTCTATATTTTAGAGAATATAGGCCTAAATTGCTCAACCTATCCTCATAACTCATCCCCCTCATCCCTGGTACCAACCTAGTGAATCTACGTTGTACCCCCTCCAAGGCGAGTACATCCTTTCTTAAATAAGTAAACATCAAACAGAATCTGAGTTCATAAAGGGATTTGAAAATGAGTGAGATGATTTTGAAATAGATCCGTTTGGTAATTGGTAGCCAGTGGAGCCTGGCAAGGACTGGCGTGGTGAGGTTCGGAGTTTTGTGCGGGTGAGTATCTGGGCGCCAGAGTTTTGGATTCATTGAATTTTGTGTACGGTGGAGCTGGGGAGCGAGGAGGGCATTGGAATAGTCCAGCCAGGAAATGACAAAGGCGTGGATGAGGGTTTGGGCTGCGTTGGTTATACACTTAACATGACTCATTACTTCCAAAACAAAACAGGTTAACACAGCTGTGTTACCTTTCTTTAAAAGACTGTCCTCCGTGTTGCTTTCCCTGGTTACTGATGCTCCAAGAGGATCATGATCAGGGAACTGGACTGAATCGGGAATCAATTTGCTGTCGTTCAATCCCAACGGTGCAGCTAACACAGCAAAGTCTTCCAGTCCTGTAAGTCGCTCCTTTTCTTCAGTATCTAACATGTCCCATTCCTCTGTGAAATACAAATGCACAGAAAACAGAGTTTTATGCAAATAATATACTCTGTAAAAAAATAACAGGTATTAACATAAGAATCAATAATATGCAGCTGGGCTATAATTAATTATTGATTTACATACTGCACATCAGTATAGTGTGTTATTAAATTTGTTGCTATACACTATCTACTATCTGCATTATAATGAATCCACAAAGAAGCTAAGAAAGAATAATCTTTACTTTTTTGCATTTGATAATGTGCATTTCACGTCAGGTTTCACAAGAATTGATACAACGTATAGTGACCGCGCTTTAATGGCAAAGAAAGCTACAAAATACTGTGTAAATGAAAATCTATTCAAATTGCAAAAACAAAACAAAAGTAATAATCCTCCCAAACCCAAGCAAAAGAAGAGAAACAAAATAAGGATCCAAGTGCTTATGTGATCGATTAGCATTTTGCATGTTAAAAAGATGATTTCAATTACACATTTAGAATTGTATACAAATATTTTAACAACCTACCTTCAAAATTATTTTCATGCTTGCTGATTAAATCGGGCGCCAATCCTTTTATTCTACAAGGAAAGAAAGTATTCTTGATATATTACTGAGATTCATTTGATGATGGGATTGTAATCAATTATAATTTGATTTGAAAAGTGGGTTGCCCATCAAAAATCCATCTTCAGTGAATGAATGAAAAGCATTTCTTCCCATCAGAATTAAGTCAATAAGTCACAAAAACAATTTAAAATGCAAATCCACTGAAGTGATGCATTTTGGGACCAAGCATGAAGAGAGGCAATATAAGATAATATAAGATGGTACAATCTTAACAACACAATGACATTTGTATAGTGCTTTTAACATTGCGAGGACATCCCAAGGGGCTGCACAGTCAAGAGTTTTGGACCCGAGCTGGAGGTCGGAATCAGGGAGGGTGGAGGGCAGTTGGGGAAGCAGGGAGATCAAAAGCACGGTTGAAGAGGAGGGTCTTGAGACGAGTCTTCAAGGTGGAAAAGCAGGGGGCGAGGCGGAGTGACTGTGGAATGGAGTTCCAGCGGGTGGGGGACGAGTGGAAGAAGGCCTGGTCGCTGAGCGGAGGGAGCGAGCAGGATGGTAGGGGGTTAGGAGATTTGTAGAGGTAGGGGGAGCAAGACCATGGAGGGTTTTGCAGGTGAGGACCAGGATCTTGAACTGTATCCTCTGTGTGATGGGAAGCCAGTGGAGTCAGTTGAGGATGGCGGTGATAGGGTCATGGAGCCTGATCTGGGAGAAGGTTGCAGAGTTCTGGATGATCTATAGCCTATGGAGGGAGGAGTTGGGAGGCCGACAAGCAGGGAGTTTGCATAGTCAAGCCTTGATGTAATGAGAACATGTATGAGGGTTTCGGCGGCCTGCGGAGTGAGACAGTGGCGGAGTCGGGCGATGTTGCAGAAGTGGGGGAAGGCAGAGCGGGTCAGGCACAGATGTGGGCAAGAAAGGACAGTTGAGGGTCAAACAAGACCCCAAGGTTCTGGACTGGCTTAGCAAGGTGGAGTATGCAATCATGGATGGTGATGCTGTCAGCGCCTGAGGTGAGGAGACGCTGACGGGAGCCAATTAGAAGAGCCTCAGTCTTGTTGACGTTCAACTGAAGAAAGTTAGCTCTCATCCAGGACTTGATGTCTGACAGCAGTGGTCCTGGAGTCAAGAGTGGAGGCAGAGAGGTACAGTTGGGTGTCATCCGCATACATATGGAAATTGATCTCATGTCTGAGGATGATGTCACCAAGAGGGAGCATATACATATTGAAGAGGAGGGGACCAAAGAAAGAGCCCTGAGGAACACTGCATGAGACGGTGTGGGGGCCAGAGGAGAAACCGTTTGTGGAGATGAAGTGGAGGTGGTGTGAGAGGTACGATTTGAACCTGTCAAGGACAGAGCCGTGAAGGTTGAGGTGAGAGGAGAGGCGGCGGATGAGGATAGAGTGGTCCACGGTGTCGAAGGCAACAGAGCGGTTAAGGCGGTCGAGGAGGCAGAGGGAGCCCTGGTTGCAGATGGACCAGGGCTGCTTTTATGCTGTGGGTGGTACGGAAATCCGATTGGAGTGGTTCGTGAAGGGTGTGGCGGGAGAGGAAGAGTGATGCTGGGAAGCAACAACTCATTCCAGTACCTTGGATAGGCAAGTGAGGTTGGAGATGGAGAGGAAAGGTAGTTTGAGAGTAGAGATGGGTCCTGGGAAGGTTTTTTAAGGATAGATGTGATGACAGTCGTATTTAATGGGATGGGAACATTACCAGTGTTCTCCAGGGAGAGGTTTATGACGTCTGTGAGTAGAGGGGTAAGGAAGTGTAGCTGGGAGGCAAGGAGAAGGGTAGGGATGGCGATGAGGGAGCAGGTGGTCGGTTTTATGTGGGTTATAGTCGAGGTGAGAGAGGAGTGGGAGACGGGTTCAAAGATATAGAGGGAGGGATGGGTAGGGGCTGGGGTGGGAGGGGAAATGGGGAGGGTATAGTAAACGGAAGGGCAGAAGCAGCTAAGCGGATCTCCTCAATTTTGGAGTCGAGGAAGCCCAGCATCGCCTCACAGTTTGAATTGGAAGTGAGGATGGGCGAAGCTTGAGAGGGTGGGCGGAGGAGCAGGTTGGTGATGGAGAGGAGCCTAGGGTTGTCCTTGGGCTCCAAGATTGTCTTGGAGTAGAATGACGATTTAGAGGAGGCGAGGGCAGAGGGGTAGGATTTGATAAGGTCCAGCCGGATATGCCGATAGACCGTTAAGTTTGATTTAAGCCAGGTGGGTTCAGCGGCACACTGTGCTTTAAGGAATGGAGTTGGCTGGTGTACCATAATGACTTAGGAGTGAATAGGAGAAGGTTCAGGAAGAGAAGGGAGCATGGGAAATCGAGAGTGGAGGAGAGGGAGCTGTCGAGAAGAGTGACTGAGGAGGATAGGTCATTGCAGGAGGAAGCCCAGAGGGGAAGGAGTTCAGATAACTCCAAGCTGAGAGGGAGGTTTCTGATTTTTTCCAGGGGTGGTAGGAGATGGAGGTAGGTTCGGTGGCAGTGGGGAGAGAAATTGAGGAGGTAAGGGAGATGAAGTGATGGTCCAAGACGGTGAGGCCCCGAGTGATCACCAGGTCGAAAGGGTGACCGCGGACATGGGTGGCAGAGTGGATGTGGAGGGAGAGATTGAGGGAGGAGATAAGGGAGAAGAAGTCAGCAGAGGGGCTGAAGTGAAGGTTGAAGTCGCCTAGGATAAGGAGGTGTTCGGAGCAGAAGGAGAGGGAAGATAGGAGGGTGGAGATGTTGGGGATGAAGGTGGGGGAGGGCTTAGGGGTGGGGGGATGCGATAGGTAAGGAGAATTTGAAGGGGTGAAGGAACAGAGAGACCTGGGTGTTCATATAAGTAAATCTTTGAAGGTGTCAGGATAGGTAGGTAAAGCTGTTAAAAAAGCAAATGAGATACTAGGCTTTATAAATAGGGGCATAGAATACAAAAGTCAAGAAGTTATGATGAACTTTTATAAAACACTGGTTAGGCCTCAGCGGGAGACTGTGTTCAGTTCTGGGCACCATACTTTAGGAAGGATGTCAAGGCATTGGAGAGGATACAAAGGAGATTTACCAGGAATGAGGGACTTCAGTTATCAGGAGAGGCTAGAGAAGCTAGGATTATTCTCCTTGGAGAAGGTTAAAATGAGACTTTATAGAAGTTTTCAAAATTATGAGGGGATTTGATAGGGTGAACAAGGAGAAACTATTTCCACTGGCGGGTGGGTCGGTAACCCGAGGACACCGATTTAAAACAGTTGTTAAAAGAAACAGAGGGGAGGTGAGGAGAAATGTTTTCACACAGCGAGTTGTTCGGATCTAGAATGCATTGCTTGAAAGGGGGTGGAAGCTGATTTGATAACAACTTTTAAAAGAGAAGTAGATAATTATTTGGGGAGGACAAGTTTGCAAGGCTACGGGGAGAGAGGGATTGATTTGGAAGCTCTTTTCAAAGACATGAAGGACCAAATGGCCTCCTTCTGTGCTGTAGAATTCTATGATTCTATGAACACATTGTGGGAAGCAGGAACTGAAAGACAGTGAGATTTAGGTTCAATTCTTAGCAATTCAAGAGAATACATTTGCATTTTAAGCAATATTTATAATTTTTCTTAGCCTAACGGTGGAAGGTAGAAATGTTCATTGTGTTACTGTCAACACTAAAACTCTTGAGAGGAAACAGCGACTATGATGTTGTCTAGAGCATGAATTCTGTAACATTCTATCCGTACAAATATCCATCGCCTTGGTAATCATATCTAACCTATACAGGCCCATATGAATGGTAATTTATTTTTAAAAAAGTGACCAATAAAAATCCCAGAGTGAGTCTGATCTAATAGTTTTGCTTACAATTTCAGTGTTCTACAGATCTCATAATCGCTCAGTGTAGACCTAATTGGCAGAGCTGTAGAGGAAACCAATTTCTTGTACAGTAAACACCAATCAAGCCCAGTGGAATTGATAAGGATGACTTAATCCATTTGTGCCAGAGTTGAAATATCGGTTCTATACAATATGACAACTCTGTCGGCATCACAATGGATGTTAGATAATAAGCCTCAAAGTGTATGACAAAAGTTGATGTCTTGCTGCAGCTGTACTTTATAACACTCTACTTCAGTACAAACACAGGCTCAAACATATTGCAGATGATGCTTACCGATTTAATTTGATTGGCTTGCTTTTAGGTTTCTCTGCCAGATATTTTGCACGGCAACTGCTACACATCAGGTAGTAGGGACTCCCTGTGCCACACTCTCCTCCAAACCAGCCGTCAACATAAGCCCCGTTACTGCGATATCCCATGTGGCCTGCACTCTCTCCACAACCGGGGTGATGTCTCTTCATGTGATTGTTGAATTGCAATGTATGAGTATCACATAGTTCACAAACGACTACTTCCTCTGCCTCTGAGCTATCTTGGCACTAATTGAATTCATAAAGCAATTTATAAGTTTAAAATAATACAATAAAACCTACAAATTCCTTATTTATGCCTTCAATTTTAATGCATTTTCTCAACATTTCACACAGTTAGTAAATGTAAAGGTTACAAAAGTACCAATGCTGTTGCTGTATATTCAGATTAACTGGAAATTACCAATATTTAACACTAGACGTATCAGTGAAGGTTTTATATCTATAGCACATTTATCAAAAAGTTTAGAATTCAAAGCCCGAAATATCGAGCGACACTTTTGACTTAATGAATCCTTCCGTATCTATATACATTAGTGATCAGTGTTGGCACTATGATTTCAGTTAAAATGTTTACACTCGCTTCCTGCTGACATTATTTTCATTCATGTTTCAATGAACATTGATGTGTATGGGAACTTTTCCTTCTATGTGTATTTGGATTCTTCCCAGCAGTAGAATTACTAGATTCCCTCCCTGCCCCCAAACTCAGATGTGTGGAACAAGCATTTTTAACTATAAAAGGTTAAGGTGAAGTAATGCTGAAAGTAGATTTGAGAGTACATTTGTGTTTGGAGTGTCACAGGGGGCTCATTCCCACAATGCTGAAATATTTAGTTAACTGCAATTGTTCCTAAAAGCAAATGGACACAAGTGTGCTAACCAAGCCTAACAACATACTGATGGAGAAAAAAAACAATGTTTACATTGCTGCATTTTAAACAAACTGCAATTACTCATCATAAAAAATATTCTTTGTTAAAAGAAAATACAAAATGGCTTTAATTCAATATATAAACAATTCTGCAGGTATACACACACTAATTTTATTATGTTGTTATAAAGTGAGCATAAATTAACAGATAGGGGAAAGGAGTGGAAAGGAATTAAATGGACAAACGAATGAATCATTTATGGCTTACCATGTTTGGCCAGTCCATCATCTCAGATAACCAAATGCCTTGAGTCTCGTTTTCAGTAGCACATTCAGAAGGGAACATATCTTCAACAGAACCTTCTGATAGCGGGTCCTCAGAAAAGCACAGCTCCAGTTCTCCCTCCAGATTGCGATCAGACATGGCATCAGCCTCCTGCCACCCTGCAGTCCCTGGCTCCCTCCTTAATGATGGCTGCACCAGCTGAGGGGATCTGGAACCTTTGTGAAACATGAATTTTGATTAGTTATCCACGAGAGATACAAGTGTTTAACTTTCCTCTGTTCTTTTGTAAAGCAATACATGATTATTAAAAAGTGATATGTTGTTTACATTATATACAATTAGAAACTGGTTATTAATAGAAATAACTTGAAACATTGACATAAAATAGAATTCAGGTTTTGATTCTATAGATAAAATACTATTTGGTAAAAGTTAACCGCATCTCAAGGTCAATCTATTTATTTCACTTGAAATTAGTGATTTGGGGGCTCGTCATGATGAGCAATGTGAATCTGGGAATGGAATCATGTTATTCTCTGTATTGTGTGTCAATAACAAACAATCGAAGAATCCTGGATTCTACCTTGACAAAACTTCCTTGCACTCAGTCAAAAGTGAAACGGGTTATAATTCCAAGCACATTACTCAAAATATTGGACACAGTTAATGATCTGAGACAGCCCGATTTAGTGTCAATTACTGCTGTATTATGGTACTTCTGTGAAGTTGACTCAGATGCTCATGGAACCAGCTCAGACTGCTGAAACTCATCTCAAATAGAGGTCCTCCAACTATCAGAGGGCAGAATTTCATCAGTCTGAGCTGCCTTCAAATCAAACTGAAAAGCTCCAACACCATTGCACCATTTTATAATATTAAAGGTAATAGTCCCTGCATGCGACATAGCACCTAATCAGGTGGTATGTCTCAAATGCTTGAGGATTATACTATGAAGTGTAGTGACTGTGTATTTTGTAGACAATCTCAGCAGCCAATTTGCACACAGCAATGTGCCACAAACAGCCATGAAGTGAATGACTAATGTTAATTTTAATCTGGGGGATTGTTGACCAAGAAACCGGGAGAAATTCCCTTCTCAAATAGTATCAGGGGATCATTAGTGTCCATCTAAACAGGTGGATGGGACCTCAGTTTAATGCCTCATTATGAATGACATTTATTTAACCCTCAATGTTGTTGCTTTCACACGAGACATTTGTATTGCCAAATATTACATTAATGAGGCACTTTTGATACTCCTGGCAACTCCTTACCGAATGTCAGGTATAATCAACCACAGCCACAAATTAAGGTAGCTAACTAGAGCTCACCAGCTCTTCTGAATGAAGATCGTTGTCCCTGGTTTCCTCTGTGTCTTCGAGCAGGTGGAGGCCTATTTCTAGTCAAATGTACATCTATGAAGTTTCCTCTCTCTACCTGATCCAAACCATTAGTAGTTCTGTGTGGAATTGATGGGCGGGGGGGGGGGGGGAATGAAACAAGAAACAATTAAATCAAAATAGCAATGACAATTTCTAGCAAATACTTAAAAAGGTGCAAACTTTAAATATACTAATGTCAAATTACTTTCATCTTCCTCTAAATCAAAAATGAGCAGAATGAACGAATTGGGAAACAATAATCAGTTTAGTCTCAAAAAGCTAACTGGTCGTGATTCAGAAATCACAGTGTTGCCTCCAACTGGATTCTTTGTTATCTTGCAAGTCCCATTGAATTCACCGCATCAGTTCTATCATATCAGTACACATCAGTGCTAGCAAGTCAAATTGAAATTGATTTAATATTGTATTTAAATGGGAGAGAGGCCAATTGGTACTGCCCGATTATTCTGTAGACATGAAAATAATATGGACACCTCAGTCTTGGTGTGTCTCTAATTTTCACCTGTTTCCCTGTATTTTTGTGTGGATCTCTCTCTACCTTTACCCATCTTCCTGTGTTTGTGTGTGCATCTCTCTCTCTAGTCCTGGATTTCAATCTCTCCATCTTTCGCCTCTTGGGAAATTGACCCAAGTGGTACTTAGCTGAAATGGGCAGATTGTTTTTTAAGAATGCTTAAATGTTTAATCAACTTTCTTCACACTTGATGCCTACCCTTCAATTGTATCTTCCCTGTCAACATCTCCAGGAGACACGAGGGCAGCTGTTTGATTATGCACTATAACCTCGGACTCCATGGGTGTATCCAAACCATGGTCTAGATTTCCTGAGGAGTAGACAATTACTTCCTGTTCTTCTGTCAGTGGATGTTCCAGCATCCAGCTGGCCAGTTGTTCGATTGATTGTGGATCTGCATCCCCAGAAACTCCTGGAAATAGAAAATTAGTGAAAAATGATAACTATAATCCAGGACAGTTAAATAGTAAGCCTTAAACCCCAGTTTGGCTCATTTGGTAGAAATGTTATTGCCTCTTGGCCCCAAGATTGTGGGGTTAAGGCCCACAGTGGAACTCTACTTGAGCTAAGTTGATGCTATAGTTCTGAGGAGGTTTGTACTATCATCGGATGAGAAATTAAATTAAAGTCCCTTCTGCTCATATAACAGAAATTAAAGATTGCATGACACTATTGCTAAAGAGAAGGGAGTTTCTTCTAGTGCCCTGGCCAAAATCTTTCCAGATTATTTTACCATCCATGTCATGGCTGTTTGTGGCTTACACTTGTCATGGCAATATGCTTTACAGTAATTACTTTGAAGCACTTTGAGATGATACAACTAAATCGGAACAATATTAGATTGACAGTGAAGTGCCCAGAAGCAGAATTTACTCAGAAGATGTTAAATCTTTAAATAGTTATTGCAACTGCTTGTTTTGATCAAACATTCAGGAATTATGAACGTTTCCTTCATTTCTCGCCCCAGAATTATTTTGCTGCAAGCATCAAACTCTTATTAATAAAAGGGTTCCCAAAGGAAAGAAAGTAGCAACACTACAGTCACGCCAAAATATCCAAACCTCAAAGGACCAAGGAGTGCTGAGGGAAGATAAAATTATAATCAACACTTTACAAGTGTATGATAAAGCCCAAAATGCTGATAACACAGATCATTGTGAAACACAAGGATTTTAATACTAGGTTCAACTACAGGGATATCTTCCAACATCCTAACAAAAACGTAAGGTTTGGCGCTCATTTTCCAATATGAATTGTTAAAGATTATAATGTAAGAAAAAGTATTTGCAATAACAGTATGCATACGTTATCTAAGGTAGCAACAGTATCCGATGTAGGTTATTTGGGTTCCTGGCATTACCAGTTTATGACAAAACACTTCTGCGTACCTGCAGCATCAACTGCTGAGCAGATGTGTCTTAGAGAAAAGCCCATTTCAAGCAAGGGGACAGCAACAGGAGGTGGATGCTCAGGAGGATCGCTTCTGGAATCTATTGAAATGAAAGAAATGGCATTGGATTTGTCTCGAACAGAAATTTGAGTTTTTTTTAAAGCAACTGACTGCTGCGTTTCACTCACAAAACTGCAGTCAATCCACTTTACAATATATTCCGAAACTCTGGAAAACTCTTCCTCTATCCCCCGTCCGCCTTGTACCTTCTTTCCCCATCTTCAAGTCGCAACTAAAGACCTTCCTATTCGACCGTGCCTACGATCTCTCCTATCTCCCCTGGCTTGACATCATGCTCTAAGCGCTCTGGGACACTACCCTGGGTGAGGAGTGCCATATAAATGCAAACTGTTGTGCTGTGGTCTACAAAACCTGATAAGGCGCTGCAATTATGCAATGAAATGCAATTATTATTATTGATTTTTTGAACAACATCTTACCAGGAGAACTATGCTGTCTGGTAGAAGCAGGAGGATATGAAAAATAGTTTCTTTGTTCACCATCATCAGAGGTGGTGGATACCACATTCAACCCAGGGAGTAACAGAGGGTTGTTCAGCAATCCAGAAAGTGAGGGAAATCGCACAAAAACCATTTGTCTATAAGGAAGAAACTTATGTCAGTGCAGAACTAAACAATTTATAGACAACACATGCACAGGTAAACCAAAAATTCAGCAGAACTTTCAAACTGCAAATGTTTATTATAATTTAAAATAATACATGATAAGCTAGACTTAGTGTTTCTTTAATGCTAGCATGATAGTGCGACCTATTGGTATGCTGGTGAACTATTTCAGAGTCATGGGATGTTGAGACAAGCAATTTTAATCTGTGCCATGCTCGCGTGGCGGCATTGAATGGAGGCCACTCATTTCTCCACAGAAGGAAAATCAGAGTGACAGTATTGCATGGGTAGCTTTTCAAGACTTACTAGCCCCAAGTTTCAAAGTTACTTTAGCAGAGAAAGTCATCCATCCAATTCACAATGGATGATACTTGGGGAAACTTAGTAAATCCTAGGTAAGAAGAAAATCACATTACTGTGACAAACTAAAAGCTCCTTCCAACCTGGAGTATGATCTTCCTCATTCTTTAAAATAGTTTTGTCCTTCCCATACAACAATATGATGGCACCATTGGAAAGGATGAACTACAGACATTGTCTCTTCTCAAAGTTTTAGCTGGTGGGAACCTCGGCATACATTAAATCTTCCCTCCTACATAAATTGTTCTCCTCTTCCCTCAACAGTCTTACAGATCTCACAATGAAGCAAAGATGAAACAAACTAAAATACATAAATTTGGCAGTTTCAAAGTAGAGGGCCCAGAGGGAATTTTATACGTGGAGATGTTTCACTTAAAGAATAAGGAATACGATATCAAAAGTGGACAATAGGTCTTTATTTATTCATCCTCCATGTACAAAAATAGAATTATGCCAAAGAAACTAAGGTGAGAAATGCTAAAAACTTGGGAGATGAATATTTATTCTCCTGAGTAGAAAGATCCAAATAGACTTTTTTTTTGAGGGGGAAAACAAACATCAAGACTGCTTCATGTAGCTTCCTTCCAATTAAGAGTCAAGGCAAACCCTTCTAATGATGGTTCATTAAGTGGCTGCTGGACGACTAGAATGGACTTTTATTCTGCCTGGCCAGATAATAATAATATAGTGCCAGATAATTACAAGTTTATACTCTGGTATCCATCTATTCCACAATATGCGGGTTGATGGAAGTTTTAATTCCAGACAAAATCTATAGTTTCAACTAATTCTTCTTTTGTTCATTAGGTACTGAATACTGGAGTCTGAATATATTTGTGGAGTCCTGTAGCTCAGTGGTTAGAGCACTCGCTTTGCAAGCGAGAGACCTCAGTTCAATTCCAGGCAGGGCGAAACCTTGGGCAAGTTTCCTTACTCCACACGCCTAATAATAATCCCTCCAAAACCAAAAATAATAATAAATTGGTCATTTTTAATCTACGACTGTTTGTGGGACATTGCTGTGTGCAATTGGCTTCCGCGTTCGCCCACAAATATAGTCAATTCACTTTACAGTGTGTTCTGTGAAGCGCTTTGGAACGTCCTCCCGACGTGAAAAGCGCTATATGAAATGCAAAGATTATTATTATAATGGAACCCATAATCACTCTTAAGAGGATTGCAGTGGCACCATCCTGTAATTTACAAGGCCAAATGAAATTCTACACACAGGTTTTGCAGCATTTGAAGAAATCCTGTCAATACTAAAAGGAAATTTTGGATGCTGATGTAAGGCCAATTGAGTACTTTGCTTTGGCAGTATGCTCAGCTGCAAATATATCATGAGCAGGTCTCAGACCAATATTAAAGTGTGTGTCCTCAAGGCTGATTGTACTAGCCAGCATCAGTCAACATCGTAATCTCTCTTTTCAGAAAAATGTGCTTTAGGATCTGTGGATGAAAACTATTTCCCATTGATCGATCTGCTAAAATTAAATAACACGAATAGAATTATTTGCTTTTCTAATAAAGCAAAGTAAACCTTCGGCAATGTTTTCATGTTGTAGACTTTACAAGTGCATTTGCAGAACAATCAGTGTCATTGATTGGTGAAAAGGAACAAGGATGGGGAGGCCAGTTTAGTGTGTAAGATAGGAGGAGATCACGTGGTGGATCTCATAAGGCCACTGCAACTGACATGATATTCACTCAATTTCCCATCTCCACAAGGTGATATTGTCCTATTGTATGTTACGGATCAACAATCAAAATTGAATTATTTTCCAAAGACCTTTTCTACTCCATTTTACAGTGTATCCTGTGAAGTACTTTGAGACTTCCTCCAGATATGAAAGGTGCTATATCAAATGTAAGGGCTATTATATTTTCTGTACACTTTTCTGCATTTCTCTTTGAAACCAATGAGTCTCTTAAACTGGACTTCATCTGAATGGATGGGTGGTGACCACAGACCTCTCAATAATGTCCGTTTTGGCCATCACCACTAAAACACTAGGAGATGATGAAGGAATGGAGGTGGAACACCAACTACTTTTTTTGCCTCCAAAAGCTTATAACTTCACTTTGGTGTTGTACCCGATAACCCACCCAAAATCAGCAACTTGCAATCTTGAAGAATATACAAATCTCAACCACATGGTGACGAGTCTTAGAATTCCACTGCACAGCACAACAATCATAGAATTGCAGAATTATACAGCATAGAAGGAGGCCATTCGGCCCATCGTGTATGTGCCGGCGCTTTAAAATGAGCTATCCAAATCAATCCCACTCACCCGCGCTCTCCCCATAGCCCTACAAACTTGTCCTTCCCAAGTAATTATCTACTTCTCTCTTAAAAGTTATCATCAAATCGGCTTCCACCACCTTTTCAAGTAATGCATTCCAGATCTGAACAACTTGTGTGAAAATTTTTTCCTCACCTCCCTTCTGTTTCTTTTAACAACTATTTTAAAATCGGTGTCCTCACGTTACCAACCGACCTGTCAATAGGTTGCACTACCAGGCTAGTCTAGAACTTGTCTTTAAAAATAGTGATTAATTTTGAACAATCTATTTGTTAACTGCATTCACTGAGAATATAACTTTTAAACAGGACAGTCCCTGTTAAGTACATTATAACCTGAAATCTAATTTGATTGCAGAATTTCACATGCTGAAGCATCGTATACAAATCAATTTGGGTTATTAGGCAAGACTTTTTCTTTCAATATTATATTTTGAATGACTAACTTTTGTAAACATTAATATTGTATATTAAGCAGCTATACAGTTGTTCTGCAACAAATTTCACAAGGAACGAATAACAAATGCATAGTTTGAACACGCACCTACCTCTTCTATCAGATCACTTTTGTTTTGTATGCTATAAATTGTCTTATTTATTTACATCTCCACTCTGTCTCATGCATTTCTAATCTCACAGAGAAGGATGGGAGGGTCCTAATTTCTGCTCAGCCACACTTAATTACACTCTGACCACAGATAACTGCAATGAAGGAACGTGGGGCACTTCCAGAAGTCGGTACTTTCCTGACACTAAAAGCTTCATCTGGTCAGAAACAGTCAGAATTCAGAGGTAAGCAAGAGCAAATCCTAGTCCAAGCTCGGATACAAATCTTCCGCCTTTTGGTTAGAAATTCAACACTATCACCAGAGAAATCAAAAGCATCATTTTGCATTTAATTATATTTTAGAAATAAGGACATCTTCAAAGTTTGAATGAGAATCCATTCAAAAGTAGGCAGCAATGTTAAGTGTGTGGCTCATTAAGTCTGCATTTCCCCCCATAAATTACATACTTATTATGTTAAATCAATGCTAGAATTAAAGGCAGCATTAAAACTATCATCTTGCACTGCTGCCTCTGGCCTCACTAAGATGAGTCATTTCACACACCACTGGATGCCCAGATCTAAAGGCAAACACTGAACCTACATTAAACAATTCTTATGAATAATATTACTACTACTACTAATAATAATGAACTTTGTGATCATACAGTAGGTTGCAAATTAGAAGAATAGTTTAACTGAAGGATTCAACCAGATTGTAACAGACCATTTTTCTGGGTATGCTTTCGCATAAACACTCAGGAAAACTAAACAGATTATACAATATTCTGAAGTTTGTAACATCATTATTGACAATAATGCTAATTCCAGTCATTTGAAATTGGCACAAACCCTATTAAATAAAAGCTGAAAGCGCTTTAAACAGACACACTAAATCCAGATTAGATGCTGTACTCTGGTTTAAGAGGAGAAACTGCTGAAATGTGAAGTTCATTTTCAATATTTCACTCACTGTAGGACATTGATAGGCAAGAAGGGATTAAAATTTTCCAGTCCATTAGCAGAGACTAAAGAACCCAAATTAGTAGCTGAAGAAGAGTTTGAAGCCGGCATTGAGAAGGGGATGCCAGTACTTTCCTCAGAGGAGTTACTATAGAGAGAAACCGTACTCGATGAGTTTGACACTGCTTGTGACTGAGGTTTCACGTTGTCTGTTACTGCAGCATCTAGAAAAAAGAATGAGAAATAAAATTAAATATCTGACAGTAAGAATTACTTTTAAGCAAATGATTTATGCAGTTTATCATATTTAATTTTAAATAATCAATAAGATTTTAAATGACAGACCCATACCCAATAAAACTTCATTATCAACAGTCTGTCCAATGTTCATAATTGGTCAAGATGCACTCAACTACTCCAATCTTTCCATTGTTTTTTAAAACTCAAGCTATTTAATTAATTTTGCCAATGTTCAGTGAAATGAAAGTAAGCATTCTGCTAAATGCTTAGTATTTCTGATTTACTTTTGTTTACACGCTGTTTCAAGAATATGAATGAAAGTATTGTTCGGCAATTCTTTGGTTGTATTTTGTTAATTGAAAGAAACTGACAACTTAATTCAAAAACTAGGAATTGAATTACACTGTATACATCCCAACAATAATTGATCGGTTACTTTGTGAGTTAGAGAAGCAAGCATCCAATTTAAATGTAGGCATCCTAAGCTGCACTTTTCACCATCCTCTCGTCTGACTCCACTTCTCAGTCACTTAGTTGGAGGATCAATGACAAGAGCAATTGGCTCACTATTCTACCAGTCAACCTGCTTACGTGGAAGGACATTCACAAGGAAAATCCTTGCATTTGTTGCAGCGTCTCTAAGTGTTTATCCCTCCACAGTCTTGCCCCAGCTATCTCTGCGACCTCCTCAAACCCTACTGATGTGGCTACTCCCTTTGCTCAGTAAGTGCCGACACCATCAGCATCCAAGGCTGCACTCTCCACCTCTCAAAGCCAGTCAGGAACCTCGGCGTTTTGTTCGACCCTGAGCTGTCCTTTCTCCCTCACATCCGCACCACAACTGGCACCGCCTTCCATCACCTCCAGAACATCGCCAGACTACGGCACTACCTCACCCCTCACGCTGCTGAAACCCTGGTCCACGCCTTTGTCACCTCAAGGCTGGACTATGGGAACTCTCTCCTCGCCGGCCTTCCCGCCACCTCCCTCCACAAGCTGCAGGTCATTCAGAACTCTGCAGCTCGTGTACTGTCCCGCACTGGGCTTCGGGACCACATCACTCCCACCCTCGCTCGCCTCCACTGGCTCCCCATCCCCCAGAGGATCGATTTCAAGATCCTCATCCTCACCTACAAGGCCATTCACGGCCTTGCTCCCTCCTACCTCTCTGACCTACTATCCCCCTACCTACTTGCCCGTACCCTCCGTTCCTCCGGCTCCGGTCTGCTCCACGTCCCCCGCCCCAACTGCCCTACAATTGGTGGTCGGGCCTTCAGCCTCTCAGCCCCCAGGCTCTGGAACTCCATCCCCAGTGCCTTCGCCTTGCTTCCTCCCTCTCCTCCTTCAAGGCAGGTCTCAAAACCTTTCTCTTTGACCGTGCCTTCAGCTCCCCTCTCGACTCTCTTCCCCTCCTCGCTCCCTCCCTTCCCTCCCTCACCCTGACCATTTCCCCCTTCCTCGCTCCCTCCCTTCCCTCCCCTCACCCTGACCATTTCCCCCCTGCTCGGGTCCTGACCCAACTGTGCAGCGCCTTGGGATGTCCTCCTGACGTGAAAGGCGCTTTATAAATGGAATCTTGTTGTTGTTGATGTTGCCCGCCCGCTTCATGTCCCTCACACTACCATTGACAGGCAGGCTCTCAACCTTTCTGCCTTAGGTAATTTTCTCCACCAGTCTCGGCTCCCACCCCTACATCGGGTACCGATCCAGCACTGTTAAGTGCTTTGAGACATCTTCCCAATGTGAAAGGTGCAATCCAAGTTTAAATTTCTATTGTATTTTGTTGTAAGCAAATTGCTAAGTAATTGCTGTATTATAGGCAAACTCAACAGCTGATTTATTTTCAGCAATGAGCCACAAATTGTCATGAAATAAATTTATCTGGGGATTGTTGACCAGGACACCAGGTGAAACTCTTCTCTTCAAACTGTATCATGGGCTCAATGTCCATTGATAAGGCAGATGGGATTTCATTTTAATGTTTTAATCAAAGGATGCACTTTAGACATTGCAGCGCTCCCCCAGCACTACACTGGAGTATCAGCCTACACCATCATGGGATTTGATCCCACAACCGTCGGACTCAGAGACAAGAATATTACCAAAGCCAGGGTGACAGGTAAATAGAAATGGTGGGCACAATTAACAAAATCTCCAGGAAAATAAAAGCCCATTTTCACAATCATTAAAACAGAGAATATGATTTATATTTGAGGCGGTCATAAGAAAATGTGCTGTATCAGAAGCTGACGTTCTAGTGTGTAGTAGTCTTTGATTAAATAATTCTTACCTTTACTCTCCTGGGTAACATAATCCTTCACAAAGGAATCCAGTGCACATTTGAAGATCATGACATGTGCGCGCTCCAGATCAGCCAGTGAAACTACCCTTTTGATTGGGCACGGACGCACTGCCCACTTTACCATGCACCTCATTAAGAAATGGAGGACGGTCCGTAGTTCCCCAATATCTTGGGAGCTCGAGGCTTTGGCACAATCGGAATCAGAAGAATTGCTTAGGGTGACATTTGGAACTAAAAGCATGTCTGCATATTTGCCGTAACTCAGGAGAACACTGAGGGTTTTCATGGCCCCAACAGACAGGTAAGACAGCTGCACTGCACGCAGCTCAGCCAGGAACAATTCGTGACTCTGTAGATTCCAGTCCCGTGAGCTCTGGTAACTTTCATTTGACTCAGGGTCCACTTTTTTTTCACGATTTTTTCGTGGCTCGTTTTCTTGATTACGATCCTGCGAGTCTCTAGGAAAGATGTGTAAAGATTCTTCGCTCATTGCGGTGGATGGGTCTTTGTGCTCATCCTCTGCCATAACTCTTGCTATTTCTTCGTCCAGACTTTTTTCCAAATCGCTCTTGACTGTTGTCTCGGAGGGACACTTACTTTGTGCTCCTTTGCCACATTTTTCAGGCTCTTCATGGACTCCTGTCAGGTACGTCAGGTCCAGTAACATGTAGGGCTTCAGACCATGGAATTTGGCGATATCAAATCGATGGGACTTGCATGGTTCAAGTGTGGAGAGGGGTGTGTCACTGGGAGACCAAGAATTCAGGAAGCTTTGTTAGCACAATGATGAATGGAGAATGAAAGCAGGAAAGAAAGAAAAAAAATGAAAGATGTGAAAAAGGGAGTGAAGTAAAAACAGAAAAGCACTGAAAAGAAACCAGATAGAAAAATATATTTAAAAAGAACTAAATAAAATGTGTGTGTGTGGGGGGTTGGGGGTAGAAACAGGTGTACGACAAAATGAAATAGAAAGGATGGTCCTGATAATTCTAAATAAAAATCGCACAACGAAAGTACAATAATGTCAAACAATGGAAAAAAGTAAGCTTTAAATATTTGCCACATAAATATTGAGACCAATCGCTCTGCTGTAGTAGTAATTCTTCAAAAATTTTGTGAAAGGTGCAATACTACAACAACATTTTCCCTAGCAATTATAGTGGAATGGCCCAACCGAGAACACATCTACGTAAAGCCTGGGATTATGCTTGAACTGCGCTCCTTATTAAATCACTCGTGGTTATTTGAGTAGCATTAGAGGATCTCTCTGGCTCTCTCTCTCTCTCTGATAATCTGCAAACCAAGTAAATTTTCAACCTTCCCATGAAAAGCTAAATATTGTTAAATGAAAATTAAGATTTCTATGAATACAACTGGGCATGCTACTCAGCTTCTGGATGTCAGCAATTTAAAAATAAAACTATAAAGTACGAGATACAATGCACACCCACAAGTAGCTCCGGGGCAGCAATTCAAACCTAGCCCAGGCTGACTGGATGAAGTATCTGCTCTCTGCTGGCTGTAAGGTTTCTAACTAACTCAAGACCCCCCTCTTCGACTGCGCTTTCGATCTCCCTGCATCCCCCACTGCCCTCCCCCACCCTGACCCCCAGCTCAGGTCCGTAACTCTATCTGTCCAGTGCCTTGGGATGTCCTCCCGACGTGAATGGTGCTTTACAAATGTAATTTTGTTGTTGCTGTTGTTGTAACTGAAATGAGTTTGGACAAAGCTAACTCAGTGACTCGTGCCCCCAGCACAAAACTGTACATGTCTTAGCAGAAATTGGCAATCCTTCTCAGAAAGAGCAAGAGCATAAAGATAGCTGACGCAGAAAGCACAATACAACAACAGCAATAACAACACTAATAATCCTCATTAGTGCAGCAGAGGGAGGTCTTAGGAGATACAAGACTGACTATACCTGTAGCAAGGGGAAAAGATTAAGACATTTATTCCATGTCCAACAGCACATAAAATGGACGAATGTTCTCTTCCCTACGAACCACATACCTTATCTTGGTAAGTACCGAAAAAAACCTAGCATTTAAGTGAGATTCAAACAATATTTTGTAATACCGCAACCAGATCCGTTTCTAAATTGTACATAGCATTGTACCTGATGGTTACATCTGCATCCTCCCATTGTAGTCGGGCAGATGCGCTTCCTTCTTTTGTAACTCCTAGAAGGGTTGCTTTGCGTCCTGAAGTTTTATGCAAACACTGACCACCAACTCGTAGTCCACTGTCAATTCCACCGATAACTGCCAGAACAGGCCACACTTCCATGCACAACATTCTCAGTTGCATTTCAGCCAAATCTGTGATGCCTTGGCCCTTATCTTCTTCCCTAGTGAGCTTTTCTTCCTGAACCCTTTCTTTATCTTCAGAGCTGATTTTCTTCAAGGAATGTTTACTTCGGCTTTTGCTCAGCTTAAAAGCTTTTGCCTCCTTCACCGCTGGACCAATAAGTTCAAGCCTGCTGAGCATATGCTGGTTAATGGTGGATGTCCAGCTGTCGTAACTGTGGAGTTTTCGGATCAGCTGGATGGTGGCTTCTACCAGTACAGTTATAAGAGGGCTGCAAAGTGGTTCACCAGGCATGAGGTCTCGAGGAATTCCACGCATCTGCATGTCGCAGAGCGCCACCTGAAACAAAAGACTTTGAGAAATAACCTGTCAACTTGCCTGTCCCTGGATTTAACATAAATGGTTGGGGTGGGGGGAGAAAGAAAAGGTGGAAAATGTCCTCTCTTCATTTATATTACCACACTAATTCCATGAGGGATAGAACTGGCTTTTGTGGACACAATTTTCAGCCTACTTACAATGGCAGATGGAATTCACACCTAACCCCAGTGCAGGCAACACTTCCTTCCAATACAGAAAAGTAATGTGAATTAAACAAAAAATAATTTATGATTGAGCTCTTGGCAAAAAGGAAGGATGAGGTTTCAGAAGTATCTAGACAAATCTGATTACTGAAATACAGCAGTGTGGTTACCTTCTCTCCAGGATTACTGCTGTAAAACATCACACTAGGATAGAGTTCAGTGGCATCAACATCTTCAAATGCTAACTTGGGTTCCTAAGAAAATAAGAAAAATGGTGATAGTGACTCACTTTTTTAAAAAGAAAATACCTCTCTTTAGTTATGAAATAATAATAATCCTTATATTTGGTTGAGTGTTTTACATGTCAGGAGGATGTCTCAAAGTGCTTCATAGCATATAATGTAATGTGGAGTGATTGAGTGTTTTTCTGGGTGAATGCGACAGCTAATGTGTACACAGCTTGACCCCACCCATAGAGTGAATGAACAATTTTATTGAGTGATTGTAGTTCTGGACAAGAGGGAGAAATTCCCTTTTTTTTTTGAATGGTGCTATGGGATTTCTAATGTCCCCCTGAACAAGCAGACAGGAACTCATTTTAACATCTCACCCGAAGAATAGCATCTCCAACAATACGGCACATCTCTACTGCATTGGAGCCAAGATTGTACGGGTTCCACTTCCCAATGTAGGGTTTGAACCCTCAAATTTCTGATTCAGAAGCAAGATTGCTAACTAATGGGATTGGTAACTAAACATTGGGATCCTAACTAATTTCCAAGTTGAACAGGTCGATGATGGGTAACAATGCTAAGTGAGCACACGTAGTTTGGATGATGTGGATTCTTTGGCTCATTTGATATTGCACTGTCCATTTCCGCATCAAGTTATTCTTTTAACTGAGCATAGTAACTCGGCTTCTAAATCGTCATATTTGTGGCAAAGATGTCACATTGCAGTCTTTGGGGCAGTACTTTAAAACAAATTCTAATGTTCCTGTACTTAAATTATATCAGTGAATATAACAGATTAATTAAACTGGTGAGCTTAGATCGATAATAGTCATGAACTTCCATAGGTGAATAAATTTGCATATAATATGCTCATATAGCAGTAGCATTTCCATATGAATTACTGCCTTTCTAAAGAATACCAGTCAACCAAACATAGTTTCTTACCTCTTCGTTCTTTCCAAATGAAATTGTTCTGGCTTCCACATCCAGGACACATGTTATACAGTCGCCCTGTGTATAGCTGGGTAGAACACAGGCTTGTTCCCCACCATGGTACAGGTTTCCACTGTAAGCTCTGTATAGCCACATGTCTGTTGTTGTACGATGATTAAAATCTCTGATAGGCCACCGTGACACTCCAACACACGTACCTTCATTACCTTTATTCTCCCGGCTGACATAAAACTACATAGAAATACAGGAGGAAACAACAAAAAAATTGCTGATTTGCGATGGGAGATGTTGATCTCTTTGTTTGAGGTGTGCTGGTTTCTTAATAATACTGAAACCAACAGATCCTCACTGGTACCATCAACTGTCACACCATCTCCTGATATCAGGAGTGAAGAGCAGTCTGCATCTCAGAACACTTTATAAATACTGGCAATGCCATGTCAATGTGTGCATTTGGACTCATTTTCAAATTTAAAAGTGGAATTGCTTTCACCTCACACCTAGAACTGCACCATAAGGTGTGACCATTTTTGCAATGATGGTTGAGAATCAATTACAACATAAGACGGATCAGATGTCAATCCAAATGAGCAGAATTTAACATTACACAATTCATGACCTACAAATTCCTCTTGCCCAATGCTCACTACATTATCATTTGAGTGGTATTTTATTTTAGAGTGCAATGCTCACCTTCCATTGAAAGCATCCAGATGTTATTGCTGTTGTTGCTAAGCCATACCCTTTTCCTCCTGCTCCATGAGATAACACATTTCCGGATTCCATCGCGCAGCAAACCATTTTATCGGGATCAAATGAAAACTCTTTAATGGGAATGTTGTCGTCCTCTTTGTCTTCAGTCTTCAACAAAATAAAAAAAAGTATTGCTGGTAAATGAGCCATGAAATTATAGATCCATTAACCTAACCCCCTTAGTGCGGAAATCCTTGAAAGCAATCAATCCTCAAAAAAACACAAATTTTCCTAAGTGGAAAAAATCATTAGGTTCATTAAAAAACGTATACAAATCCATCATGTGATTTAATTACTTTGCTGTATTGTTATCAATTTCTTCTTGAACTTGCTGACAAGATGTGCAGTATACTGAGAGCAGAGCAGCCAAAGTGTAATGTTGTAATAAACCGTGAATGAGGGCAATCTGGTGTAATATTTTTTATTACTTATTGAAGAGCCAAAGTCCATAGTATCAAACGCACCATCAAGGTTGAAGAGCATTAGAGAGAACAATTTAAATAATGAGGAATGATTAGGTGACACTAAACTTGGGGTTTTAAAGCACAAAGATTGCAGGGGGAAAAAAAATGTGAGGACCTAAGAAGAAATCAGAGTAGGAGAATGTCCAATGAGGTTTGATTACAACACGAAGCAAGCAATGACTGCTGTGCGAAATTGGCTGCCGTGTTTCGCCTACAAATATATAGTCAATTCATTTTACAGTATATTCTGTGAAGTGCTTTGAGACAGCTAGAAGACGTGAAAAGCACTATATCAAATGCAAGGATTATTATTATAATAACGAAGCAGGGAGAAGGAAGGAGTACATGTAGGATAATGTGATCTAATCTATGCTGGTCACTAAAACAATGAAATTATTAAAATCACTACATCTTTACAACTGAAAATCACATTCTAAGGACATGCATGTCTGCATTTAAGATTAGTATACATTATACCCAGTGAAACACAACTTGGGAGGAACAACAATTCAAAATGAAAAGGGATCTTCTTGGTGTTCTTGTCAACAACCCTCTCGATAAAAGAAAAAAAGTCATTTATTTTGAAGCTGTTTGTTGGACAATGCTTTAGCAAATTAGCCTCCACGATCACCTCAAACACACAATCTCTTCATTTTGCAGTGAAGCTTTTTGAGATGTTTTGACTTGTTCAGATCCTTTCCCAAATGCAAGGATTGTTATTTACTATCATACAACAACAAGCCCTTATATAATGCCCGCCTCGCAGGGTGGTGTCTCAGAGTGCTTAACAGTGGCGGAGCCTGACTCCGAGACGGGGGCGCGGGGGGAAGGTGGCCGTAAGCACAGTCGGAGAGGAATGTTTTCAGGCGGGACTTGAAAAAGTGGATAGGGGCGAGGCAGAGGGATTGAAGGATTGTAGCAAGGAAAGAAAGCATGAATGAGCAATGACCATAATACAATATGTTGCATTTATATGGCACTTTTTATTTTAGGGCTATCCAGTCCCAAAGTGTTGGACAGTATGCTAATTGTATGCACAAAATAGAGAAAGACTGCAGTACCCTCTCTAATAGACAGGGAGGGGAGAGGATCGAGGTCAGAGGCAAGGGAATACAATTTACCTGGATATTTTGAAGGCATATGATAGTGTTTCAGTTTCACACAAGACATTTGAAAATTTAAAACTCAATGTAAATGACATGGCAACCTCATTATCATGTAGTTGTCTATAAAGTTGCTTTTTCTGACAAAACATCTGTGCCATACCTCATTTGTTTTTGCCTTTTCTCGTTCCCGTTTGCTTATAGCTAGTGGCATTTCCCACATAAAAGCAGAGAGTGAACTAAAGAGTCGATTCAAAGTCTGAAAAGATACAAGAATAGTTCATGAAGAAAAATCCTGTTTAATATTTAACACCATTAATTATTTATATCATTAATAAAATCAATTACTGTCAGCTTTTCTTGGTTAATATTTAGTCATAATTGTATATTTGCACTGAAAGTGTAACACCAATATCATACTACAACATTACAGAAGAACTGAAGTGCATTGCTTTAATTACAGAATGAATGTCTATTCAAGAAGAAAACTCTCTGATTTATAGGTACGTAGAAACAGTAGGCCATTCAGCCCCTCAAGCCTGTTTCACCATTACAATACAAAAATTATACTTGTATAGAGCCTTTCACGTCACGTCTGGAGAATGTCCCAAGGCACTGGAGAGTCACGAATTTTGCTGACCTATAAGATCACGGCTGATCTGTACCACAAGTCCAATTACCCGCCCTTGCCCCGTATCCCTTAATACACTGACCTAACACACATTGATTGAATGTATAATTTTATTTATTCTCTGAATGGAATGACAAAAAACAAAACAGTTTCTCAGCCTGTCCCAGTGTTAGCACTCTCGCCTCTGAGTCAGAAGGTTGTGGGTTCAAGCCCCAAGCTGGGACTTGAACTTGCACAGTCCAAGCTGACACTCCCATGCAGTGCAGGGGTGACTGCATTGTTGGAGATGCCATCCTTCCGATGAGATGTTAAACTGAGATCCCGCCTGCCTGTTAAAGACCCTACTTTACTATTCGAAAAAGAAGGGAGGAGTGTCTCCTGGTATCAGGCAATCAATCCCTCCCCAAAATTTGGTGATTCATTCACTTCATTGCGGTATTATGTTCGACCCTGAGCTGCCTTTCTTCCCCACATCCGCGTCACAACTGGCACTGCCTTCCACTACCTCCGAAACAGCGCCAGACTATGGCACTACCTCACCCCTCACGCTGCTGAAACTCTGGTCCATGCCTTTATCACCTCAAGGCTGGACTACGGGAACTCTCTCCTCGCCGGCCTTCCCGGCACCTCCCTCCACAAGCTACAGGTCATTCAGAACTCTGCAGCTCGTGCACTGTCCCGCACCAGACTTCACGACCACATCACTCCCACCCTCGCTCGCCTCCACTGGCTCCCCATCCCCCAGAGGATCGAATTCAAGTTCCTCATCCTCACCTACAAGGCCATTCACGGCCTTGCACCCTCCTACCTCTCCGACCTACTATCCCCTACTTACCTGCCTGTACCATCCGTTCCTCTGGCTCCGGTCTGCTCCACATCCCCTGCCCCAACCGTCCTACCATCGGTGGCCGGGCTTTCAGCCTCTCAGCCCCAAGACTCTGGAAATCCATCCCCCAGTGCCTTTGCCTTGCTTCCTCCCTTTCCTCCTTCAAGGCCGGTCTCAAGGCCTTTCTCTTCAACTGTGCCTTCAGCTCCCCTCTTGACTCTCTACCCCCTTCTCGCTCCCTCCCTTCCGTCCCCTCACCCTGACCATTTCCCCCCTGCTTGGGTCCCGACCCAACTGTCCAGCGCCTTGGGACGTCCTCCCGACGTGAAAGGCGCTCTATAAATGCAATCTTGTTGTTGTTGTTTGTGGGCGATTGCTGTGCGCAAACTGGTTACTGCATTTGCCCATAACACACACCGTCACTACACTTTACAGTAAATCCTATGAAGCGCTTTGGCTGTCCTCCCCATGTGAAAAGTGCTATAAAAAAATCTAAAGATTATTATGATGATATCCTTTAAATCTTGCGTACCATGGCTACATTAATTGCTCACTGGCTGCTGAACCTCAAGATCCACACAATCAAGATTGTTTTCGGGAAACACGATGATTGAATGCTTGGAGTGTTACTATCTGGGTACTGCTGAATCTCATTTGAGAATAAAAGAGTGTCATTCAGTTAGTATTAATAGACTGCACTGATACTCGGAAGCTTCCATGTTGCATTAGCTGAATTCACCACAAAAAAGCTCTGCACACAACTTTTGACTTCCATGGAGTAACAAAAATGTAACAAAAAGTGCAAAGTGAGACAATAACACACACTGGTGCAAGTATTTGCTGTTGAAGTGACTTCTCCAAAAATTGGCTTTGCTTTTACAACAATATCCAAATTCATTTACATCTACTAGAACTCTACAATTTACAACCCCCTGGTTTAGTCAAAGTAAATCACACATGGTATACAGGGCACATAGCATACAGTATAAATGACTACTTCTTACCTCCCTAATCTGGTTCTCTTCAGTGCAGGCAGGCAACAAGGATTCCAAAATATGTAACGCCAAAAGCTTGGTTCGTAAATTGTGTACAATTGGAACACCTGTAGGAAAAATATTTTTGTGGTAACAATTCATTATTGGTGTGACACAAAGCCAATTGGAAAGTCATAGTACTTTTCAGAATATAACTTGCACCAATACATACAATATGTAGATAAACTGTGTGCCAAGTGTAATAATGAACTGAAGTCATAATACAACTAAATGCAATCACAAATGCATATTTCAGAGGTTAATAAAGGTTTAAACACAATCACAGAATATTATTGTTTTATTATTGGTAGTAATGTGTACCCTTTAACTCAACAGCTCTAATTATAATTACACCATCTGCATAACTTTCTGATGCAAACACATGCAGTGTAAATTATTCCACAATCCACACATCTGTAAAACAAACTATTTGCATTTGTACAGAATTATCAGCATTTACTAGCTTTCTGAAACTATCAGAATTGGTGGTTTACAGCATAATGGAAAACGCTTTCAAATGAGCATACAGTACCATATATGAAACTGATAAACCAGAAATTTCCACCATAATCAAACAGTATAGATCAAATGATCTCTCAATGACCCAAGCAAAAACTGCTGAATTAGATTTTGTTTTAGCCATCTCACCTGTTGAGTGAGTCTGCGTTGCTATCAGTAACAGTGGATCAATCCATTTCACAGACACCATATTCTTCTGAATGTTTTTGAAGGAGATAACCCGCCGCAGAAAAACAAGAAAGTCTCCCAACTGGGTTTCTACAATTCTTCTGTCCTTAACACAATCTGTTTTTGAGAGAAACAAAACAAAACATAATACAGGGATCATTAACCAGTGAAAATAAATCCAGAAAGATAACAGCATTTATTTTGTTCAAATCACGTTATTCACTTGGTGGAAAATAAGATGCTGAAAACATCAATTTTGGTGATATGCAATTAAGTATTATTTTCATCCCATTCTCATATTCTAAATAGACTCAACATTGATTGTACTCCATATTCCAGAGGGTAGTACTGGTATGAAGGATAGATGATTAGATGACACATCAAACATTTTGTCCTGTAGCCTATAGTAATATCCAACACTTGAGTTCACCGCACATAAGTGATTTCTGTGGAAAATATTTCAAATCACACAAAAGATTGCAAATGGTGTACAAATCATTTTTCTCTCAGGAAATGTCTTGTCCTAACCTTATTATGATTTTTTTAATACTGTGTGTAACAAAAATGTTACTAATGTCAGTATTTCAGGATTATATGTTTGTATTACAAACATTCAGAGCCAAGACACAATGTGATTCTATTGTGTCTAACCACTTGGCTATATACATACAAAGGCAAAATAAGTTAGTTTCTGTATTAATCAATGTTATTTCTGTTCACAAATGCATTCATAAAACACTATATCAAAGGCAAGCTCTGCGGTTTTAGCTGGTTAGACTCCAGCAGTACCCCAGTGTATACTCTGGGGTCTCCAATTCTTGGCTCTTGTCAACCTGAGCCTAATACTATTTGCAATTAGGTAAGCAGGATGTGTCCCTCTCAGGAGAGAGTCCTCATACCATTCCAACAATTACTTCTGGAATTTCCATATGTAGATGGGATGCATGGAATTCTCAGTTTGGTTTGAATACTCAAGCACGGTGATGGGTTTCCGCATGTGTCAGACATTCGGCTGGAACAAAAACTAAGAAATTCTAATTTAGCGTCTGAAATATACTTACTGTGGGTATAGCCTTCCTCACTATTTGAAGTTACAACAGATATAATAAGGTTATTATCCTATTAGGACAAAACCCTTTAAGAAAGTTGGCATGCATATCCTAGATTTGTAGATTACACAAAGCTTGGTTGTGAAAAAAGCCAAATTCCTCTCAACTAATCAGCCTTTTGGAGCACATTTCATAATTTTCATTAAACTGTTATTCTGTAGTAACAGTGTGTTGATATTTCATGGGAGTCATTCTCAGGGCAGACTTGTGACAAGCAATGCGTATTTTGTACAGCCAGTCTGCCAAAGCAGAGAAGCAGAAAGAACACCTTGAAAACCTCACAACTGTGCAAACAAAATAATAAACAAGAAAAAAAAACTCTGAAGAGATACAGGCTGTAAGAGAGTTTGACAACCTGAGAAATCAATAAAGATTGGTGATTAAAAAAGGAAGAATAGCAAAGAATGGTATCTTGCGCACAGCAAAGGACATGTCCTCGTGAACAACACAAAGTGCATTGGGTAAATTTTTCTCTCATGGGATGACACTAGTACCCTGTTTATATGTGGAAGTTGGATGAAGCAGCTTACCAAGTAATTTCTTTACCATTCCAAAAACCCTGATCTTGATTCTGACACTACTCACCAATACAATGAATTCTCAACTATATAACTAGTTTCTCATGAGGAATCTGAGATAAACAAGTTGTAAAGTCTCTGGTCAGCCAGGCATCCTGGGGAAAGAGAGAGTGGGAGAAGGAATCCTTTGCCAGACTGCTCAAGTTTACTGACCAAAGAAAGGCAGTGGCACTAATGTTGGAAAGAGTAGAAGGATGCAGTTGTGTGGCAGGACAAATGGAAAAGAAAACCCAGGATAACATATAACCAAGCCTCGAAAATAGTCTTCAAGTCGAAAATGGTAAAACATCTAAAATTCAAAAAGAAAACCCCTTAAAGACAAAATATATTCTACTGAATTCCCTCACAATTCCAAAACGTGTAGAAATAACTGCACGCTTAAGTGGGTCTGTCATTGATCCCATTACTGTTTCAGACTTTTAAAGTACTGTTCACATTGTGGTACATGCAGGCTGCTGTTCCCAGAGCAGAAAGAACTTTGTTGCACAGGGAGGGAAGCAATTTATCTGTTCACAAACTATCCCTAAAAGACATTATAGAACACAGAAGACAATTAAAATGGGCAATTAGGATGCGTTTTTTAAAAAAGAGAATAGTTTTTTTTCCTTCTAGCACAACACCCCTCTTTTCCCATTATGAGAACAGAACTTTTTTTTTACTAGAGTTCTCCAATCTTCAGATAATGAAATTCTTATTGCAAGAATAAAATCTGTTCTCAGGCTTTCTCAGTGCAGCTGGGAACTACACAAATGGCCTCAAGAGAATTTCTTGATGCACTTTAGCTTGTGCACAATCACAGCAAGGTAGAGTTGGTGCCAGAAATGCTGTCACAGTGATGGTGTGGGTACCTGAGGTGAGAAGGTGCTGACAGGAGCCAAGTGGGAGAGCCTTTGTCTTGTCGACATTCAATTGGAGAAAGTTAGCTCTCATCCAGGACTTGAAGTAATTATTTAATATAAATAATAATTTAAACATTTAATCTAAATATGCCAAATGCGCAATATAGGCTTTTGGGGCTTTAGTTAAGATAGAATAGTTTGAACTTAATTGAGGAATTGTTTGATAAAGTTCAATTATATATTTTCTTAATTGCATCTGCAGTAATTTTAGGTAGAAAGTCAGAATGACAGGATTCGGCATATTAAAGCCTCCATCCCTAGACTCTATAAATTACACTACTAGATTCTGTCAGTTTAAGTACTACCAATTAAATGTTTTATTAATGCTAATAAATGCATAATAACTTATCATATAATTGTAATGGCAGCATCCATAAAATTAATAATCATTACAAATACTGCCAGGAATGTGTGAAATGTAGGTTAATGACCACTTCCAGTCAACTTAATCCTGCAGCTACGTATAATCAAAGGATCACCAAGAAGTTTCAATGGTATATTTACAATTCAATTTTATTAGAAATTTCTTATAGGATGCTCACAGCAGTTCCAGAACAGAACAATCCAACTTTCGCTGCTCTGTTGCTTGACTTTACTAACCCACACACTGCTGAATTCCTTTCTTCTCATTCTCTGCCATTTTATCCAATACTTTGTAGAGCGAGTCTTTCAGGTTTCAGTAGAATTTGTTGGGTTTATTTTATTTTGCATCCAGCTTCCTCTGCTCTGGAATGAATTGTCTCCCCCTTCAGTGGATCCAAAAAGCATCGCTCAAGCAATCAAAGCCCCACTAGCCTTTCACAATCCAAATCCTGACTAGGATCCATTCAGCTCTTGGTTTTCAGGCTGCTCAAACCAGACGAAAATAACCTCTCACTAATTAAGGCAAACGAATCTCCATGCTTATCCTCTAACTGAATAAATAAATGCGTAAAATACCTTAATGTTAAACAAGTGTGAGAATTTTTTTTTAAAAATCACACAACCAGTCCACTATTAACTTGCAAGAACATCTAGTATATTGACACTAATCATTCTAAGCTGCATTGAATCTAATGACTAGCATCATTCCAGTGTCTTTTCCATTCTTAGCTGCCTGAAATGGGTGTGGATAGTACTCAATGTACATCATGTTAAGATTCCTCACCCAAGTTAACTTTAATCACTTTCCTTGCCTAAATGAAATGGATCTTATAAAGTTCCACTGCTTAACATAATGCAATATCTTCTTTACTTGTAAAAGGGAAAATGCCAATAATGCACTTGTTAAACAAAATATATTATTGTTTAATGCCCACCTTTACTTTCTGGTTTGGCTGCCGGTTCACTGCTTGATTGTTCTACAGGTCCTTCCCCACTAAATTCACGGTCTGGATTTCCACACATCGCATGCAGGAAATTTTGCAGCTGACAGCACAGCACATCCATTGGTGCTTGAACCACCTCAGGGCACAAGTTGTCTGCACAGGAACTGCAATTATACAAACAAATCAAAAGTTAAAAAGGATCAATACAAAGGACAAATGTCAAACAAATCCATATCTGCCAGTTTGGCTTAGTTGGGTAGTACTTTTGCTCTGGGTTAGGAGGTTGGGGGTTGAAACCCCATGTTAAAACTTCAAACTCACAGTCCAGGCTGACACCCTAGTTGAGAACTGTTGACAGCACTGTATTGTTGGAGATGCGTCCTTTGCATAAGTCATTAAACCTGCTTGCCTGCTCAGGTGGATCTCCAATCATTTCCAAGACACAATTTCCAAATGATATCAATGGCAGCCATTTCCAGCATCGGAGGCCAGCCATTCCACGCCAGATGTCAGAACTGCACTACAAACAAAAGTAAGTTGCCCTGTAGGGAGTGCTCTGCAATGCTAGCCTGAGGGAAAGGTGCTCTAATATATATATATATATATATATATATGAAGTTGTTGCCAGGGTGATTGCTGCTAAACAAATTCTATTTGCAGTTGAAACCAGGAAGATTTGAGATTTGTTGGTTAAAATAATCTGCAATTGTTAGGCTGTTTAACATAAATGTTGATATAATGCTAATACAACACAATACAAAATTACATTTGTAAAGTGTCCCAAGGCGCTGAACAATCAGGGTCAATAGGACCCGAGCGGTGGGGGCGTGGCATCAGGGAGGGTGGAGGGCAGAGAGGGTGGCCAAAGGCACGGTTGAAGAGAAGGGTGTTCAGGCATGCCTTGAAGGAGGCAAAGGAGTGAGCGAGGCAAAGGTAGTGTGGGATGGTGTTCCAGAGGGTAGGGGCAGAGAGGCTGAAGGCCTGACCGCTGATGGTGGGGCGGACATGGGTGGGGGACATGGGCTGTTTAGCGGACAGAGTGGACAGGTTGATAAGGAGTTAGCTGTTCGGAGAGGTAGGAAGCGGCAAGGCCATGGAGGGCCTTGAAGGTGAAGATTTTGAACTCGATCCTCTAAGGGATGGGGAGCCAGTGGAGCTGGGAGATGATGGGTGTGATGGGGTCATGGAGCCTGGTGAGGGAGAGGACACAAGCTCCAGGGTTCTGGATAAAGTTGTAAGATTATGATGAACCTTTATAAAACGATGGTTAGGCTTCAGCGAGAGACTGTGTTCAGTTCAGGCACCACACTTTAGGAAGGATGTCAAGGCATTGGAGAGAGTGCAAAGGAGATTGACCAGGCTGGTACCAGGAATGAGGGGCTTCAGTTATCAGGAGAGGCTAGAGAAGCTAGGATTATTCTCCTTGGAGCAGAGAAGGTTAACGGGAGACTTGATAGAAGTTTTCAAAATTATGAAGGGTTTCAACAGGATGAACAAGGAGAAACTTTTCCACTGGCGGGTGGGTCGGTAACCCGAGGACACAGAGTTAAAATAGTTGTTGAAAGAAACAGAGGGGAGATGTTTTCACACAGCGAGTTGTTTGGATCTGGAATGGATTGCCTGATAGGGTGGTAGAAGCCGATTCAATAACAAGTTTTAAGAGAGTAGATAATTATTTGGGGAGGACAAGTTTGCAGTGCTATGGGGAGAGCACGGGAGAGTGGGATTGATTTGGATAACTCTTTTCAAAGAACCAGCACATACACGATGGGTCGAATGGCCTCTTTCTGTGCTGTATAATTCTATGATTTGTAGCTTATGGAGGGAAGACCAACAAGCAGGGCGTTGGCATAGACGAGCCTAGATGTAATGAAGGCAAGTATGAGGATTTCAACGGCCTGAGGGGTGAGGCAGTGGCGGAATTGGGCAATATTGCGGAGGTGGGGGAAGGCAGAGGGGGTTATGGCACGGATGAAGGGGAGAAAGGACAGTTGAGGGTCGAACAAAATGCCCAGGTTCTTGACTGGCTTGGTGAGGTGGATGCTGATGCTGCCACTGCCTAAGGTGTGGAGGCGCTGACGGGAGCCAATCAGGAGAGCCTCTGTCTAGCTGATGTTCAACTGTAGAAATTTGGGTCTCATCCAGGACTTGATGTCTGACAGGCAGTCTGTGAGGACAGGGTGGAGGTAGAGAGATAGAGTTGGGTATTACCCGCGTACATGTGGAAGCTGACCTCATGTCTGCGGATGATGTCACCAAGAAAAAGTATGTATAGGTTGAAGAGGAGACGATCGAGGACAAAGCTCTGAAGAACACTGCTAATACTTACCTCGCAGTTATGGCTAAAATCTGCAGAAGCCTGGCACTGGCCAGTTTTAATGCGACATTCAGCTGGGAATGGCCAGACACTGAAGCCATCAGCCAGCGTTGGTTTAGTAGAAGGCAGGAGTTTGTCAGCTTCGAAAGGGCTTCCAGGAGACCAGTGCTAATGACCACCGATAGGTCAGTAGGCTGGTAGCGAATATTTAAGGCAAATATGGTGGCCAACAGAAGATGTTGCTGGGCTCCTGCGATCATAAAACATTTAGAATTATAAATGATACAGGTGAACTTTAAAAACAAAAATCTGTATTTCTGAAACATGATTAGTCTTCTTTTCACAAATCCCAAGAGTTGATTTAACAAATTATTAGATATCAGTCAAATATCAGTATTAAAATAATGTCAAAGTAACCTATTTTTAGTTTATAAACACTTTAAATATACATACATGACCAACTGGGAGCTTGTAAAACATTTAGTCCAATTGAAAAAAAAAGCTGCAAATATTTCCAATCACCTCACAAATCATTGTTTTTCTCTTGTTTAAAAAAAATCCAAAGGCTCCAAAATAAATAGGCGTGTTTCAGCGACCAGGATTAGGTAATGAATTTAAAATTTCAGTGATGAGAAGCTAACAAAAATATTAGTGTTCAATTTCTTGACGAAAATCATGGCATTCAAGTGACAAGTCTTCGTATATTAACAGTTGCAACACTCACTATTAATTAGGTCTATTTAAAATTTGCATTTATATAAGTAATCTGAGTTACAAAGTTGAAAACCTGAGAGGTCCTTTCCACTCGCAAGTCCCTTCTTCAGAGCGGACACCAACTGCTGGTAGAGTTTGTGGGCTCCAGTCTGGAGCTCGGTTTGTGTAGTTCCACGAGCAGCTTGGGTCACATCCTGAAGGGAAAGGTTAATAAAACATGGCTTACAATTTATTTTATAGCCAAGAACATTTCAAATTGAAGTAGATTTATACAGTATGCAATGCAGAGGGTATATAAGCTCTGCTGACATTAGACTTAGCTTATAAATGTTTAAAATGATAAAAAGAAAACAAATTATCTTTAACGTTCAACAGTATATCAGTCTAGTTGAAAATGGTGTCAAAGGAGCTTGTTCTTATTTAATATAGTACTATACTGCCCGTGCATGACCAACGTCCGAAGTGATACAATAAAGGTTTCAAAAATAGAATCAAATGAATACAAGGCAACATGAAAATGTTTAAGATGCAATATTCTTAAATTTCCCCATCATATTTATGACTATAACAATTTTTTGACTGAGGAAAACCATGAAGTTAAAGATGATAACTATGACATTTAAGAAGAATAACTGAAGCTTCATCTGCAAACACTTATGTATAGAAATACCATAAAAGACATCTGAACAGACTGTTTTAGTTTTGGTTAACCCCAAATACCTAACGTCGTGTTTTAAGCTTTCTATTTCCTCTTCCAGTACATAACCATTAGGCTCAGATTCTGTGGTCAATCAACAGCAGACATTTTCTGTTTATAAAGTTAGGTATCTGAAGTTGTGAAGTGTTTTGTTGCATGTTTACCTGTTTTAAATGCTTATGTCATTTTGATAAACTGCATTCTCTTCTAAGCAGCCCAAAATGGAGGAATTGATCACTTACCGTATAATGCTGCAGTTTTCCGATACTCTGTTTATTATTTGCAGAGTTTGCTGTCCCCAGATCAAAGCAGCCGGTCAAAAACTGCAACTGGACTGACATTAGTAGGCCAGACGACTTTAAAGGCAGCCCTGATACCTCAGATGAGCAGGGGCCTTTTCCCTCCATTTCAGAGAGAAAAGATGAAATTTGGCAAAGAGCCTCAAGACGAAGCTGTGACAAAGAAATCAAGCGTTTGATTTTTGAAACTAAAATGTTAGGGATGATTAATGCATTCCTTAGGATTAAGTTTTAGAATTTAGCAACACATAATACAAACAAAATGGTAGAAATCTCCACAACAGGACTATCAGAATCTGAAAATGATTGAATACAACAGCAACAACCTCTTGTATTTATATAGTGCCCTATGCTTAGGAAAACATCTTGGGATCGCTTCAGTGGCAAAGCTAGAATGAAGGGGAAATGGGAAGGTGTTCAAAGGCGTGGTCGAAGAGGTAGGTTTTAAGATGGGATTTAAAGACAGATCGAGAAGGCATGAGTCAGAGCGATAAAGGCAGAGAGTTCTAGAGGCTGGGGGCGTATTGACTTAAGGCTCAGGCACTGACTAATTATGTGGATTTCCAGCATTCAGATTTCCTTTTTATTTCTAGCAATTTATAATCTGTGTCTAAACAAATCCCAAACTCTTAAACGTGTAAATTATAGCATTATTTACAGCCTGTTTCACTAATTGGTTTTGAATAATTGATACAAACCTTGTTCCACTATGTTTTAACAACAACAACAAGATTCCATTTATAGAGCACCTTTCACGTCGGGAGGATGTCCCAAGGCGCTGGACAGTTGGGTCGGGACCCGAGCATTGGGGGGAAATGGTCAGGGTGAGGGGAGGGAAGGGTGGGGCGAGGAGGGGCTAGAGAGTTGAGAGGGGAGCTGAAGGCACGGTCAAAGAGAAAGGTCTTGAGACCGGCCTTGAAGGAGGAAAGGGAGGAGGCGGCGAAGGCACTGGGGGATGGAGTTCCAGAGCCTCGGGGCTAAGAGGCTGAAGGCCCGGCCACCAATGGTAGGGCGGTTGGGGCGGGGGATGTGGAGCAGACCGGAGCCAGAGGAACAGAGGGTATGGGCAGGTAAGTAGGGGGATAGTAGGTCGGAGAGGTAGGAGGGAGCAAGGCTGTGAATGGCCTTGTAGGTGAGGATGAGGATCTTGAATTCGATCCTCTGGGGGATGGGGAGCCAGTGGAGGCGAGCGAGGGTGGGAGTGATGTGTTGTGAAGCCTGGTGCGGGACAGTACACGAGCTGCAGAGTTCTGAATGACCTGCAGCTTGTGGAGGGAGGTGCTGGGAAGGCCGGCGAGGAGAGAGTTCCCGTAGTCCAGCCTTGAGGTGATAAAGGCGTGGAACAGAGTTTCAGCAGCGTGAGGGGGTGAGGTAGTGCCGTAGCCTGGCGATGTTTCGGAGTTTTAAGAGTTTGCGATTGGGCAATTTTGAGAAAATTATGGTCAAGTAGATTTCAATTTGACTCAAACAAAGCAGTTTGACACGGATAAATGAAGTGACATGTCACCAATAGTATTGTCTTGCACTGTATGTATAGTTGCCTCTCTTTTCACTTGAACACGTTGTGACCTTTTGTGAGTTAGGTAATGAAAGTAGAAAATATTAAACATTTTAGTGCATTTGGTTTGGGTATTGTAGTGATAATACATATTAATGTCTTACCAGTATGCTAGGATCATTAATTATTTTGATCAATTAATCTAGCAGTACTTGCCCCTTCCTTACCCACCTTCAGGTTGCCCCTGAAGACCTTCCTATTTGACCGTGCCCTCCCTGGCTCTGCATCATGCTCCACCACTGTCATGAACTCTGGGATGCCACCCAGCGTGAGGGGCGTTATACAAATGCAAGTTGTTGTTGTACTGAGCAACATTCACATCGGTGGTATCTGTATGGGTAAGAGTATTATACTGGCTGATATCATGAACACTCTTACCTCTGCCCTTTGCTGCTGGTGACCCATTGCTGTAATAATTGCTTTAGGGTCAGCCTCCTTGCCTGCTTCTTGTTCTACCAGGTTTGAAGTGCGAGCAAGGTGTCCACAGAGAAACTGGAAGATATCATTCAGCAAAGGTGCAAAAGAGGTGGGGTGGACACTCTCTGATGGACTAATGCACTGTCTCAACAGCTGCCAGGCATCTTTCATAATTCCCAGTGAACAAAGTTGCAATCCTAGGTGAAAAAACAAATTCTGGTATAAACAGGAATAAACCTTCCCAGTACATAGACAATAATCGTAATAATGCCTGTATTTGATATAAAGCCTGATCATATCAAAATGTCTCAAAGCGCTACAAAGTAGTTGTTACCATGTATTTGGAGGCAAAAGGCAAAACTTGTGCCCAGTTATGTCTCTAAAACAGCAGGAGGTGAATGAATGTCAAATGAATTGAAGGAATGTCTATTGAACTGAGCCATATTGCTCTATTCTATTATTCCTCCATGAGGTTTGTGATGTTAAGGCCTCCATGTTTCTTAATCCAATAATCCAGAATTCTTATAAAAAGTGAATTCTTCGCACTGAGTTTCTGTTAACTCTACAAGCCAAAGGCTCTAACAATTAGGGTTAAACATGCAGTGTGAAACTTTCCAGCTGTTCAATCAATACGATTTTCACTGTTTAAACTCTAGCAGTGCCTCAACACAGAATCTAGGATCCCACAAGGAAATAAGCTCTTATCAACCAGTGTCCAATATTTTCTGGAATTAGTACTTTAATTACTTTGGGGAATTTGAAATCATGGGGTCGGGGTTGACATTCCTATGTAGTGATTATAGTGAGTTGCTGTCCTTCAGATAAGATGTCAAACGAAGGTCCTATCTGCCTGTCCAGGCTGATGTTAAAGATCCCACATCACTACACAATAAGTGAAGACAGTTTCTTCCAGTGCCCAGGCCACCAATCCCTCAGTTGAAATTGGTCATTCGCTTCATGGATTTTTGTGGGACAATGCTGCAGGTAAATTGGCTGATGCATCTGTCCACAAATACAGTCGCTAACCTTTATAATAAAACTTAATGAAGCACTTTGAGATGCTTCAATCACGTGATAAGATGTTATATCAAGTGCAAAGATTATTCTATTTGGAATGAATGTAGATAACTGTAGCTTTAATATAAATCTTATATAATATAAAACGACACCTGCACTTAATACAATGATTACAAGGAAATACAAGGAAACAATACCTAGTGTTTGTTCAGATGATCTTGATTGTATTTTGAACTGACCTTCAGAAAGCTGGAACAAAGCAGAACAAATCAATTTATATTTGTATAAATAATTTACTTGTTAGAATAAGTGGTTACATAAATCTGTAATTATGTTTCTTTGTTTACTCATCAATTTTTCTCCTCACCATTGAACGAATGGATGAACTGAGCCTATTTTCACAGGTTAAAAATCTTTCAAATGATAAGTGGTTTTGATAAGGAGTAATTAGAGAGAAAATTCATTCTCACTGGTCAGTGAGTCAGGGATTCAATTGAAGATAACTACCAAAGGGGGAGATTTGGCGGAATTGGGGTTATTAGGATATTGAATGCTCTGCCAGGAATGTGGCAGGATCCATATAAGCTTTCAAGAAGGAAAAATATAGATATCCAGAAAGCAGTATATGCAGGAATGCATAACTGAGTACACAATGAAATTGGAACCAACCACTTTCTGGTCTATAATAGCCTTGTGCTGCACAAATAGCACCGTCATCTACAAGATTGTTGGGGAAGGTCTAATAAAGACTCAAACTTACTAAGACCATAGCCGTGGGAAGAAGAAGGAGAGAAAGGGGGACAGGTGGGCCAGTTTTCTATTCTGCTTTGCGAAAGGTGCTGAGTCTTGATGGGCACATTTCCACAGGCCACAGCAAACAACTGGTACCGCAGCAAGCTGTCAGTCTCCAAACGAAAGCAGGCTATTCAACCAGTTAAGTACACAGCTAAGCCTCCAAAGCCCCCAGTCACTGAGTTCAGTTAGAATTTCCTAAATCCTGTTGAAAACTCAACATCTGCACATCCAATTTTCCAGCAGAGATTACTGGATAGCAATCAGGTGTGCAAACCCTGGCTGATTTTTCAACTCGCTCGCCTGGGGAGGAAGCAAGGCTAAATTTCACACCCTTATAACTTACAAGCCCGAGATCAGCTAACACAGCACTGAGAATCAAACCTACAACTCTCTGGTGTCTATGGGGTATTTTTCCACAGGTCAGTGCTTTTACCCTCAGCACTATAGTAAGCCAAGATTGATGCTTTGAAATTACGCTTTCTGAAACTTCAAGGACTACATCAGCATGGGAGCCACATTCAATAATGCATGCACATAATTACAATGCCAAGCACCAGTGGGACATAATGCTGAGGAATCCACAAAGGATGCTTTGACAATTCGGCCAGGAAACATTTAAAACTTTCAATATTTTTACAAGCCAAGATTAAAGAATGAAACAGGTCATTTTCAAAGTAATAGGGATAGAAAGGGTGCTTAACAGGTAAAAGTTTCCCAAACATATTTACAGCATCCTCTTTCTTCTACAAAGGTAATTTTACGGATGTGAAACACCTCAACGTCACTGCCAAAATACTTGACCTTACTTAAGAGTTTACCACTAGAACATTCCATTTTCTGAGGAGAGTCCATGGTTATGGTCTTAATAAATGTTGCTAGTAATGCTTTCCAGTTTAAGCTGTTAGGAGACTGTAATACATACTTCCTTGTGCACTTGTTTCCTTGCACTGGATTCACCGAGGTTGAGTCTGGATCGATTACTGAAAGTCTGCTCATCTTGTGCAGAAGCTACTTTTCTATGCAAAACAAAGAAATAATAAACATTAGGTTATTATTATTGCAAATGCTTGTAGAAAATAAAATCACAATGGAATTTGATCATTTTCTGTTGCTCAGTGGATCATTTGTATTCCACATCCTCCTCTCTTATTCATCTTCTATACTAATAAAATCACAATGACTATCTGTGTGTCATTGTATCCAACAAACGCCATAACCAATTGACGTAAAGGCATGATTTATACTTCATCGGAAAGGTCTTGCCTCTGGCAGTGTCATGGGCATATTTTTTGGGAGGAGGATCTCCTATCAATGATGAGCTATATCAAAAAATGCTTTAATTAAGCCCCAAAATATGAGTTATGCATCAGATTCTGCAACTACATAGTGACAGAGGAAAGCACACACCGTTCAGAAAGATCCAACTATATTCTGCAACAAATGTATGGCCTCTTTTTTCTGGTTGTCATGGGAGCTAGAGTCCTCCCATGTGCGACAGGCAGAGAGAGAGCGAGGGCGACAGGCAGAGAGAGAGAGCGAGGCGACAGACAGAGAGGGCGACGGGCAGAGAGGCAGAGAGAGAGAAGGGTGGGGGCAGGCAGGCAGAGAGAGGATGGGGGGGGTAGACAGGCAAGCAGAGAGGGATGGGAAGTCAGACAGGCAGAGAGAGAGAGCGAATTACAGGCAGAGAGTGCGAGAGCGAGGGAGACAGGCAGAGAGAGCAAGAGGCAGAGAGCGCGAGAGGCAGCGGGAGTGAGACAGGCAGAACAAGAGAGGGACAGGCGTGCGAGAGAGACAGAGAGAAAGGCAGAGCGAGAGAGGAACAGGTAGAGAGAGAAGCAGAGAGCATAAGAGACAGACAGACAGACAGACAGACAGACAGACAGACAGACAGACAGACAGACAGACAGACAGACAGACAGACAGACAGACAGACAGACAGACAGACAGACAGACAGACAGAGCAAGACAGAGAGGCAGGTGGAGAGAGTGAGTGGCAGAGAGAGCAAGAGAGGGGGTGATAGGCAGACAGAGAGAGAGAGAGAGAGAGTGGGAAGGGGTGACAGGCAGGCAGGCAGAGAGAGAGAGGGAGATAGAGACAGTGAGAGACAGGCAGAGAGAGAGAGAGGGAGAGGGAGGGAGAGAGAGAGAGACAGGCAGTGAGAGAGACAGAGAGAGAGAGAAAGACAGGCAGAGAGAGGGCAGTGAGAGAAACACTCAGTGTAAATGAAATGTCAATCTGTGTCAATCTGCATTACATATCGAATCCTTTGGTTGCGAGCGAACCTGCAATGGGTACAGTTAGTATCTCATAAAACAGATGACACACAATCCAACCATTCTACTTCTACCCTTCATTTCAGGTCCACTGATGTTCTGACCACCTGCCTGCCAGATATCAAGTTCTGGATGGACCTCAGCTGAACCTGAGTAAGGTGGAAGCATCTTTCTCTGCCCCCACCAATGTCTTCTTGCTTCCGGCTTTAACATGGCACTACGCAAGGATTCTACAATTTTTCCTATTTTTTTCCACCCTCTAAGGGAGTCAAATTAAAGACAGCAGTTCAGGAATCATATGAGCAGAGATTAGTTACGACTTTGAGCTGAATAGTGAATGAACATGCATTCTTTTTGAATGAAAACTTGTTTTGGAGTATGGGAGCAGGCCTCAAGTTTAAATAATGGCGAACCTTGGTGGAATAGGATCAGTCAAGGTGGGCTCTTCTTCCAGCCACCCCTTCTTCTGCCACATGGCTCTGACTCCAAGGATCAAGAAGGCACAACGTGATATCACATAGTGACATGTGGAGAAAAAGGAGTACTGGTCTGTCGAATCTTTTCGTTTTTCCTTCTGAGCGGTTTCAGCCTCTGGGACGTCCACACTGCCTGCACTGCTCGGCCTGGTACTTGTGCCCGAATATTCATAAACAGTTTCATTTTCATGGTGACAGGCTGCTTTTCGAGCTAGGAAACACTCCAAAACCTCTGTGAGATAGGGGGAAAAAAAACACACCACTAAGTACATATCTCAATATTGCCTTATTTACTTAGATAAAAGGGAACCCGCTATAGTGTCATTCAGGTCCCCTCTGTGTTGTTCTCATACACTAGAGTGCTCTCTCACTTATAACATGGGTCTACTGTGAACCCGTACTAACTGGGCTCCGGTGCCGGCTAGTGAAACTTCCCATATTAGAAAATGGATGACTCTTAGGTCTAAAGTCACTGCTAAAGCCACTTCCTGCGTACATGGAGGAAATCCTATTTCCTGTGTGCCAAAAGGCACTTCTCAAAGAAATAATGGCCATGAAGTGGTGTTGGGAGTGATCTGACAACCTGAAAATAAGCTACCTTTCACATTTCATGGCTTCTGAGATAGTGGACCCATCTGACCACACTATATTGAAGTTTTCCTGCATTTCACAGAGGAATTGTGTTAAACAGTAAGAACCAATAATGTCCATTCTAATATAACAGGAACTATAGAATGTAGCAAACAATAAAGTCCAAAAATTGAATTTGATGTAGAAAGTACGAGCTACAGAGAATCATATTAATTATATACAAATATTATATAATTTAGTTCAGAATTACAATTAAGAAATATTGCCATTAAGAATGCCTCAAGTAAAAATGTACTCCTTCAAATATTTTGATACTTACTTAACCATAATATTTGATGGACATTATATCTTTTATTCAAAGCAATTCCTATTGCAGTTGCTATGAACATAAAAAGTGCCAAACGCAAACAATGAGTTTTGAGTTTTGAAATACTCAGGATTATTTCTGAAAACTATTGATGTGTATCAAAATGTTACAATTCTGCAAAACAAAGCATTGAAAATCAGTTTACACACTGCTTATCTTTGGAAAATCCTCTGTATCTAGGAGCACAATTTCCCTTTCCACATTGAACTGCGGTTCTTCCGGTTGTCTAATGTTCTCAGCTTGCTCAGCAGAAGTGCTTCCTTGCGGTTCTTCCTCAGCATTATCATCGGAGATGTCCGAAAACTGAAAAAGAACTTGGGTTAAATGTGGTGACAACTATTCATTAAGGTGATATACATTTGTTTACGTTATCCTAACTGATTTCTCTATACGTTATCCTACTTTATACTGTCAGGTTAAAGGTTGCTTTCTAACTAAATAAAATAAGGGCTGCCTTGATCCTTAAGAACTCTTTATAAGGAACCCAAGTCACAGGCCCTATAATAAATGCTCTGGTTCATTTGATGAACTTCAGAACTTTTGATCAAAGTAGGGGAATATTAATACGAGGATTTTGTGAAGAAACCCTTCAACTTTATTTCATGTGTCTTAATTTACTTTACAAAATAACCATGATGAAAGTCATCAAAAGACTTTTAATGTACTTGAATTTCAATAACCATGACATAGTCGCTCTATCCACATCTCCTTCCCCAGAGGAGGAGCTTTAGGGTAACACAAATCAGGCATTCCATTTGAAATCAATTTGTCTAAATCAATTTGTTTTAATCATGCTTTAATGGCTTTATTTTCTTCTGAATAGTACACTTTTAGTAAATTTGTTTCCGTTTCCCAGAGATCAGCGATTTATACAACCCAACTTGCCTGGGTAATGGAATAAAAATGCTAAAAGCTCTGGGCGGTCAGAAAGGGCTTGTTAAGGTAATGTGAAGAGATTGAGGTTTTAGAATTAGAAAATGAGGAAATACATTGAAAGGTATCTAGATTTAGCTGAAACACCTGAAAACAGTCATGAAGTGAAAGATCACTTTTTTTTATATGTGGAATTTTGGCCAGGATTCTGGGAAAAATCCCTTTTTTTAATTTTTAAAAATTTGAATAATAAATAATGCCATGGGAATCTTTAACATCTACCTAATGAGGTAGAAACCACCCCAAAAATGCAGCCCTCTCGCAGTATTGCATTAGAGTGTCAGCCCAGACTACACAAGTTTCAAATCCCAAATTGGGGCTTGAACCCACAACGTTCTGACTCAGAGGTGAGAATGTTATCACTGAGCCAGGCTGATATTAAACACTATAAGGGTCATGGTTTTACCTGTCTGGACCAATTTGGAGGCTGGACATTTGCTGTGTTATAGACAACGTTCTTCTGAGCCAGTATAGTGCTTCTTGCCTTGTAGACACATTGATAAACTTCCACAAGTCTCTCGCTGGGCTGAGACCTGAGAAAGAATGTGGCACATACTATACTTGTTTTCCAGTGTGCAGTTCCATATTTTACATACATCAAAAATTCTGAGTGAATAATAAGTTTGTATCCCAAACATCCTCTGTTTCACTGACTGCTTTTTACTCATAGCCAAGCAAGAGAACTATCAGAATAAAATGTTTACTTCTATGAATTGTCCTTAAACAAATTGCATTCTATCTATTGTCTTTTTTTCCCCCACCAGAAGCAGTCAGTTATATAGGGTTATGGTTCTACAGCGACAATGGCCTACCAATACATTGTTCAAATGATCGTTCTTCCCTTGTGAACGTGGACAGTGAATAGCAGTCATACCTGAAGATGTATATTGCTTCAGTTCCATGCATCTTTATGATTTTTACTAAAAAAAATTAATCCCACCATTCACCCTATGATAAACATGTTGATAAATACTACACTTTGCCGAGTTGACTGAGAAACACAGTTTTGGTTACCGTTGACAAAAATGAACTGACCCAAGCCCAAGAGGGAACGCAAAAGATAGCAACAAGATTGATCCTCACTGTTAAGAGGAACAAGCTCTGAGCCACCATTCCACAAACTAGAGTTCTTCAGTCTTGAGAATACAACACAGAGAGGACCTTATAGAAGTGATTAACATTTTAAATGGGTTTGAAAAAGTTTGCCCAGAATAATAATAAATAATAATCCTTGCATTTGATATAGCGCTTTTCACATCTTCTCGACGTTTCGAAGAGCTTCACAGAATAGACTGTGAAGTGAATTGACTGTATGTCTGTGGGTGAAACGCGGCAGCCAATTGCGCACAGCAGTGTCCCACAAACAGTCGTAGATTGAAAATGACCAATTTATTATTGTTTTGTAGGGATTATTATTAGGCTCTGTGTGGAGTAAGGAAACTTGCCCAAGGTTTCGCCCTCTGCCTGGAATTGAACCCAGGTCTCTCACTTGCAAAGCGAGTGCTCTAACCATGAGCTACAGGACTCCACAAATGAATGAATACTATAAGGCAGTAGAACAAGAGGACATAGGTTTATTGTTGCAAAAGGCAATTTTAGGTCAGATACTTTTGTTAGAGATAATTAACAACTGGAACAAGTTGCCAGAAAGGTGGTTGAGGCCAGGACAACGGACTCATTTAAAATGCAGCTTGAGATACTGCGATGAGAGGATAATAGGATGGGTATTCTGGAGGGATGAGGAAGGGCCTTCTTCATCTAAACTAATCTTATAAATTCAGGGAGGAAAATCAATCATTCCAATACATCTTATTGAAATAAGTCAAATAGGAATATTGTACATCATAGTATTTTGTGGAGACATGACCAACAATTGAAAACACTAGGTGTACATATTCATCTTGCAAATGTTAATTTGTTAAGAGATTGTACAATTTACACCGTAATAACATGTCAGATCGGTATAATTAACAGTCTGCATATACCAGAGCTGGACCAAGCCATCAAAAACCATCATCCTTAATTTATTTACAGGTATTAAACGTATAGAAATGACAATTTAATCTATTGAACAATTACCGCAATTTTTACTCCATAGCAATTCTCAATGCCTTTTGCCCTAACATTTTTATACTTCTTCAACCAATGCCGGTATTGGCTATTTGGACGATTTCAAAACCAGCCCAACTTCATGTGCAGAGCGCTCACCTGTCGTCTTTGCAAGCCTCTCGCAATAAGCCAGTGTGCTTGAGTAAAACTGCAAGAACAAATCGGGATACTGTGTCCAACAAAGGCTCTCCAACCACGCCGTTTTCCCATTCTGAAACAAATGGGTTAACAATGTTTTCTAAGTAAATAGAAATTCTCAAATGGGGACATTTAATAATTTAAGATGTGATTAGGAACTACGTCAAATGCAAGGATAATAGTAATAATAAATTCAAAAAAACTTAACATTTATAGCACAGAAACGGGTCATTCGATGCAACTACTGGCCGTCCTTATACTTCACGCAAATAATTAATCCACAAATGCTGGATGTCTAGGTTTTAAAACAATCAAGACATAACAGTTTGGATTTTTTTTTTAATATGAGCTTATCTCAAACCAACCACAACCAAGAAGCTAGATTTGCTGCAAATACTGTCCCATCAAAATGCTGACTACTAATATTACAAACAAAATGCAACACATAAGAACTGCATGATAGATGTAAGTTACCGCTACTGGTGGCATAGGCTTGCATCCTACTCCAGATTTTATATGCGGGCTCCATAGAAGAACCCAGCGCAACATCCAAAAGTGCTGCAATGTCCTCAGCAACTCGGAACTCAAAGGACTTGCGTTCTGCAGAGCCAGTCAATGCCTTCCCAATCAGACAGTGCATGTACGCATCTGCAGTAAGAAAGGAAAATCGGTTATATAAAGGGACCTTTAACATCTTCTCCCAAGAAGTAGTCACCCTGTCGTGTGCCCGTTAGGAATGCATCAAATTTAATCACATTGCCAGCGAAGGCTTTTGTACCACACTCCCTTTCCTTTAAACATCACAATGAAATGTATACAATTAAGGATCTAATAATAACATCCCTAAAGAATAGGAGTTTTAGATACTTTCATTGATTCCTATTTTATGAATTAGAAGAGGTCAAACATGGCTATTTCTCGGTTTTAAAAAAAACTGATAATTAAAAAAATATTCAGAGGTATAATGAATAAACAGAATATTAAGTACAGAAGCTAGGGCACTCGATTATCACATGGAAGCTCAATTGAGGATTTTGTGATAACAATAAAAATATTAGCCTACCAAGTTGCTCAGAGTCCATTTCAAGTCCGTTGCTGAAGAGCTGGTTTTGGAGCCAATACACTGAGTTGTGTTCTTCTGGTGAAGATGGAGGACCTTGCAGCATTTCCCCGAGACACTGGCCAACAGTGAATGAAATGGTTCGCTCCATATCAATAAGCCAAATCCAAGACCTCACATCTGCAGGAATGGATGCTTCGGAATTGTTTGCTGAGTCTGCAGAATATAAGTTGTGCACAAAACCTTCCTGAATGAAAATGTACAGCGTATGCATTTTGCTGGATTGTTGAAGAATGACAGGGTGACAGCTTATATGTTAATAATTACCTCCTATCTTCCAGCAGTGTCACATCAGTCCATCCATCATTATAAAATGTTTATCAACGGATTCAATAAGTAATTACCATACCTACTAAAACTACCTAGGATTTTTTTGTAAAGATTTTATAATGATGTAGTCAGATTTTAATGGTTATGAAATGATCTCCCAACCCTGGAATTATCTCCCATCAATAATTCCAGGGTTGGGAGATCATTTCATAATCATTAAAATGGCAAATATACAGGCACATATTGTTTGCCACAAACACTGATGGGATGGTTTAAAGGTATATTTTCAAAGATGTTTGTAATATTTCAAACAACTATTTAAAAAAAAATTCCTAAACACAATTTGCTGGAATTGAATTTTATCACTTAGACTTGAGTCAGTAGACTGAAGGTAGTGAGTAATAGGTTGTATTATACCAAGGTTGTAAAGTGGTTTGATGAGTCTGAGGGATAGGCAAGGAAAGTTAAGAACTGCAGGTGAGAATACATTGACAGGAGCCAAGGAGGTGACCTCAGTTTCGTCCATTTTCTGCTGTAGAAAGTCGGCGGTGTATCCAGACAATGCAGACAAAGAATTACAGTACGAAAACAGGCCATTCGGTCCAACCAGTCTGCGCCGGGTTTTATACTCCACACCAGTCTCCACCCATTCAGTTACTCCCTCCTACAACCCATTCTCATGTGAAGGTCTAGCATGCTCTTGAACGCAGACAAGACTATCATATCACTATATGCTTTTGTTTCTCTTTGCCAGCCTCTGCCCACCCAGTGTCAAAACTGTGATTTTTAACAGTGATATGGCTTGTCTTTTTTATTGTACCATTTTTTCTGAATGCAATATTATCTGAATAAAACATCTATATGATACACTCTAATGAAATGATTTCATACTGACCATGCAGCGCCCATTCGAGTTCTTGCTCTTCCAGTAACATAGCAGCTGGCAAAAGTCGGTTAAGACGATCAAGAGGTTGAAGCAGGTCCAAGAGATTGCCTAGCAAAGGTCGTACCATGTTGACCGGCAACAACAGAAGGGAATAGATGACCTGACACAAAATGCTTCCAGCAGCAGAGTTGAAAAGAATACCTACAATCAAAAATGTGATTAAGTGAACGACAAAATTTCAAAACAAAGTATTAATTAATCGTGCATTAAACCTGACCTTTATATTCACATTAGCTGATTTATTGCACAATATTTAGTCAGTTTTATTCAATGCTCCAATCTGCCGCTATGAAAACTGACCCTGCATCTATTCTGCCATTTGAAAGAACAAATATGTTTATGGAGTTCAAATACACTCTTTCCACCTGGTGTATTATTAATAGAACAATTCTTCTATGTAAAACAAGAACATTACATTTTCATAAAGAAAAATTCACTTCTTTGTATTTTTTACATTCCTGATACAGTTTGTTCCCGATATGTTTAAAGCATTTTACTTCCAATTACTACTGAATGTGCTCATTTTCTAGTCAACTACTTATTTCAGACATAATAATAATAATAATCCTTGCATTTGATATAGCGCTTTTCACGTCGGGAGGACGTCCCAAAGCGCTTCACAGAACACACTGTAAAGTGAATTGACTGTATATTTGTGGGCGAACGCGGCAGCCAATTGCGCACAGCATTGTCCCACAAACAGTCGTAGATTGAAAATGACCAATTTATTATTGTTTTTGGTTTTGGAGGGATTATTATTAGGCGTGTGGAGTAAGGAAACTTGCCCAAGGTTTCGCCCTGACTGGAATTGAACTCAGGTCTCTCGCTCGCAAAACGAGTGCTCTAACCACTGAGCTACAGGACATACGGATATGTTGGGAGGATGTATAGAACAAGGAGCTTTGCATTCTTGACAGAATAAGTTGTGAATGCAACATATCAAATGTTGAAATTACAATGGAAAACACTGATGTGCTATGAGAAAATTCTTAAATTATGAAGGTGATAAAGGTTTGATTCTCACCATGCAGTTTTTCGGTGACACTTTTATCCAGGAAGCTTTCTTTCAGAAGCACTGCAGATCTCCTGTATGTATCTGCTGCGTACAGCAGCAACAGGTGTAAATGCTTATGCAGCAAAGCTATACTTAACTGATCCTAGGGAACAAAACAGCTAACATTAATTGAATGACTGATTTATGTAAAATGCAAAATAAATATTTACTTATGAGTGAAGTAGTAATTAGTAAAATTATTAATTCTGGTGTACTGAGGTTTACATAAAGGTTTGTACTCCTGGAAGCAGAAATATTGAAACAAAAAAAGTTGCTGAACTAGATAATTTCAGCATTTCATTGTCCACAGAATTTATACACAATCAATGGCAACTGACATATACCTTGATAAATATACAATCATATTAAATCAACTTTTTTTAAGCTTTATCATACTGATAATTCACACCCCAGTTGAACACTGCTTTTAATTTCAAGAGATATAGGAGAAGATCCTTGAACCCATTTGATCTCAACCTCCCACTATACTTTTACCCATTAAACCATCAAGCCTTTTTTTAAAACAAAACGAGTCTACTGGCTTGGCCTCAACCACCCCATCTGTTACTTCATTTCAGCTGTTAGTTACCCTCCATATGTGACTTAAAATTGCTCTTTACATCCCTGTATCTGTGTCCTCTGGTCTTGCTGCCTGGCAAATCTGAAAATAATATTCTAGCTTTATTTTCTCTTCCATTCAGCATCTTCTTAGGGATGGAGATGATCTTACACATTCATGACATTGACATCCAAGAAAGGTCTATCATTATACAGTTATTACCTCATAGCCATGATTATTCCATAAAAATAGCAGAACTGTTAAATATCGCTGTTTCCCCACAATGAATTACCTCAGTAGCAGAGTTTGTGTAACAGTGAGCCAACAAATGTTTATGCATTGCAGACAACAGCTGACGGACATGCGAAGGTGGCCCAGTTTCGGTCTGGGTTGTATTATTTTGTTGTTTATCACTGTTCTTTTCCAATTCACCAAAGGCCCGTTCCTTTTGAGACATGACGAGCAGCATAAATTCAGGTTATGAAAGTTTGAAGAAATATCTGATTGCACGAGAGAAAAGGTTTTAAAAAACACTTACGGTGTAGAAACCTATGTTCTTCAGGAGAGTCTTCAAAAGGATTTCTGCTAAGTGAAAGTGGTCAATATTTCCTGAATTGAGTGAGCACTGATCTGAACAGTAGCCCTGTGAAAGGCCTTCTGTTAAGTCGCCAGGTGAGCTGTAACCAAGAAGGGATGCGATATGGGACTGGTCTTGTAGGCTCGTCAGTATGATATCCAACTGCATTCTCTATTTAAAACAAAGTGTAATATGTAATTGACCAACATTTTTTGAGGGAAGAAAAGTCTCAAACACACAGTAGCCTTTGGCTCAACTACAGCAGTCAGAACTAACCTGTGCGAAAAACATTACCAACATGTTGTAAGGCTTTGTTGCCTCAATGCTAGAACATTTTTAATTAAAATATTGTGAATGTAAAATACTCTGTGGTGCTTTCCACCCACCTAAATTACAAAATATTTACTTCAAATAATTTTGATATAATATAATAATCCTTGCATTTGATATAGCGCCTTTCACGTCGGGAGGACGTCCCAAAGCGCTTCACAGAACACACTGTAAAGTGAATTGACTGTATATTTGTGGGCGAACGTGGCAGCCAATTGTGCACAGCAATGTCCCACAAACAGTCGTAGATTGAAAATGACCAATTTATTATTGGTTTTGGTTTTGGAGGAATTATTATTAGGCGTGTGGAGTAAGGAAACTTGCCCAAGGTTTCGCCCTCTGCCTGGAATTGAACTCAGGTCTCTCACTTGCAAAGTGAGTGCTCTAACCACTGAGCTACAGGACTCCACCCACTGAGCTACAGGACTCCAGAACTTATAGAAAAGACAAGTTTGAAAACTGTGAAGTCCTTCCTCAATTGAGCTTGGACTGTGAAGAAAGCAAAGAATGAAGAAAATGTGGAGGGAAAGCCTATCTGCTATTTTTGCACGCTCCTGTTGTCAGCATCAACACGCGATTGGGGGAGAAATTCTGTTGAGAAATCGTGGGGAAAATGAAGTATGTGGAATAGAACAATATTCATGAAGGGTTATTATAAAGGTCCAAAGCCTTATCCACAACAGAAAACCTGAACAGTGCTGAACAAAATATAGAATTGTTGCTACTGCAAGTTACAGTGATGTTCAAGAACTAAACAGAACCTACATAATATTCCAGCAACAACAACTTGCATTTATATAGCACCCCTCACACCTGGATGCTCTGGAACACTACTGCTTTCACACTTGGTGGGCAGATGAGATGCGGAATGCCATGCTTACCTGTCCTTTTGATAAGCTCTCCCATCTCTCTGGACCTTGAGGTAGTAGACAGTGTAGCAATTCAGTACGTTCCCTGAGAGGAGGCAACAGTAAGGATGCACCAACTGAAAGTGTTTCGTTGACTGCCTGCAGGACACAAATAAATATTAATAATACTTTCATTTGATACAGCAACTTTCACGTTAGGAGGATGTCACAAAGACTTTTTTTTGCAGGCCCTAACCCGAATTGCATTTCTCAAACATTGGAATAAAAATAATTTACAAAAGTTACCTTTTCGATAGAATCTGGGACATCGGAATCAATTAATCGAAAGAGCAGGTTTCTCAATGGTTTTCCCTGTTGCCCAAGAACAGCAGCTCCAGTACCTCCAGCTTGAGCCAGTGACAGATGAGTGGAGAGCAGCTTTAAACAAAGGAACACAAAGTGATGGTGTTCTCTGCAAAGATCAAAAAGCAAATCTATTAGTCAAGTAGGACATACTGAGATACTGTTGGCAGCGTTTCAAAGCTTTCTTCAGCATTTGTACTAAGTGGACATTAAGCTTTCATGACTGTAGTTTCAGAGATTATTTACTTCCCCTACAGTGTAACACAATCAACATCTCTGCAGTGCAACATCACAAAAATATCAAGTAAATCCCTCGGTATTTTGACAGTGAAAATAGAGCGCAATTGTTTGCTGCAACTGATGGTGGATTGCGAAATACAGCATTCACATAAGTTGTATCAGTCAGGACAATAACATTTAATATGATTTACGTGAAGCCTGAGTTGTAGACAAACTGTACAAGTCATATAAAATCTAATTCAATCAATAAACTGCTTCATATGATTTATACAGTTTGGCTGCAACTCTTATTGAATCACGAGAAATGCAGTCTTGACCCATTATTGCATGAGTAATTCAATGCAGTCCATAAGTGCAGTAATGGGTCAAGACTACATTTCCTGTGATTCAATGTGTATTGACCAATTGGTGCATGCATTTTATGGAATTTCATGAAAATGAAGTTCTTCTGTGCATGTATGCAGTTCTCCTGATCAAGACTACATTTCTCACGATTCAGTAAGTGTGCATGCATTGATGGTCAGGGTGTAATTTCCCACTATTCAAAGCAATGTGAAGTAATGGAGGGTACAGATAATCAAATCACAGGTTCGTCTTAGATTTATCTAACATTACCTTTGAGAGGAGAAAGGCAGTGGTGGAACCTCACTGTTAATACCATCACAGTACTGTTCCAAAAATGTTCGAAGGTAAGTAAAGGTACTTTCTTCCAGATCAACACAGAAAGGCCTGTGCCAGGCTACCAATTGCCTAAAGCAAAAAAGAAACAATAATGCGGGTGGGTTACAAACAAAACACACACTTTCCTACAGTAAATCCTCTGAAGCCATTGTGAAAGGTGCTGTATCAAATGCAAGGATTATATTTATAAAAAAAGAGGTGACAATGAATGTTCAGTGATTACTAATAGCTTCTTTCTTTGTTAGTCGATTGGTGGATCGCTTTTCCGGGGGTAATAATGCCTCAAAAAAAAATTTGGACACTCACTCCACGACTGTTTGTGGGACACTGCTGTGTGCAATTGGCTGCCGCTTTTCTCCCACAAAATATACAGTCAATCCACTTTACAGTATATTCTGTGAAGCGCTTTGACACATCTCAAAGACTTGATAAGGGGCTATATTAAATGCAAGGATTATTATTATAAGCTTATTTAGAAAAATGCAAGCAATATTCAGAATCCACACAAATTATGATTGGACAGCCTATGAAGTTATATTACCTGTCTGTAGGTGCAGCTGTCCAGGCCAGGCTGTGGGATGTTCCAGCTGTTATTTGCTGAATAGGAATTCCTTCCAAACCAATCACTTTCTTCGGTTTAGAGATTGGTGTTGATGTGTGTCCTTGCCCACACTGGCCCATTGCATTATTACCCCAAGCAAAAACATCATTATCTGTTAAAATGACAAACAAATGCACAGTAATTAACTTCTAATCATCATGCAAATTATCTGATATTGCATTTGTTAAACAATCTGATGTGCTTTATCATCAATAATCTACATCTTTAATTTAGCAAATTCAATCCATCTCTCACTCTGAAACACTTATGCAAATCAAATACAAATGGGATCAAAAGTGCCTCCCTCAAACCACGCCCAAACCCAAATCCTCATAACAAATGCATTATCTTAATTACAGAATATAATATTTAATTAGATTGAGCACCAAGCTAATCTAATTTCAATACGTTCCAGTTCATATCCTCTGTTCTTCCGTCTCTGATCTCTCTTCACGCCACATAGCTTTCAGTCACTCTCCCCTTGTCCTCCAGAAATCTCTTCTAAGATAATTTTGCATTACTATCTTTCTCTCCATCTTCAAAAGGCTCTGAAAACAATGTTATGTCAAGCATGCCTCTGGTCAACATTCTTAAATGAAGTGATAAGGGACTATACCAAATGCAAGGATTATTATTATTCATTTTTCACACAGCGACCACCATATTTGTCAAGAGTATTGATACCTAGCTACTTGAATCAAAGAATCATAGAATTATACAGCACAGAAGGAGGCCATTGGGCCCATCGTGTCTGTGCCAGTTCTTTGATAAAAGCTATCCAATTCAATCCTACGAATCCACTCTCTCCCCATAGCCCTGCAAACTTGGCCTCCCCAAATAATTATCTACTTCTCTCTTAAAAGTTGTTATCGAATCAGCTTCCAACCGCCCTTTCAGGCAATGCATTCCAGATCCGAACAACTCGGAAACATTTCTCACCTCCCCTCTGTTTCTTTTAACAACTATTTTAAATCGGTGTCTTCGGGTTACCGACCCACCCGCCAGTGGAAATAATTTCTCCTTGTTCACCCTATCGAATCCCCTCATAATTTTGAAAACCTCTGTTAAGTCTCCTCTCAACCTTCTCTGCTCCAAGGAGAATAATCCTCGCTTCTCCAGCCTCTCCTGATAACTGAAGTCCCTCATTCCTGGTACCATCCTGGTAAATCTCCTTTGCACCCTATCCAATGCCTTGACATTCTTCCTAAAATGTGATGCCCAGAACTGAACACAGTACTTCTAGCTATGGCTTAACCAATGTTTTATAAAGGTTCATCATAACTTCCTGACTTTTGTATTCTATGCTCCTATTTATAAAACCTAGTATCCCGTATGCTTTTTTAACAGCTTTATCTACCTGTCCTGCCACCTTGAAAGATTTACTTATATGAAACCCCAGGTCTCTTGTTCTTTCACCCCATTTAAGATTGTACCACCTAGCTTCTATTTCCTCATTCTTCCTTCCAAAATACATCACTTTGCATTTCTCCACATTAAACTTCATCTGCCACATGTCTGTCCATTTCCATTTGCAGTGCTACTATCCTCCTCACTGTTTACTACTTTTCCTAGCTTAGTATCACCTGCAAACTTGGAAATTGTACTCCCTATACCCAAGTCCAGGTCATTTACAGATCAAGAACAGAGATGCTATATTAACACAAATTGTTGCTCTCGTTAATTGGTGCAACATTCTTTGATTAGTGCAACGTCTGGTTATTTTCATTGGGCTTTGATAGTAAGTAGATGCAGGGCTGAAAGATATCATTCAAATAATCCAGTTGTGCTCTGTGCTTGACTATGCAAACTCACTGCTTGTCGGCCTCCCCAACTCCTCCCTCTACAGGCTGCAGATCACCCAGAACTCTGCAGCCCGTGACCTCTCCCACAATAGGCTCTGCGACCCTATCGCCCCCATCCTTGCCCAAATCCACTGGCTTCCCATCACAGAGGATACAGTTCAAGATCCTGGTCCTCACCTTCAAAGCCCTCCACAGTCTTACTCCCCACTACCTCTCCGACCTCCTAACCCCCTACACCCTGTTCGCTCCCTCTGCTCAGCGGGCTTCAGCCTTCTCCACATCTCCAGCCTTGATCGCTCCACTATTGGTGGGTGGGCCTTCCGCCACTCTGCATCCACATTCTGGAACTCCATCCCGCAGTCCCTCCGTCTCACCCCCTCCCTCACCACCTTCAAGACCCACCTCAAGACCCTCCTCTTCGACTGTGCTTTCGATCTCCCTGAATCCCCCCTGCCCTCCCCCCACCCCGACCCTCAGCTCGGGTCCATAACTCTATCTGACCAGTGCCTTGGGACTCCTCCTGACATGAAAGGCACTATACAAATGTAATTTTGTTGTTGTTGCTGCAGGAGTGCAAAGACCCTAGGGATACAATTTAGTCACAATGTGCAGATATATCATGTCTACAGTGATCTCATATACAGGTGCATAAATTCACGCCCAACTGGATTTTTGATACAACAATTTTTTAGTTTGCACTGTGGACAATTTGCATTGTGCAGGAGGTGCAATGATCCACTGTTTACTTCTTCCTAATAGGACTGGTCGCAATCAGTGTTATTTTCTCTCTAATAATAATACTTGCATTTGAAATAGTGCCCCATCACGTCTTCGAGGCATCTCAAAGCTCTTCACAGAATATACTTTAAAGTGAATTGACTGTATATTTTGTAGGCGAAACACAGCAGCCAATTGCGCACAGCAGTGTACCACAAACAGTCGTGGATTGAGTCGTGGAATTATTACACAGGGAAAAGTGCTTTGCCAATCGACTAACAACCGGGTTCCTACTTACTGCTAAGTAAACAGAGGTGTGTAGAGTAAGGAAAAATGCCCAACATTTTGCCTTGCCAGGGATTGAACCCAGGTCTCTTGCTTGCTTGCGAGGAGAGTGCTCTAACCACTGAGCTACAGGACTTCACTGTACACTTAGACCATTATTTTCTACTAGATTGAATAGTTTGATCCTAGCATGATCAGACATCTACCAGATACGAATTCTAAATTATTTCTGAAAGTGACTGCTACCTGCATATGGAATCTGGTTTTTAGAAAGAAATTTATCCGAAAGGTCACAACTCATCTCAGACTGCGATCACTGCTCATACATTGCTCACTGTCTACTTCATGTAACCATCCCATATAAGATAGTGATTAGGGAATCTAAAAGAGAATTCAGGAGGAAATACTTCACACAGAGAGTAGTGAGAAAGTGGAACTTGCTGCCAAACTGACGGTTGAAGTATGGATGCAATTAAGAAGAAAGTATATATACATACACATGAGGAAGAAAAGGGGGATATGGGAGGGAGTAAGGAGCGGGTGGAGACTCGTGCAGTATAAACACCACATGGACTAGTTGGTCTGCATGGTCCTTTTCGGTGCTATACAGTAATCTATATAAATCCCAAGGCCCATGAATAAACAGGTTCAACTGGATGTTTAACGGTAAATGTATGAGTGAATGCAATTTCAGGTACATACAATTAGGTTGTAGCATCTCACCGTGTGTTAGAGCTAAACAATGGCTGTCTCCACAGGAAATGTCAATGATTTTGGTTGAATTTAGCTCGTCGACTAGTCGAGGTCTAAGAGCAGTAGTCTCTGAAGAACCACTTCCCAGGCAAGAGCCACAGCCCCAAGCAAACACCTGAAATCGAAGAGAAGACAACCAATATAGATCATGACAGAAATACAATTTCCCTGCCTTTTCTCTATTCTCCTTAATATCCTGCTTGCTTGTCAATCCGTCTGTCTCTCTTTCAAACATCCAAATTGATTCAGTCTTTGCAGTCTCCAAGGCAATGTATTCTGTAAGGCTCTGCGTGAAGAAATGTTTTTTGATCTCACTTCCAACTGGTTTAGTTGTTATGTTATTAATTATGTCCCACTTGTTTTGAATCCCTGTACAGAAGGGAAGAGTCAATAGAACCATAGAAATTTAGGGTAAAGAAGGCAGCCATTCGGCCCATTGTCTCTGTGCCCACTCCATCAACGGAAATGCTTTCACTTATCTGCCCCTCTCCCCATACCTTAAAATGAGTCAGCTACAAGGGTGTGTGTCTATTTCCCACTTGAAATTTTCACCGCTTCTGCACCTCAGGCTCTGGCAGCATCAACCTCCATGGTTGCACACTAAGACTCACCAAGCCAGTCAGGATCCTAGGTGTCTTGTTCGACCCTCAACTGTCTTTTCTTCCCCACATCCAAGCCATGACCCGCTCTGCCTTCCCTCACCTCCATAACATTGCCCGACTCCGCCACTACCTCACCCCTCAGGCCACTGAAACTCTTGTTCATGCCTTCATCACCTCCAGGCTCGACTATGCTAACGCCCTGCTTGTCGGCCTTCCCAACTCCTCCCTCCACAGGCTGCAGATAATCCAGAACTCGGCAGCCCGTGTCCTCTCCCGCACCAAACTCCTTGACCCCATCTCCCCCATTCTCGCCCGACTCCATTGGCTCCCTCCCTATCCTTCAGAGAATCCAGTTCAAGATCCTGGTCCTCACCTACAAAGCCCTCCATGACCTTGCCCCACCCTACCTCTGCGACCTCCTAACCCCCTACCAACCTGCCCGCTCTTCCGCTCAGCTGGCTGCGGCATGCTCCACGTCCCCCGACCCACTTGTCCCACCATTGACGGGAGAGCCTTCAGCCACCCCAACCTCTGGAATTCCACCCCCCAATCACTCTGCCTCACCCCCTCAACAACAACAACAACTTGGATTTATATAGCGCCCTCCACGCCGGACGGCATCAGTGTGCTTTACGGTAACAGATCCCGGGACTGAGCCAGGGGGAAGGGGAGGAAGGTAACCAAAGGCGCGGTCGAAAAGAAAGGTCTTCAGCAGAGACCTGAAAATGGGAAGGGAGGGAGTGAGACGAAGGGAGTGAGGAAGGCTTATATTATAAGCTATAGGGTTATTATAAGGCTTATTAAAGCCTCCTTCAAGTCCCGCCTCCAAATTCCTCCTCTTCGACCGTGCCATCGGTCACCCCCCTTCCCTTTCCCTCCCTCACCCCAGCTCGGGTCTGAAATGCTATACATTGTCCAGTAACTTTGGACGTCCTCCCGATGTGAAAGGCGCTATACAAATATAATCTTGTTGTTGTTGTTGAAGGTCAATATAGATTTTGCCTCAACTATTACCCCCAGCAGGGCATTCCATATCCTAACTATTCTATGCGTGAAAACATTTCTCCTAACCTCTCCTTTTGCTTATTTCCGATCTTAGATTGCCACTATCTAGCATTTTTATAAGATTCTTTATAGGATTCTGTGATACAATTTGTACTTGTTTTTAAATCAACTTTTTAAATATAATAATCCTTGCATATGATATAGAGCATTATCATGTCTTTGAGACATCTCAATAGTTCAAATTTTGGATACATTAAAATACAAGATTAGCTTCTTGGAATTTGAGTTGTAGACATCCCAAAATTTAAAATACTAATTGCCTCAACGAAAACAATGTGCATTTATAGAGGGCTCATTGTAGGGGGTAGTGTCTCAAAGCATCTCTCTTAGTGGATATTTATCAAACTCCATCTGGATATTTTACAATAGCTATTTTAATGATACACACCAAATACCATAACAAGTTAAATTCAAAAGCCAGTGTTACAATCAGATAGAAAAGCAAGACCTATAACATGAGGTCATAAACTAGATAAGATTTTGCCTACGAAAATGGCATTATACTTGATAGCAATTATTCATAAAGCATTTTTAAGATATTTCCATGTGATAAGGTGCTTTAAAATTTCAACTTACATAAATTGTCATAGCCATTCCAGCTGTTGATTACCCTCTTTGTATAGAGTTCCTGGTGTCGGTCATAAAATTATCAGTTATAACCCTTAAACCTGGGCACTCCTATCCATCTGCTTTCACAATGGATTGTTTATGATCACTGAATTGTTTAACTTGTTTAAGGTTCTGTAATTTTAATGTAATTTACTTCTCTTTCATGTAGTTCAAGATTATAGCTGAGATTAAAGGATTTTCCAGAGACTTTAATCTATAACAATCGATACCAGCGTTAATACAAAATCACCACAGAATCATTCCTTTTCCACATGGAAAATCACCTTACCTGTCCAGCAGACGTTAATGCAAGTGAGGACTGGCTCCCAGCACACGCCTTCCTGATGTACAATCCCTGCAAACATTCAACTACCTTTGGCCTGTAGACTCGGTTAGTGTCCCCGTGACCAAGTTTACCTAAGATCACAAGATTATTTCAATTATCACAATACAAGTGAAAAAGGGAAATGTATACTGCAATGGTTTAGAACAATAAGGATTTTAACATGATAGATTTTGGAATCCGTGCTATGAAGGCAACACTTGGTGGTTAACTGTGGAATTCTATATTACCCCATCAATGAGGAGATGTCAGAATGCACGAGTCAAGAATTTAAGATTAAATGATATCTTCTTCCAAACCACTGAGTACATGCATTTCCTATTCTTACTTCCTATACGTTAAAACCAGTTTTGCCAGTTATCAGTCGATGTGCAAAATCTATCAAACTCTCTTTGTAAGACCTTTACCTCCTCCATTGATTCCACAGTTCACCCCAACTCATCATCTGCAAATTTAACTAATTTACACTGGGTCTGCGAATTCAGATCAATAATGTATGCAAGGAACAGAAGAGGCACAGACCCCTGAGGCACCCTATGTAATATCCCGCCATTTTGACCCAGTTCCCCTAAAAATAACCCTCTGCTTCCTTCCCTTTCACGACATGTCCACGTCTTGCTTCAGTTTGTGAAGCAGCGTTTGATGTGATATTTTGCCCTCAACAGGAAGATTACATTTGTGATACAATCACTGCAGGTTATCAGAGGACAATTAATCTTGACTGGATTACTGAAACATAACATAAAGAACAATTAATACAGACTGCGGAACACCGGGGAGGTAATACATCGAGCACTAAACAATCTCACGAACTGAGAATCCAAAGCTCCAGCATTTATCAATATCATCAATCTCACTGTTTGCTACTGCCTTCAAAAGTGTACACCTTACGTTTTTTCTTTAGTTTGCACACTTCAATGTCCCATGAAGTGAACGATCAATTTTGGCAATCAGGCGTGATATCAAATGCAGGGAATTTAAAAAAAAATTGGACAGATTTTTCTCTGGAAATTAAACAATTGAGAGGGGACCTGATAGAGTTGTCACAATTTATTAATAAAGGAGACAAATAATAAACTCTTTCCTCACTAGTTTGTGAATTCAAAACAATAAGTTATAAACATAAGACTATAACCTTATAAACAGTGGATCTAAGAGATTTTAAGAGGGTCAACTTTAAGCATAGGGTGGTGAGAATGTTGTACTTCTTGTCTGAAGCTGTGGTGGAAGCAGAAAGCATCAACCTATTGAGAAGAAAGCATGATGCACGTTTGAAGGGAGAGAATAAAAGGATTTGGAAGAGGGGATAAACAGCCAAAAATGACTCTAGTTTGTGATGGTTATTTATGAGTAGATAAAAAACTGTTAAGAAAAGAAACCATTGAAAGCTGCATATTATTTCTGATGAATCACTAAGTGGAAATATAGCCTTACCATTGTCTCCCCCTCCAAATGACCACACTGTTCGTCCATCCTGAGACACAGCGATGGTATGAGAGCTGCCACAGGCTACTTGACCAACACTGCTGATGTCCTTGACAAGAGCTGGCAAATTACGGCTATGGCTGTCACTATGTCCTAAAGTTTGAAAAAAAATTCCAAAGAAAATACATCAAACATGACACTGTTTATCACCTTTTTTTATTATGATACAAGACTAGTTTGCTGCTAAAAAAAATTGTAATAATCAAATAAGTCACTCAAAGTATATTTCAATGCTAGAACGTGTCACAGGGTGACCCCATTAAGTGCTTCTCCAGAGTTAGAACCCCAATACAATTTTATATTTAAAAGGCACCTTTCACATTGGGAGGACATCCCAAGGCAAAACAGCAACTAATAATATTCAATAATACTTTGCCAAATTTCAGTTACCCAAGAAACTAAAAGGAAACTAAAACCTAGAAGGTCATGCTTGAAGGCTTAGTTGAGGAAGGGCAGGAGGAAGCTCATTGGAGCATAAACACTGGCAGAGACCAGTTGGGCCGAATGGCCTGTTTCTGTGCTGTATATTCTAATGTAAACAAAAAAAACAAGACTTTCAGGTCAGCGCTGACATCACGGCCTGCTTTGCATACATAGAAAGTAATGTTGATAATCCAGTAGCTGGTCATTTTAGTGCAGGACCTGGGAGTGAGTGAGTCAGCCGGCTGTGCGTTCACATATTGAACCTGCCTATCAAGTTTGGATTTTTATGGATCTCAATACCACGTTATAACAGGGCAACACTGTACAGCCCTAGATCCATTTGTACTCACCAAGTCTCCCAAAGTCACCCTCTCCCCAGGTATAAAGCTCTCCATCAGATGTAACTGCTGCACTATGCCTGTAGCCTGCAGACACACAGACCACAATCTGCAAAAGAAAAAAAAGTGAATTATTTGAAGGGTCTTAAACTTCAAAGACTTATTTATTTGATAAAATAATAATCCTTGCATTTGATAATTACACTGGAGAGACGTCTCAAAGCGCTTCACAAGATGTACAAAGTGTTTTTGACTGTTTTTTGTGGTGAAATGCGGCAGCAATGTTCCACAAACAGCTGCTATAGGAATCATCCCATATCAATGTTCCAGGATTCTGCAATGAGATGTCTACCTGACACAATGTTAGATCACAATGCTAAATTGGACATTCTATTACAACTACTGTAACATGCAGAGTCCTGGAAAAGTGTGGATCTTTCAGAAATTATATTGATCAGCAAGCTTAAGGCAAAGCAGAATTTCACTTGTAACAAAATGTGCATGGGGCAGAAATAAAAAATTATGTTTGAAATAGAAAAGCTGCATTAGGATAACTTCAAATGCTATACAGTACCTTTCCTAATAATGGTCCTTGAATCAGCTTAGGATATTTCTGTGTTGCACTGTTTCCATGCCCCAGCTTTCCATAATCACCATCTCCCCAGCTGAATACATCTCCCTCAGTAGTCACAGCTAACGTGTGACCATCAGAGCCTTTAGAGGAGGAGATTTTCCGGATGCTGCGATGAGGTTCAAAGGTCAGCTTTTTTGGTGCAGATTGATTGTTAGAGTCTCCTAAGCCGAGTCTGCCATAACTCCCCTTTCCACAAGCTTTCACAGAACCATCGTCGGAAATTGCAAATGTGCAGTATTGTCCAGCCTCAATCTGGGGGAAATGTTAGTAAAAGATAAATAAATATTAGATTTGATAAAAGAAAAAATGTACGAAAAAGTAATGATGATCCTGCCATTTTGTAGGAAATAGCAATCTGATACAAATTTAAAAATTAGGAATCCGATGATTCATTTTCTGGATGCTCCAATTAAGTCACTTTTTTTCTGTGCTATTTCACAAATATAAAATAGTGTGTAAAGATACTGATCTTGAATCACAATTACCTCAGGCTTCTGCATCCTATAATCAACATTTCCTTTGTTTTGTTTTCTGGTGTTGCACATATTCCTTTTCGTATCTTAAAAACTTCAGTCACATTTCTCTTCCCCTCTTCACATGAGAACATACTAAGCTACATTAACTTCTCTTTATTGAATGAATCATTTCCTGCTTTTCTTTGAAATTCTGTCTTTATTTACAAAAGCTCAAACCCAAAAGGTGAACACATAGCAGTAATGTGAAATAATAATAATCTTTGCATTTGATATAGCGCTTTTCACGACCCCTCAAAGCGCTTCGCAGAATATGCTGTAAAGTGAATTGACTGTATAATTGTGGGTGAAACATGGCAGCCAATTGCACACTGCAGTGTGCACAAACAGTCGTGGATTGAGTGACCAAATTGTTATTGCTTTTTTTTCTTGAGGGATTATTATCAGGCGTGCAGAGTAAGGAAACTTGCCCAAGGTTTCACCCTGCTGGAAATCAAACTCAGGTCTCTCGCTTGCAAAGCGAGTGCTCTAACCACTGAGCTGCAGGACTCCACACTTAATGTAAAAGCCTTTGTAGTCGAGCAGAATCCACATCAGATTTCAAGAGGGAACTCGAAGATTTACATCTACTGTACAGCAATAATAAGGATTACCTCTGAGATGGAATTCTAATAATAATCCTTGCATTTGATATAGCGCTTTATCACATCTTTGAGACGTCTCAAAGCTTCAGAGTATTCTGTAAAGTGAATTTGACTACATATTTTGTGGGCGCAATGCGGCAGCCAATTGTGCACAGCAGTGTACAAACAGTCGTGGATTGAAATAACAATTAATTATTATTATCTTTTTGAAGGAATTATTACCCCCGGATAAGCAATCCACCAACCAGGCTCCTACTTATTGCTAGGTAAACAGAGCGTATGGAGTAAGGAAACTTGCCCAGAACTGTAAATTTACAAACTGTAACCACTGCCACTGTCCTACCATAACCTCTGTTGATCACAAGATTTCTGTGTAGCAATTATAAAATAGCATGCAGGTAATCTCTTAAAAATCAGGGTGCTTGCTAATGCAGTGAATCGTTACCCAAAGACATTGTGCCACAAAGTTATACACCCACCAGTCTGTGCCGGTATTTATAGTCCACGCAAGTCTCCACCCATTCCTCACCGCCTTCCTTCTATTCCTTTCTCCATCATATGAAGGTCGAGCTGCCTCTCAAGTGCATTAATACCATTTGCTTTAACCACCGCTTTGGGCTTTGAATTCCATATTTTCACTACCCTTCTAAATTCTCTTTTAGATCTCCTAGTTGCTTTCTTATTATAGTTGTGTCCCCTTAAATACGAACACCCCAAAAAGCCTACATATGCTAATGTTATCAAATCCTTTTTTTAAAAATAATTTTAAGCACCTCTAGTAGGTCCCAATGTTAAACGTCTCTTTTCTAGTAAAAATATCTAGTGTTAACCTGCTTCTGCAAAACCGTTTATGGATAGTTATCTTCATTACACGGCTCTTATGCACAAGTACAGGTTAGCACAATGTTATCACAAACACTAAGTTCTTGATCTTAAACCTGCTTACCGTCTGAGCATTGGCAAACCCGTGTGCTAATTTGGGTTGCAATATTTTTTCCAGTGTTCCTTCTGCGAGTTGATGGCTGCTGTTGCTACCCCAAACGTATACTGTACTGGACTCACTCTCTCGGCTCTGAGAGTTATGTGAACTGGTGCTGCACAGGCAGTCTAAGGCTAGCCTGCAAATCTAAAAGGAGGAAAAGCAGACCAGTTAGCATGAAATACTACCGAGATTCAGAAAGCCTAAAGAAATGTTCAGCACTGCAAGCCAGACAAATTAATTCAAATTAGTACACCAGTAAGTTATTCTCCAACAATAAATAGGCATTTATTCTATATTGTCAGTTTTTATTTTAATGAAACCTGAGTTGGGAAGCTACTTATTTGTGGAAGGCATTGTAGACCAGCTCAATCCTATTCTCAACATCTCTACAAATGTGGGGGAGGGAGGGGCGGCTGTGAATAGCAGCAAGAATAGAATTTTATCTGCACATTGTCAGTTATACTAGAGTTATAAAAATTGTATCTGTTATTACGTGAGAATAAATTTTTTTTTGGTCAATTTTCTCCTCCACCAACTATAGCTAGTTACATTCCAAGGTGTAAGAGAGAACCCAGGACCTAAGCAGAACCATCACCTACGTGGCACAAATAGAACAATGCTCTGTGCCAAGCCAATCAGATAGAAAACACCAATTCAACAAATCCTCAGAAATCTGTTCCAGGAACGACCTTAAGATTTATTTTTTCACTCGTTCCAACTATAATGCCAATAGCACTCCCTTATCAAATAGCACTATTCAAACACAATCCTTGGCACTTGTCAAAAATGAGCCTTACTATTGAGATGAAATTCTAGAACTGCAAGTTTACAAACTTGTAATGACTGCCACTGTCATATCATAACTTCCGTTGATCATGAGATTATCCTGTACCATTTGTAAAACAGCACCCAGCTAATCTCTTAAAAATAACGGTTCAAACTACTGCAGTGAATTGTTGCACAAAAACATTGTGGCACAAAGGTATAGTGTCTGGGGCCACTATTGAGATGAAGATGGCAGGGGTTTCAATCTTAGCCAAGGCATTGGGGGAGGAACCAAACAGTGGTAATATATCTCCCTATGTGAAAGGATGCCAAAAAATACAATTAGTTTTTCTTTTAAAAAAGGAGTCAATCTGAGCTATTCTTGGGCACCTTAGCTCCTAGCAACTGTTTCAAAAGTGACAAACACATCCCTGGGTGCAGCTCACCTGCAACCATCTTAGTTGTGGAATGGTACATTGCCTAGGCCCTAGAGAACCAAAAGAGAATAGGGAAGAATAACTAGCCTATTTTTAAAAAAAAATTTAAAAATTGGGTTTGAAACACACTGATAGATAATAGCTTTTCATTTTGTTACTTAGCCACAGCTCTTGTAAATCACAGGGATGAACTGCAACATTACAGAAATGGTCACTGCTTTTAAGTGTTATTTATGGCACTGTCTCATACAAAACTGTCCCAGCCTGCCTGCAAATTTCTGAAATTATGTAATTTCTGCTTAAGCAAAGTAAAGTTTGAAATTGAACCAGTTAAGAAAAAGGTACACCTCTCACAATACTATAATTGGAAAGCAAGTACAGTTCTAATTAGATTATGTACAGCAAGTGAGCTGCTTTCACAGTCTCCATAGAAAACTTCTCATCTCAGCTGTAAAATTGGTGTCCAATATCAAGACAAAGTACTAGGGGAAGGGGATTCACCAAATTAGGGCAAGTCATCCAGTGCACCACTTAAGTGATCATGTTCCATGTGCAGGTATTAATCAGCACAGTTGGCAATGAATGTTCCTAATGGGAAATCTCAAGAATCAAGCACATCAGATACAGAGAAGAGAAGTTGGTTATTCAGTCCCTCAAGATAGCTCTGCAATTTTAGCAGATCACATCGTCAAAATGCACTTAAAACAACAACAAAATGACATTTGCATAGCTCCTTTTATTAATTAATTTCATTCATTAATTGGAAGTCCACATCAGTGAACTTGACAGCTTAGACTAGGTGAATGGGGCAGAGTGAATTAAAATAATAAGGCATATAAAAATATTCACATTAAAAGTACTTCGAGAAGAATGAAATTGAAAAAAATGTTGCCAAGAAAACAACAAATTGTACTTGGATTATTCAGTCAACAGTTATCTCCATTTTATAATATAAAATACTATGTAAATTGTGAAAGTAGTGAAAGCAGTACAAACCTCTTCAAAAACACAAACTGCAGCATTAGCAAGAGAACACAGACCATTTGGAGTCTTCTTCAGCTCCTGATTCTGAAGGTAATCTACACACATATTCTAGAATAAAAACAGAAAATAAATAAATAAGTGTTTTGGCAAATAAATATCCACTATATTGTGCTCAAGGACTCAAAAGGCGGGATGAGTGAAAGCAAGGTTCTTTCTATATATTTACAATTTGCAATGAAAGATCAGAATAAGTAACCAGTCAGTTTCCATTCACAGATACCTTTACTTGATTAGTTAGAAACTATCCTTTTAAATATAAATAAAGCAATACTGTTGCTTAAGCCCCATCTGAAAAGAAGGCAAGACAGAAAATATGGAGAGGAAGATATCCTTTCCCTTGGTGTAAAATATACAACTACCAAAATGTATTTAAAACTGTTCACTACTTGTGGGAGGCAATACCATAAATAAATAGATTAAGGACAGAGAGAACACACAAATAAGATTGGGCCATTGAGCTCATTGAGTATGCATTTATTAATTGTATTAAATTATGGAATAACGTATCTTTCTCATCTAGTTCCAAGTATTTTCTCCATATCTGTAACTTCTCAAGTACCAATTCCTTCTCAAACACCTGTGATCTATGTTCCAGAGTATTCCACATTCATACAATCATCAAGTAAATGTTTCCTCAAATCACCTTTAACCAGAAGAGGTCTAATTTGAAAATTATTTGGACACGATATTCCAGATCAAGTGCAATACAGGGTAAAATCAATCTACATCAGTTTTCCCTTTATTATTTCATAGATTTCAATCAGATCCCCCTTAACTTGCTCAGCTCTAGGGACTATAACCCAGTTTTATTCAGTCGCTCTTCTCTTCATAGGTAATTATGTCTTGGAGTAGCGAATCTCTTTTCCTAAAGAGGGGTGACCAAGATTTCAATAGAATATTTCAGATGAAGTCTAACCAGGACATTTTAGTTTGCTTTCATATTCCAGTTAACTTGTCAAAATCCCAGCATTTCACTGAACTTTTTGATTGCTTTCTGCACCTCCAAATGATAATGTGTGGATGTGGATGGCTTCCAACAATCCTCCTAACTACCACCTCAAAGTTTCTGTCAAAACCATGTTGCCTCTCCCTGGTCAGCTCATACATATCCAGGTTCTCAGTTTGTCTGTCCCCGAATTTGAAATCATAGTGCGGTTCAGAACCAGAAACAGCGCATTCCAAATGCAGAAATACATTTGCATGTTATTCAGTCTTTAGTCTGACTGAATAACATGCAAATGTATTTCTGCATTTGGAATGCGCTGTTTCTGGTTGTAAACCGCACTATGATTTCAAATATTCTGAAATATTAAGAATCCATGCCTTTGATTTACCATCTTATCACTTCGCTAGGAAATGTCAAAGCGCTTCAAAGAATTTATTGTAAAGTGGATTGACTGTGTGTTTTACTTACTGAAGAATGCTTCAGTTGCTCCAAAGATTTTAAAAAACAATCATGTCCGATCATTCCTTCTTTATCTGGTGCAAAATGAGCATTAGCAGCAGCTGCTGAAGCAGCCAATGCTACTTCAATCCATTCCAGCAGGAACTTCAAGGAGCCACGCTGCACTGCAAGGCCTAACAGGAGCTCTGAAGCCAATCTTCGTCCCTCACTGTCAGCCCCAGAACTGGGCATGGTCATCTTCTTCAGAAACATAGTCACTTGCGTGAGGCAGTCCAGACCGACTTGCGGAATTTTATTTTCGTTTGCTAGAGAAAGCGGAGGTAGAGAATTGATAATTGTGCACGCTGTACACAAAACATCATTGCACAGGCTCAAGCTTGGATCCAGCTTCGATTGTTGCCAGTTTTGTTGAATTAGTGCAAACAGTAGGCTTAGGCCAGTCTTCACTCCCAGCTCGATTAGAACATCAGTACCTGATTTTACTCTGGTATTCCTGGCCAATGTATCTCTCAGATCCAATCTGCTGTCCGAACTCTGCCTTTGTACTTGCTGCCCTGATCTAAACCGATCATGGTATTTGTTAGAAAGTGCATAGAAGATTCTTTGAAGCGATACTAATCGCTTATGCAAGGCTACAGCATAAGGCGAATTTCCAAAGACTATCCGAGCCAAATTTTGTTGGCTGTTGAGCAGTGCAGAGAGATACTGCTCACGTTCTTCCACAGCTGAAGACTCATGCTCGAAATCTGGCAGTCGAGGGCCTATTAGGTGTTGTGCCTGCTGAGATACTCCGACCACTTCTTTGTTGTTGAGCAGCTTTTCATATAATGCTGTGGCACCTTCCCTTGTGGCTGCAGACTCGCTGTCTTCCAAGGCCCAGGAACTGTTCAGATGTTCAAGCCACTTCAGTATCACATTCGTGGGACATGAAACCATTTTACAATCTTGAGTCTGAAAAATAAAGGGGGCAAAATGTATGAGCACAGAAAGTATGAAAATAATATTCTATTTAACTCTTGATATTGCCTATCAAAAACCATCAGCAATTTGTATTAAATTCAACATTAAGCACCACTAAACATATACCTTTAACAATGTAATCTATATCCTTAACTTGCTAAAGTTCTGAAGTTTATGGTAATGATAATAATTCTTGCATTTAATATACTGCCTTTCAGTCCAGGAGGTTGTCTCAAAGCGCTTCATAGGATACATAATAAACACAGTAAAGTCTCTTATAGCAATGTCCTACATGAAGTGAATGACCAATTTTGTCTGGGAGATTGTTGGTCAAGATACCATGAGAAACTCCCTTCTCTTTTCAAACAGTGCCATGGGATCTTTAATGTCCACCTGCACACATTGTAGGAAAAAAATAGTTCTAATGTGCTGTTTAACAGAAGATCTGATTATATCTTTCCTAAAACAGAATAGATATTACCATTGTTGCCTAATTTAACATCACAGATTAAAAGATTCAGTAAGTAGGACAATTTTCAGTTTCAAGGACTGGGTTTAAATCCAGAGGTGGATTAAGCGTCTTCTGTTGGCCAATATGACTATAAGTAACTGAATGAATCAAGATCACAAGAGCAGCTTTAAATAAAGGTGGACATTCAGCCAATTTGACGTCACACTTACAGAATAATATTACCCATCACACCGTTTCTTATATTGTGTGTCTAACTACACTAGACATTAGTTTCCCACTGACATTTTGGGATATTATCTCCACAAAAGTCCATAATAATTGTTACAACAGGAGCTACCTATCTGAAGTTGTGTTTTTTNCCCATTACATTAAACTTCTGATTATTGATTCAATTAGTTTTCCAATTATTGAGTTCTGGCTATGGGTTTGCAATTCCAGGTATGTCTTGGTTACACTTCTTGCACATGGAAAAATTTTCTGCTTCCCAGTCTGTTAGAAACTCACAACTGTTGACTCACTCCTTCAAACTCTCCTTCTCACCTATCTCTTTAAGTAACCCTAGGTAGAGTTAATCTCAAAATTCCACAGCAACACTACATGAACTGGATGTTCATCACACTACTACCTCCAAGAAGACATTTAATATGTTGACTTACAATAAAACCTATGAAGCACTTGGAGATATTGACAAGATAATAAAATGCTGTACTAAATGGAAGGATTACTGATATATTACTGTATTTATCTCCTGGTTGTCCTCATTTTCAATTCCCTTTTGGGTCCTTTTAAACTTTAAAATTTCATCTTGTGCTGAAATGTTTTGCATTATGGTTTCTATCTCTTACTGTAGCTATTTCCAAATCCAGATCAGAGGACAGAGGTAAGATTGGGGCAGAAGTGGAGAATGTTCTAGAGATAGTCAAAAACTGAGTGCAAGGTTTGAAACAGAAATTTAGTCAAGGAATACATCAAGTGTAAGCACAAGTTCAATTAAGAGCAGATAGGGATGAGAAAGGGAGCTACAGGACACACTGATGTTGGTTTGCAACTTATCTTGAGAGACAGAGTCCCAAATTAATCCATCTCAGCCCCTTGGGATGTCCTCCCGACGTGAAAGGTGCTATACAAATGTAATTTTGTATTGTATCCATTAGATTTCCTCCTTCCCTACGAAAAATACATATGTGGCCTTTACTTGAAACAGCTGAGAGCAGCTGAGAGGCAATCATGTTTTGTCAAGCTATATAGTATTGTACTTGAGTCAATAAAGCACTAATACAAACAACCACAATCAGCAAAATTGTTTCCAACAATTCATTACCGACCAGTGCCTTTTCCAGTTGAAGTACACAGTTATCCAGTACTGTAGCTCACAAATATCACCTGACAACATCTTTAAAATTGATTTACAACCATAAAAATAGTAAGTCATCCAATCGTGCAACATCTTAAGCACCAGGCTCTGGCATGAGGTAATGCCCAATATTTGGAGTAGAATTGGCTCCAGGAAAGTCACAGCTGCTTCCATGGACCTTAGGACTCAACTATGACACATCATAACAATTACAGCCTAGGAACAACAACAAAATTACATTTATAGAGTGCCTTTCACATCGGGAGGATATCCCAAGGCACTGGACAGTCAGAGGTCAGGATCCAAGCATGGGGGAGGGGTGGGGTAGGGGTGAGGGAAGGCAGAGAGGTGGAAGGGCGACCGAAGGCACGATCGAAGAGGAGGGTCTTGAAACCGGACTTGAAGGAAGTAAGTGAGGAAGCGAGGCGAAGGGACTGTGGGATGGAGTTCCAGAGGGTGGGGGGCAGAGAGGCTGATAGCTCGGCCACCGATGGTAGGGCAGGTCGGGCGGGAGACAAGGAGCAGGCCGGAGCCCGCTGACCAGGCAGTTTGGTAGGAAGTCAGTAGGTCAGAGAGGTAGGAGGGGGCAAGGCCATGGATAATGTTAATAATAATACTTGCATTTGATGTAGCGCTTTCCACATCTTCTAGACATCTCAAAGCACTTCACAGAATATGCTGTAAAGTGAATTGACTGTATATTTGTGGGCGAACGCGGCAGCCAATTGCGCACAGCAATGTCCCACAAACGGTCGTGAATTGAAAATGACCAAGTTATTATTGTTTTGTTTTGGAGGGATTATTATTGGCCTTGAAAGTGAGGACGAGGATCTTGAATTCGATCCTCTGAGGGATGGGGAGCCAGTGGAGTCAGGCGAGAGTGGGAGTGATGGGGTCACGGAGCCTGGTGTGCAAGAGTACACGAGATGCAGAATTTTGGATGATCTGCATCTTGTGAAGGGAAGAGTTGGGAAGGCCGATGAGAGTGAATTTCCATAATCGAGCCTTGATGTGACCAAAGGGTGGGTAAGGGCTTCGCAGCTTGAGGGGTGAGGCAGTGACGGAGTCTGGCAATGTTGCGTAGGTGGTGATAGGCAGTGCCAGTCATGGCGCGGATGTGGGGGAGAAAGGACAGTTCAGCGTCAAACAAGACAACAACAACAAGATTCCATTTATTGAGCGCCTTTCACGTCGGGAGGACGTCCCAAGGCGCTGGTTCCTGACTGGCTTAGTGAGGTTGAGTGTGCAGCCGTGGAGGCTGATCCTGCCAGGTGCGGAGGTGCTAGCGCGAGCCAATTAAGAGGGCCTCGGTATTGCTGACATTTAGCAGGAGAAAGTTGTCCCTTGTCCAGGATTTGATGTCGGACAGGCAGTCAATCAGGATGGCAGTAGTCCTAGAGTTGAGGATGGAGGCAGAGAGATAAAGTTGGGTGTCATCCACCGACATGTGAAAATTTACCCCATGTCTGTGGATGATGTCACCAAGGGGGAGTATGTAGAGGGTGAAGAGGAGGGGACCGAGGATAGAGCCTGAGGAATGCCGCACGAGACAGTGTGGAGGCTGGAGGAGAAGCCATTGGCTGAGACAAAGTAGAGGGGGTGTGAAAGGTAGGACCTGAACCACTCAAGGACAGAACCTTGGAGGTTGAGGTGAGAGGAGAGGCGGTGGAGGAGGATTGAATGATCCACAGTGTCAAAAGCGGCGGAGAGGTCGAGGAGGACAAGGAGGCAGAGGGAACCCTGGTCACACATGGTCAGGATGTCATTTGTGACATTGACCAGAGCAGTTTCCGTGCTGTGGGCAGCACGGAAACCCGAATGGAGGGGCTCATGGAGGGAGTGGGAGGAAAGGAAAGAGCGAAGCTGGGAGGCAACGGCTCTCAAGAACCCTGGACAGAAAAGGGAAATTGGAGATGGGCCGGTAGCTAGATAGCTGTGTTGGGTAAAAAAGGAAGGTTTCTTCAAGGTGGGGGTGATACTGGCTGTTTTGAGGGGGGTAGGAACAGTGCCAGGTGACAGGGGGAGGTTGATGAGGCCATTCAACCCATCAAGCATTTAATTGGTGCTAACTCATCTACAGTCGGTGACTAACCAAATATCAATTCCCGGCTCTTTCCCCATACCCCTTCCTTTATAATAATAATTCTTGCATTTGATATAGCCCTTTTCACGTCTTTTCGACATCTCAAAGCACTTCACAGAATATGCTGTAAAGTGAATTGGTCATATATTTGTGGGCAAAACCAGCAGCCGAATGTGTACAGCGGTGGCCCACAAACAGTCGTGGATTGAAAATGACCAATTTATTATTGTTTAGTTTTGGAGGGATTATTATCAGGCGTGTGGAGTAAGGAAACTTGCCCAAGGTTTCGCCCTGCCTGGAATTGAACCCAGGTGTCTCGCTTGCAAGGCGAGTGCTCTAACCACTGAGCTACAGGACTCCACAGTCCTTTACATTCTATGGCTTCAACATTTCATCCAATTTATTTTTTTAGTGCTGTTATGGTTTCAGCCTCAACAGCTAAACACTTAATATTCTCATAAGCCTCCAGGTGAAAACATTTCTTCTTTTCTCCCTCAAGTAATAATACATACATGAGATTAATAATAGATTAAGTATAATAGTTTCTGATTGTTGGAATTTATGTAAATGACTGAAGAAGCAAGACTTGTCTCATATATTCAAGAGCGCATGTGACATAGGTGGGAAAGTCTCTCCCTCACATTTTACCCTTTCAGAGCAATTTAGACAGGAACAGGAACTCAGTAGTATGAGGGAAAATAATTTATTTCTCCTCCTTACCCCCCTGGCACCACAAATTGGTGCCCCCAATGCGCTGTACTTAAAGTGAAAGGATTTGCAACAATATACTTAAAACAGTTTTCTCGAGTCCTCTTAAAACAAGCTGCTTCTAGGACTGTTTGGAAATAGTTACTATGAATCCAGCATAAATGGAGGTGGCCACGTTTTTAACCATCCCTATAAACTCAAGTTGACATTAAAATGAAATTACCCATACTTTTGGCAAGAGTTGTATGAAGATACCACAATTGGGAGTATTCTGCGTTCTATCTTCCACCCCATTCTACCCAAATGCTAATATACTACTGACCGAAGCAATAAAATTGACAATGAGGACAGATACAAACGCTTTTTCTAAGCAC